ATTTCTTGGTGCATTGGCTGGGAAACTGCGTTCCCCGAGGACAATGGACAAAGGTCTGAGGCGTCACCGCAAGGCGAACAGCTCGGTTCGGTGTTGGCGGCTCCAAGTGCGCATCCTGCCAATTCGCAGGAGGAACCAGCCACCCCATTCCTGAGTGGAGACGCTGCGGCGGTGAGAGAAAGAGGCAGCAGCCTCGCAGGAAAGAGGGTACCCAGAGGAAAGGTAAGCTCTGCAGTTTATTTTGTGGGAGCTAAGGGGCTTGATCACCCCCGCCGGTAGGAGCAGTAAAGTGCCGCCGGTTCCAGTTGGAGCAGTAGAGTGCCATCGGTTTTGGGAAGTTTAGGGTAAAGGGGAGTGGGGAAGGTGAATGGTGTATAGGGAATAGGGACACTCCAGCTACTGTTTGAGTGAATGAGACGCTGGGGCTCAGAGCCACTGGCGAAGCGAAGTGTGGTCCTTGAGGTGCAGTTCCTGGCAACGCAAGTCCGTCCAGGCCACTGACAGGACGTGGAGAAAGGTGACTGAGTGAGAAATAACGCTAGGTGAACGGAGTGTCCCGCATCATGGGGGGGACAAGCAGTAAATCGACCCCCTTGCAGTGTTTTCTGGACAATTGGAAGGACGCCACGAAGGGAGATGATTGGGGGTTTAAATTGAAGAAAGAAAGACTCCGGGCCCTATGTGAAGTTGACTGGCCGTCCCAAGGGACAGGGTGGCCCAGTGAAGGGACTTTTGATGAAAATCTAGTTGACCCCCTATAGCACAAGATCCTCAAAGTCCATGCAGATGCATTCCTGGTGCGAGTGAAGGTGCCCGCGGGAGCGGCAGAGCATGCCAAGGAAGGAACCAGTGTGCCATCTGCAGGCAGGAGGGTCATTGGAAAATGGAATGCCCACAGCACCAGGGACCCCACACCCCACAGGCTGGGAACAGTAACCAAGGGCCGATGCCACGAGCCCAGCCGTGGGCCTCCGCATTACAGCCACAGGCCCGCCCATGGACTCCATGAAATCAAGGCAGAGGGCGAGGACAGGGACCAGCCAGCAATGGCCCTGAGAGGGGAGGAAGAGACTTACTAGGACAGACCGGACCCAACTAAAGCAGGTTCCCATGAGCCCATAGTCAGCATTGTAACAGGGAACCAAATCATACCATTCATGGTAGACACTGGGGCAGCCTACTCCGTAGTACCAAACCCCGTTGCTAAACCGACGACGGAATCGATCAGCATTATTGGGGCCACCAGGAAATCACAGTGAGTGCCAGTCTTGCACCCTGTGACCTGTAAACTAGGGGGACAAACAGTCCAACATAAATTTATCTACATACCAGATTGCCCCATTCCACTGATGGACAGGGATTTACTGGCCAAACTACAGGCACAAATCACTTTCAAACCGTCAGGAGAGGTTACGATGTCCACTACTGGGCCATCCGGAGAACTGATAGTGGAAGCCCCTTTAAGGGAACACTGACGCCTCATGATGGTACAGGAAAGGGAGGAACCTATCCCTCCCTGCATCCTGGAAAGTGTGAATCCTGAGGTATGGGCCGAAGACAATCCCCCAGGCATGGCTAGAAATATACCCCCCATAATCGTGAAGCCCAAACCATTTGCTAATCCCGTAGCTGCCAGACAATATCCCATCCCACGCCAAGCGGCCGAAGGGGTATGGGTCCATCTCAAAAGGCTACTCCAACATGGGATTTTGAAACAGTGCCAGTCACAATGGACACCCCGCTGCTCCCAGAGAAGAAGGAGGGGGGAGGATATAATCTGGTGCAAGATCTGCGCTTTGTAAATGAGGCCGTGGAAACCCTCCATCCAAATGTCCCAACCCATATACCCTGCTAAGTCTGATTCCACCAAATGCAACACAATTCACTGTATTGGACTTGAAGGACGCCTTCTTTTGCTGTCGGCTAGCTGAGGAGAGCCAGAGTTTATTCGCCTTCCAGTGGATGGACCCAGAGACCGGTACTAAAACACAGTACATGTGGACGCGACTCCCACAAGGGTTTAAAAATTCACCCACACTTTTCGGGGTAGCTCTGGCTACTGACCTGGCTAGCTTCCCTACCTCCCCCGACCGCGTTCTTCTACAATACGTAGATGACCTTCGTCTTGCGTGTAAAGATAAAGACACGTGTCTGCAAGCGACCAAAGATCTTCTGAATCACCTGGCAGCAGCTGGCTACAGGGTGTCTAAGGCCAAGGCCCAAGTCTGTCGACCAATCATCAAGTACCTTGGATTTGATATCTCCCACCGCCAGCGTACCCTACGAAATGAGCGAAGACAGGCAATCATCCAAATTCTGTAGAGTATGGATACCAAACCACAGTGCCATCGCTCAACCTGTACTCGACTCCACCTGTGGAACGGAAAAGGACCCTTTCGTGTGGGGGCCAGAACAACAACAGGTGTTCCGGGAGCTCAAAGAAGCCTTGCAGCAGGCACCAGCACTGGGAATTCCCAACCCAGAAAAACCATTTACCCTGTTCGAAGATGAAGAACACGGTATAGCTAAGGGTGTTCTTTGTCAAAAGCTAGGTAGCTGGCAACAACCCATAGACTATTTGTCCGAAAAATTAACCTCTACGGACCAAGGTTTGCCTCCCTGCATGCGAGCAGTAGTGGCTGCTGCCACTCTGATTACAAAAGCTGACAAGTTCACCTTTGGACAGGAAACCACATGCGTCACTCCTCATGCTGTACCAGCTTTGTTGGACATGAAAGGGACTTATTTCCTATCCCAGGCGAAGATGATGAAGTGCCAAGCACTGCTCATGCACCCACGATTGCAGTTTCGAGTCACTGAGGCGCTTAACCCGGCTACGCTGCTACCTATGGGAGAGGATAAGCCCCCAACACATGACTGCATACAAGTGATGGATGAAGTATATTCAAGTAGGCCTGATTTGAAGGATGAAGCAAATCCCAGGTGGCCCTCCTGGTTCATGGATGGTAGCAGCTTTGTAGAGGATGGACAACGGAAAGCGGGGCACGCAGTGGTGGCCCTAGAGGAGGTAATCATAGAAGCTCTCCCACTCCCACCTGGGACGTCAGCCCAACTAGCTGAGATTGTGGCTCTAACCCGTGCCCTACAACTGGCTGAAGGCACAGACATCAATATATATACTGATTCAAAGTATGCTTTCCTCACCCTGCTTGCCCACAGAGTACTCTGGAAGGAGCGCGGCATGCTCACATCAAAACGAAACCAAGTACAACATCCCCAAGCCCTCATGGATCTTTTAACCACAGTATGGGCACCCAACCAAGTGGCCGTGATATATTGCTATGGACATCTGACTGGACCAAGTGATATGGCTAGAGGAAACCGCCTAGCAAATAAAACAGCTAAACAAGCAGCGAGACAACTGGCACCTGCTTTCTTCATAGGATCTCTGCTACCGAAAAAGATTGTGAACACTAGCCTCAAACTACCGTACGCAATACAGGAGCGACTGATGGCAGAGGCTTATAAATTGGCTGTTACAGAGCAAGGATGGTATCTTGCACCTGACAACCGATTGTGGGTGCCGGAGTCTCTGGGCCCGCAGGTCGTGCGACAGTATCATGACTCCTGTCATGTGGGACCAGATGCTCTAGCTAAACATCTGGGGAGCTGTTACTATATCTCCAAGGTGTACCAGTTGGCTTCTCAAGTCTCGAGACGCTGTATCCTCTGTCAGAAAAACAATCCCAGGACTGGACTCTTACCTCCTTTTGATTATTTGGGTTATGAAGGGAGAATGCAAGCTGCAGAGTAATTCCTGGGCTAGCCTATGCAAAACGACCTAGCTCAGCTGGGGCCATTAAGGAACAATAGAGGGCCATTGAGAGACATTGGCAAGGCAAGAGAAGGATCCCTGCCTCATGCCCTGAGGTGTAAACAGAGACTGGGTTTGGAAGGTGGGCAGGGTAACTGGGTGTAAGCTGACAGGTAGCCATGTTGGTCTGACACAGTCGAAATATAAAAATAATAATAAAATAATAAATTGTCCAGTAGCACCTTAGAGACCAACTAAGTTTGTTCTTGGTATAAGCTTTCGTGTGCATACACACTTCTTCAGATACACTGAAACAGAAGTCACCAGACCCTTGTATATAGTGGGAGGGTGGGGTGGGGTTTTTCTCAGGAGGGTAGTAGGAGATGGGTGATTGACTCAATGGGTATGGTAAACCTGTTGACGACTGTTAACGACTGCAATTAGTCCTACAGGAAAAAGCAAGTGATAGTATGCAGATAATTAGCATATGTAATGAGACAGGAATCCAATATCTCTATTCAGACCAGGTCTCTCCAGTTTAGTGATAAGTTGTAATTCAGCAACTTCTCTTTCAAGTCTGTTTCTGAAATTCTTTTGCAATAAGACAGCTGTTTTGAGATCCTGTATTGAATGTCCTGGGAGACTGAAGTGTTCTCCTACTGACTTCTGTACTGTATAGTGATGATTTGTTTTCATAACGTCTGAGTAAAGCGAGGCTGAGAGTAACACCATAACCATAAAACATATTTTTCAGAAAATATGTTTCTTTTCTTGTTTTATTTATTAAAGCCATTTCTATACCACTTTACATTTTGGAGAGGTTTGTGTTGTATTTAAGGCAGCCATCCTATGCACAATAAGTGCAAAAAGCAAGCCTCTGTAAGTTAAGCTTGTCTAAAGTTATACCAGATAGATTCCTATTCAGTAGCAGAGGTCCTGCAGCTGCTCTTTCTAAACCTGGCACAAGGAAAGCAAGCCTTTAAAATAGTGTTTTGTGCCAGGTTGCCAGGAACGAGCAACTAGCAGTAACATACCTTTGGCTAAACTAGGTTTGGAGACTTAGTGCCTGCTGAGCCAGGAATGAGTCCACTGAGTTGGTGATCATCCTAAATTGCTCATCTCAGTGGATCTACACTTGGAGGAACATACCAAAGCTTCCTCATACTGAGCCAAGCCATTAGTCCACCTAGATCAGGGTTGTCTACACTATGATTTCAGTCCTAGCTAGAGATGCCAGGGATTGAACTTGGGACCTTCTCCATGTAACGAAGAAGCTGTACCACTGACCTATGACCCTTCCCAAAAGGAAATCCATGAATGTCAAAAGTGTGTTTTCTTTCTCCAGAGATGGGAAATATTTCATCGTAGTCTTGCTCAGACCTGTCCTACAGCCTTTTTTATTTTTTTACTGAAGGGCTATAGGCTGAAGTCTTTAATGGCAAGTTTTGCTTCCAGACAATGCTATCCAGTGCATAGTAAATACTTCCTTTCATGAATGACAAACAGGTGTTCTCCAGCAATGCCATAGAGGCTTTGAGCTGAGTCCCCTGTAATTACCATAAGGACGGGAGTTAACTCTGGAACTTGCAGAGTCCTCTCTGGAAATCTAGTGACTAATAAGAAAAGAAATAATATGCTTTGTGAAGGGCGGTATAAATACTCCCATGCACTCCAGTACCAGGGTCTCAGGAGCAACAAGCCTCCATCAGACTGATTTCTGGTACTCTGTGTTTGATAATGCTGGATTTGGTCTTATCTGCAAACAGAATGATCATTTGGGTCAGTCAAAACAGTCTGGTGCAATCACAGGGATTATAAAGATTGAGATTTCCCTGTTTGCATCTCCTGCAACCTGTGTTCATATTATACATTTGTACTCAGGATGTTGATGTTAGTATTAATGTTGCTGCTTCTACTGCCTCACACAGCATGCCAAAACCAGAAGGTTCAATGTGGGATGCAGCACTCCCAGCCTTCTCTTCCCGGATATTCTCAGTCAGGAGATCATATTTTTGGATGCATTGTTCCAGTTGCCTTCAACAAACATTCTCGTGGGCCACAACAATTACCTAAAATGTTTGTATAAAGAAAAATTTATCCCTGATACTTTACTTTTGTCTAGACGGTTGGGGAGCCCAGCCAATCTAATTTAAGACTAGATCTAGATTGCATTCTGTAGCTGAAAGGGAATGGATGCAACAGTTCCCCTTGCAAACCTGGCTTGAACACTGCAAAGTAATTTCACTTTGAAAACGTGACCATGCATTAGGAAGAGAAAAGGAGGGAAACTGCACGGGAATCTCATGATCTGTGTGTGAATAGAAAAACAAGTAGCCTCCAGACAATGTGTGCTAAGGCAGCATTAATTAAAGAGAGGGACTGCAAGGAAGAAGGTCTTTTCCTCCTGTGTAAAAAGTCACTTGGCATATATTGAGGCTTTAAATTATTATTCTTCATTCATTTTACATCTCCATCCTCTTCAAGCTCTCTTCCCTATTGGACTTTCTTTCATTCCAGGATGAAGTGAACAGAAATATGACTAACCTCCAGGCAATTGCTTACTAGAATGTTTGGTAGGCAACATTAATTAAAGAGGCATTTTTCCCTGTAAAGGTGTTTTTCCATGTACAAAAAAGCCACCATGTATTGAGAGTTGGAAACATTATCTGACTTATATTTGTATTATGTCCTCTTCCTATTCTTAGTTCTCTTTCCTATCAGCTTGATTTCATCCCAGGATTGTCTCACGCTGTTGAGAATCCTGTGAACCCACTGTAAATCCGGTGTATTTGAACTCTACAAACCAAGCTGCCTCCCCCCAAAAAATTGGAAGACAGTGCAGTTCCAAAAAAAATAAAAATAAATCGCCCCACCCAGCTTTATTTCAGTATCATCAGGAGCTGAACACTCACATCTAAATCTCCTTTATGTAATGATGCAAAATAGTATTATAGGGTGGGGGTGGGAAGAGGGATGTAATTTAGGAAAGTGCGAAGAGATTTAAGTTTGTGTGCATTCATTTTAGTACACCCTGTGGTAAATAATTTGCCTTATTTGAATAGAGCATGTTTTACCTTGGTTGATCTGATTTACATCCTATGCCCTTTTAAAAAAATTTTTTTGGGGGGAGGGGGTTGGGTTGTTTTTGTTTTTATTAGGTATTTTGCGGTTTTATATCTTGATTTTATTCTGTGAACTGAGACCCCCAGGTATAGGGTGGTATATAAATTCAAAGAATAAAACTAATAATAATAATAATAATAATGTCAGTTAATATAGGCTTGTGGACTGATATACTTGTCTTATTCCTGTTTTACCTACTACAGTTTAAAGAAGCATAGTGTATATTTTCACGAATGACAAAAATATTCAAAAATTAGAAAGTGAAGAATATGTTTAAGACACAAAATGTTGATCTCTTTTTAGCATAGCGGCTGAGAACTACCAGCAGATGCATTAGGAAGAGAAAAGGATAGAAGCTGCACAGGAATCTAATGATCTGTATGTTGAATAGGCAAAGGCTTATTAGAATGTGTTGCAGGCAACAATAATTAAAGAGGAGGCCTTTTTTAAAAATCCATAATACAGGTTCGGAAAGTGTATAAGATGTTTATGAAACAAAATGTCAATCTCTTTTAAGCATAACTGAGAACTACCAGCACATCCTGGCTTTGGCATTTGCTGTAAAGGAGATCAATGAAAATCCCCAGATCCTACCAAATATTACACTTGGATTCGGCATCCATGACAGCTATTTGAATCCAAATTGGATTTCTCGTGCCGTAATGGAATTTATTTCTCCCATAAACAATTTTCTCCCCTATTACAACTGTGATATCCAGAACAATCTACTGGCAGTCATTGGGGAACTGACATCTGAATTCTCCCACTCAATATCAACTGTTTTCAATATTTACAAGATTCCACAGGTAAATCACCTCAGGCTTCCTCTACCTTTCATTCTAGAAATGCACTAATCCTAATTATGTAGACTTGTCCAGAAATGGGGGAGATATTAAATTCACATGTAAAAGCAAACTTACCTAGTTTGCACATTCCAAAACAAGATCTGAACTAAAAAATAAAATAAAATACAGCCATCTTTTGAAATTTATGTTTCTCCTGATTTTGCAATGCATACAAAAATGCATATCCTGGTGTAAAAGTGTATGTATGAGTGCATATATATTAGAGAATTGCATTGCAATAAGGGAATATTGCTTTGCTAAAAGGTCTATATTTTGAGAAATTCACAAATGTTGTTGAATTTTCATCACAAACAGATGTGAAAATATAGAGTACAGAAGGGAAGACTGGAAAAGTAAGATACTGAGAGAAGCTGAAATTGCCAAGTTCCCTCGTTCCTGTTTGACATTGGCATCTGCCTAGGGCTAAGGAACAGAACTGCAGTTAAGACAATGCCTTTCCCACTTGGATGAAAGTGCAACCATTTCCCCATTATGTCAGCACTTTTACAACATAGCATGGATGGATGAAGGTTTGATGAGCATGACGGCACTTTTTCCTCTCACTTAGATAAATCCGCCCCCCCCCCCCCACGAACAACCCTTTACCTGAAGGTTTCTTTTCCTTTCCTCTTAAAAATCTAGCCCAGAGAAGCCTGTGGGGGACCTTTGTGAGGGGATAATTAGTAAGTTGGAGTCTCAGACAGGTTTTCTTTAAATAAGCAATAAAGATTTATTTAAGGCAAGATAGTATATAACACAAATGGGTTAAATGTAGGTTACTTCAGGAATACAGTACAATTTCGCTTTAATTCATCCTCAGTTGTTTTTGCGTTATAGGTTTGGCTCCTTTATACGGTGATACAGTGGTACCTCGGGTTACATACGCTTCAGGTTACATACGCTTCAGGTTATAGACTCCGCTAACCCAGAAATAGTACCTCGGGTTAAGAACTTTGCTTCAGGATGAGAAAAGAAATTGTGCTCCAGCAGCGTGGCAGCAGCAGGAGGCCCCATTAGCTAAATTGGTGCTTCAGGTTAAGAACAGTTTCAGGTTAAGAACAGACCTCCAGAACGAATTAAGTACTTAACCCAAGGTACCACTGTACTTTCTTTCAATTATCCACCCCCTTTAACAATCCTGCTCCTGAGGTACTTTAAATAATAGACCAAAGGGCTCTCCACATTCCCTCCCTTCACTGGGGCTGGGGGGGTTTCTTCTTTTCCTTAGAAGAATCTTCCCCCTCCAGACTAGATTTGAGTCCTAAGTAGGCTGTTCCTTTCCAGCTCCTACTTTTCCTGGCCCAACCTCTGCCTCCCAGTAAAATTCTGGTCTATTCCTCCTACAAGACACCACACTGTCCTTCACAATACACTCAGAGTGGAAGTTGTTTTTCCCCCAGAACCAACTCTTTCTCCCATTCACTCTTTATACCTCAACCTGTCTCCCAGCTTCTCCAACCTCAATTCCAACCCACCTCAACCAACCATCTCAACAATCTCTCTCTTTTCACATCCTCTCCTTTTAAACTCTCCCTCCTAGAACCACAGCCAATCAGAGGCTGCCATTTGTTTACCATTTGCTGGCAGGGAAAGAAAGGGGGGGACACACTTGTTGATCCAACCTGTCCTGCAAAACCAACTGTTTCATCACAGAAGGCTAATAAAATTAAGTTATTTTCTTATTTTCTTCCCCTTCTCCAAGATAACACCTGTATTGTTGTCTTTCCATTTATATGCTATCAAACCAACAAGGAAATATTCATACAACAGTGTGGCATAAGAACTCAGCAAAATGTAATGCTTCCCAAAGAGAACATTTTAGAAGAATTTAGAAGAAACTTTTTTAAAACTCCATTAAAATGTTGGGACAATCAGTACGGCTAGCATATGGAACAAATGTTATTTTAAAATACAGTATTGTACAAATGCACCCCCTCTCATAAACAGATAACATGAATGTCATTAAAAACATATTTCTCTCTATCCCCACCTTGCATCTTTAGCTGATGTATAATTCCGGTTCAGTGATCATGGATAACCCAAAACTCTTTTCCTTCTACGAAATGGTTCCAAATAGATCCCTTCAGTACAAAGGGATTCTCCAATTACTTCATCACTTCAAGTGGAGATGGGTTGGATTCATTGAAGAGAACGGGGAAATTTTAGAATGGTTCAAACAGAACATGGTTCCTGAATTTTCCAAGCGTGGCATCTGTTTTGCAGTCATGGAATCCTTCAGCAGCTTGTTTTATGATGCTGTGAAGGGGGATTTTGTCAGAGGTGTCCTGCAATTTTATGATAAGGTCATGAACAACGAAGCCAATGTTTTGGTCATCTGTGGGGATGTTAAATCCATGATCTTACTGAGATGGTTGTTAAGCCCTGAAATCACAAAACAAAAGTCCAAAGGCAAAGTCTGGATTCTGACAGTCATGATGGAGTTAAAATCCTTTCCTATGGAACGGTGGGACATACAAGATGTCCATGGTGCTATTGCACTTTCCCTTCACTCTAATGAAATTTGGGGATTTCGACCATTCATTCAGGGGAGAAAGCCTTCCACCACTGAAACAGATGGTTTTATCAAAGACTTTTGGGCTCAGGCATTTGGCTGTTCATTCCAGGATTCTGTTTCAGGCAAAGTGAGTGCTGATATCTGCACTGGAGAGGAAAAGCTAGAGAACCTTCCTGGGCATGTCTTCCCAATGAATGCAACTGGCTACAGCTACAGCATCTACAATGGTGTCTATGCTGTGGCACATGCTTTACATGCCCTGCACTCATCCATATCCAACAGTAAGAGTATGATGCTGGGAAAGAGAAGAAAGTTTCATAAAGAGCAGCCTTGGCAGGTAGTGGACTCAACTTCTTAAGGGGGAAGGGGTAATGCATTACCATGGTTAAATAATTTCCCAAGAGTTAAGTACCAAAGGTACATCATTCTATAGAAATTTTATTTTAAGTCATAATGCAGTGTACATGTGTTCCTACTGTTCCATTTGTATATTGTACCCAAAATTTCTCGCCCATTTGATTATGCATTCTTTAACTTGTTCTTCTTGCATTTCACTTTTCAACAATAATTTCTACATTTTTGCAGTAATATATTCATCATATGTACACAACTGTATTTTGAAATTTGTCTTTTTTTTTGTTCTCTACCAAAGGTCTTTTTATCTATCTAAAATCTCTCAGTTAGTTGTAAATGAGCAAACCATTGGAGTCTGTAACTTTCTCTTGCTAGTTGTTCACTTGTTTTAATTTTACAGTCCCCTCGATTCCACTCTAATAATTCTCTCTTTTTTGGTATTTTTTTTTATTAAGGTTTCTAGAGAAAAATACAAAACTTAATAACTTAATATCTGGCTCCGGTGGGGGGGGGGTTGCTCCGGCGGCAACAGCAACAAGGGCTGGACTGGCGTGGTGGACTCTGTTCACACTCTGTGTGGGCTCTGCAGATGTCCGTCCACCCCCCCTCCCCCAGTTGCCCTGCCCCCAGTGCCTGCAACCTGTCCTATGCTGATGCTGGGAGCCGTACAGTTCCTTGTACTCCATTTGCAACTTTTCCACAACATTTTTCTCTTTTCCTTTTCAATCCAGCTCCACCATTTTCTGAAATCCGTGTCGTTTAACAACAGTGCTGGCGAAAAGGTGTCCTTTGACCAGAAAGGGGAGCTTGTTCAAGGATTTGACATTGTAAATTGGGTCACATTTCCCAATCAGTCTTTCATTCGACCAAAGGTTGGCAAGATGGATCCCTGGGCACTTCCAGATGAACAATTTGCGATCAGCGAGGTTTCCATAGTATGGCACAGCTGGTTTAACCAGGTGTGGTTTAAACGCAGACCTTTTGGGAAGTGTCCCAATTTTGGAAGTTGGAAGAGTTTTCTCTGTCTAAACAACGAATCCTTAACATGTCTTAATTACTGGATTTAGTCTCAAGACAAATTGTAATATGCAAATGCCTTTATCACACAGATAAAGGACTCAGTATCTTTGTTGCTGTTGTTACTTACCGTCCTTAAAATTGTTTATGCTACACATTTAATGAGGTGGTTCTCAAAATCAGCCACAAATTTTGAAATGCAAAACAAATGTGATTCCCCCCCCCTTAACCTTTAAATTGTGTGGTGTATATGCAATACTAGGTTTCTTGCACATGATAGTAAGCTACAGCTTAGGATCCCAGGTAACAAGGCCTCTAAATACAAAAAATACCCAAAACCTAAACCAGCAAGACAGACTCCAGATCAGACATTTTCATCCAGTGGAACCTTTGTTCTCGAGCAGCTTAGTTGACGAACAAATTGGCTCCCAAATGCCAAAAACCTGGAAGTAAGTGTTCCAGTTTTCAAACGTTTTTCAGAAGCCAGACATCTGATGCAGCTGTCGGCTATTGTTTCTGGGGTGCCTGCGCCAATCAGAAGCCATGTCTTGGTTTTCGAACGCTTCAGGAGTCAAACAGACTTCCGGAACAGATTAAGTTTGAGAACCAAGGTTCCGCTGTTTATCCCAAATAGGAAACCATAAGGTATTTTCATTTAAAGGTATTTCATAGTCAAATACAGTGGTACCTTGGGTTACATACACTTCAGGTTACGTACGCTTCAGGTTACAGACTCTGCTAACCCAGAAATATTATCTCGGGTTAAGAACTTTGCTTCAGGATGAGAACAGAAATCGTGCTCCGGTGACACGGCGGCAAGAGGAGGCCCCATTAGCTAAAGTGGTGCTTCAGGTTAAGAACAGTTTCAGGTTAAGAACAGACCTCCGGAAAGAATTAAGTACGTAACCACAGGTACCACTGTACCTTTATTGCAAGATATGTTTGTTAGGCTTCCGGACCAGATTAAGTTTGAGAACCAAGGTTCCACTGTTTATCCTAAATAGGAAACCATAAGGTATTTTCATTTAAAGGTATTTCATAGTCAAATACAGTACCTTTATTGCAAGATATGTTTGTTAGAGCATTCATCACATTCTCACCTGTGTTCTAGTGCATATGAAATTACAATTTGTTATTATTATGTTATTATTTCTTGAGTGGAGGGGCTGTAGCTCAGTGGCAGGGAATCTGCCTTACATGCAGAAGCTTCCAGGTTCAATCTTTGGCATCTTGAGGGCTGGGAGAGACACCCTGTTTGAAGCCCTGAAGAACTGCTACCAGGCAGTGCACCTTTATGGGCTAGAATCCTTCACACTCTACTATCACCACATACCTTTAGTACTTCTGATACACTGCAAGGATTTGGACTGAGTGCCAGTGACTTGTTGTATGCATGATGTGCAGCAATCCTCAAGCAGGGTACCAGCAAGGCAAAACACATGCAGTGGCAGATACATTATCGAGACAGGGTCTTGGGATCCAGGATCTGATTTGAATTGGTGTCTGGAAGGCATGGCCAACAGGTTTTTCTCCTCACTCCCAATCCCTGGTGATGTGTCTTGGAGAGAGTCTGGGACAGATGTCACCTTCCCATGTCAGATGTCTGGAATTGCGCTCAAGTGCTATGGAGTTGAAGGGAGGGAGGCCTCAAATGCTGCTGATCAGGCTTAGGATAATAGAAAAATCCAAAGCAGGTTGTTTCCTGAATCTCAATGATTCCAGGACTATTCTTCTGAAGCTTAACATTCTCCTCTTCCATTGGTGGATAGGTACAGCCCCTTTCTGTCTGCAGTGCCAACTGCCAGCCTGGTTACAGTATGAAAAAGAAGGAAGGGGAGCCCTTCTGCTGCTATGATTGCATCCCATGCCCCAAAGGGTGGATATCTGACCATGAAGGTGAGGGTTCTAGTGCACAGACACATCAGAAGACTGGTGAGGATCCAAACGAACATGCATGCAAGAACATCAGTGCACACACAGAGCTTCTTGGGTGCATAACCTCGGTGTGAGAAATGATCTTTCATGCTTCCTTGTTCTACTAAGTTATCAGTCTTCGAAATATGGTTAGACACTGTATAGGAGTGTGTCTGCATTTTTCTGAGTTGCAACAAGTTTGCACTGTAGGAGCATATTGCTTTGTTGCTCTGGTGTTTTCCCCCATTGTTGCCTGGAATGTGTTGCCTTGTAGGCGGGGTTGTTACTTCAGCACACAATAGTCCTGTGCCCTCCATCCCACATTTGAAACAGGTAAGATATTCCCTCTTGGGCTGGGCTCTCCCCACTTGAATGTGAGGTGTAATTTGAGCCAGAAGGCTCTCTGCTTGCAGATGGTATTATTTCCTCCTTTTAAGAACAATGCTGTTTCAGAATCCTATGGCTTTTGTTAAAGTTCAGGGCATCTCTTCCTTCCAATACTGTTGCAAAATCGTACTTATCTCCTAGTGAGCTTATCAGCACAGAGACCTTTTGCTGATCACCAAGAACAAAGCCTGTTAGGGCCAAACTGGTCAATTAGTGTTGCTACCTGGGTTAAATGCTTGCCACAGTCTCTTTTGGAATTCAGTGTTAGCCTCAATAGTTGATTCATCCATTTGACCTGAAACTTCTTGCTAACAAATTCAAATTCTAGCTTCTTTAAAGCTTTTGCTGCAGTTTCACAATGCTTAATTTGAATCAACTGGGAGTATTCTAAACTTTGCACAATGATTCCCGTTGCAAAATTGCTTTTTCTGTTTCATTTGCATGCTTCCTCAACATTGTTTGTCGGTCTTAGCTTTTTGTGCAATTTAATGCCCTTTCACCCTTAAAAGTATATCCAATCCCATTTTCCATGGACCAAAAGGGTAAAGCTATGACCACTCATTAGATTCTGGGGTGCTATCATTAAAAAACAAAATGCACAAAATGCACAAAACTGCCACAACGGCAAAAATATTGCATTTTTAAAATTTTATTTTTACATTAGCCGAAAATGACACACAAAATTGATGAGTGGGGAAAATAACAAGAGATAATGTTGGTGGTGAGTCACTATTCCCCTCAGCAAAAAAAGAAAAGGGGGGGACCAAAATTGACTCAAAAACAAAAGGGCTAGGGCCCATAACCCATAACCATTATTCCCTGCAAAGATTGGTACGTTTCACAGCATCAACAAAGAATGCAATACCTGAGCAAGACAAACAGCTTTGTATCATTTCTAAGAATTATTCATTAATGTGCTCAGAGGCAGGGGAACTTTATTTGGCAGGTAGACCAGATCATATCTCCCCACTTTCGGTAGGGCTATACACCTTACCTATCCTCTGACATCCCTACATCATCAGATGGTGCTGCACATTGAAGTCCCAAATGTGAGTACCACAAATTTCAGCACAGGGCTGTTGGAAAGTCCTTCTACAAACAGCTCTGTAATGCAGTTTAATCCTCTGGAAACTGGAGGTTCAGAATGCAGCAAAAAGCTGTTTGCAAAAGGGCTTTCAAACAGCCCCACATTGTGCTTTAAAACTCCAAAAACATTGGAACTACTTTCCCCAAGAAACTATTTTTAAAAGAAAAATATAACTCATATTTATGTACAGACAATATAGCATTTCTTTTTCAGACATGGCCCATTGCTTAAAATGTCCAGATGAGCAATATGCAAACAAGAACCAGGATTTATGCATTCCCAAAACAGTAACTTTCTTGTCTTATGAAGAACCTTTGGGCATCATTTCAACCATTTCTGCTCTTTCATTTTCTTTGACCACAGCTCTGGTGCTAAGAATATTCATGAAGCACCAGGAGACTCCAATAGTCAAAGCCAACAACCAGGACCTCACTTACATCCTTCTCATCTCCCTCCTGCTCTGCTTCCTTTGTGCATTGCTCTACATTGGCCAACCTACAATGGTGACGTGTCTCCTCCGCCAAACAGCTTTTGGCATTGTCTTCACAATGGCTGTTTCTTCTGTGTTGGCAAAAACTATTACTGTGGTTCTGGCTTTTATGGCCACCAAGCCAGCATCCAGGATCAGGAAGTGGGTGGGGAAAAGCCTGGCCATCTCCATTGTGGTTTCTTGCTCCATTCTACAAGCAAGCATCTGCCTGGTGTGGCTGTCCACCTCTCCTCCATTCCCAGATACTGACACCCAGTCAATGACTGAGGAGATTGTACTGCAATGTAATGAGTCATCCCCAATCATGTTTTACTGTGTCCTGTGCTACATGGGCTTGCTAGCCATGGCCAGCTTCACTGTAGCTTTCTTTGCCCGGAACTTGCCTGACAGTTTCAATGAAGCCAAGTTCATCACTTTCAGCATGTTGGTGTTTTGCAGTGTTTGGTTGTCCTTTGTTCCAACTTACTTGAGCACCAAAGGGAAATACATGGTGGCTGTGGAGATCTTCTCCATCTTAGCCTCCAGTGCTGGGTTGCTGACTTGCATCTTCTTCCCCAAATGCTACATTATCTTGTTCAGGCCTGAGCTGAACAAAAGGGAGTCATTAAATAGGAGGGAGGAGCACTGAAGAGGAGGTCCATGCAGCCTTTTCCACTCAACCCTTTCCAAATCAAAGAATACATTGAGAGTGCAATGGAGCTGCATGAAGAACATGTTGATGTTATGTAACTGTCAGGAATTGATTGACCAGCAGAGGCAGGTGCTGATAATGAGGCTCTTTTAAATGTAAACGCATGACTGGGCTGGCTGGTTGCCAGACTCTTACAGTTGCTATAAAGACCCTATTGGTTCCACCTGCCTGTGCTGGATGCCATAGCTCTTGAACTGCTGCTTGAATATTGTACTATAGCTGTTGGATGTTTTAGTATGGTAAGGTAAATAACAGCTTTTATGCCATATCTCTTGACCTGCTATTTAAATCCTGTTGCGGGTGCAAAGAAGAATCCCTGAAAATAATTGTGGATATGTATAGTCTATTTTCCCCCCTCTCTTTTCTCCTCCTACTCCAATTTATAGCCATGCCTTTCCTCCAAGGAGCTCAAGGCAGTACAGGTGGTTTTTCTCTCTATGCCATCCTCCTAACAACTGTGTGAGGCAGGTTAGGCTGAGTGTTAGCAAGTGAGATTCATGGCTAAGTTCAGATTTAAACCAGTCATAGTATGAAACTTGAAGCACTACACCACCCCACCACCCAACAGCTTCTTCTTTTTGCTTTGGCTTGGAGTTGCCAAGAGCACTAAGCAGCCTAAACAAGCTACAGCTCCCAGGATTCTTGGGGGAGAATCTGTGACAGATAAACTTAAAAGTGGCATGACATTATAGCTTGGGCCACCAAAGCAGCACTGCCAACCACTTCCTCCCAGTGCTAGTTGGTAGAGGTCCAAAAGAAGCCAGTGTCTATGTATCTTTTCTCTCTTTAAGAAGCTTCACATTTGAGAAGAAATTCAGAAAATTATACCATCCAATGTCTTATGGCACTGACTTTGCTAATGTTTTATTTCTTCAAACACCAGGCACCACATAGAATATATATTTTGAAGGATAGAATATATATTTTGAAGGATATAATACACTATGTTTTAGGCCATCTGCCTTGATCTTTGGGGGGGAAATAAGCACCTGATAGTGTAGCACTACTCTGTCCTGGTTTTTGTACAACCTCGCCGGAAAGTGGTGTTCTAATAGTGAGATCGCTGTTCGTTTTATTATACTCGGCTATTCCCAGATTTTCCTAAACATATTAAGTGTGCTGGGTTCACAGGTGTTTTCCCATAGTCTATCTTACAGGATTCTGTGGACACACGGAGTCCAATATATTGGTTATAAATGCAGTGGTATAGTGTGGGGGGCAGGGGGACTGAGGCCCCAGGTGCAGAATCTTGGGGGGGCACGAACCAAGTGCCCCCAGCCCTCGCAGAGATCCCTGTGCCCTGCCCGTCTCCAGCAGCGAGGGTTTGATGAGAGTAGAGGGTGAAAAACATCCTCCAACCCTAGCGCCTGTTGGGCACCCAACCTCCAAAACAGGATTAGACACGCCCATGAAGGAGAAAGCTGTCAGTGGTTACTTGCCATGAATGCTATGTTCTTCCTCCATTGTCACAGGCAGTAAGCCTCTGGGTACCAGTTGCTATGGACTTCACAATCTCTAGTGCAGGGCTAGATTGGGATCTTTGAAAGTAACGTCCAAACCAATATTTATTTTGAGGTCTCGTAGATGTTTCCAGATTTTTTTCAAAAAAATCCTCTTCTACCACAGTTTCCTTTAAGCATGAATGCTGAAAAGGTCAGTTACCAGCTTCAAAGTCAAGTTGAGAGTATTAATACTTATTCTGATATAACAAGTTAAATTAGTAAATCCAGACCCTCCAAGTATCCCTATTTTCCAGGGATGTCCCTGATTTAGATAAGCCATCCTGATTTCTGATTTGATCCCAGAATGTCCTGCTTTTCCTAAGGATGTCCCTATTTTCACTGGAGAAATGTTGGAGGGTATGGAGTTATACAACCCCTGAGCCGTCTGAAAGCAATCCTGTATAGGGAAGGTTTTTTAAAATGTTGAATGTTATATTATGTTTTTATATTTGTTGGAAGCTGCCCAGAATGTCTGGGGCAACCCAGTAAGAGGTGTGGGGTATAAATAATAAGATTATCATTATGGAATGGGACTTCCCTATTTTCATCAAAGAAATTTTGGAAGGCAGTGCTTTTTTTCTTTAAAAAAATTATTTAGGGTTACTCTCATTTTCCTAGTCATATTGAAATACTGCCCCTCAATGAGGCCAAACTTAGATTCACAACATGTTTAGGGGTATGTGTACCCCTGTGTACCCACAGGGGGAAAAGCACTGTTGGAGGGTATGTAAATCAAGTCATTCTTCAACCATGGAGAAATGTTTGCTTTTCACAGTTCACATAAAATAAAGGAGTTTGCCTCTACTTGGGCCTCCTCACTATATATGAACTGATCTGGATTTTTGCCTACCAGAGCACTCAGGGCAATGCACAAACAAAAACAGCACATCACCACAAACCTAGAACAGACACACACAAAACCCCATTTAGTTTCATAATGCCTTTTTGACTATGGACCACCAGGGGTCGTTGCAGGCCCATACGAAAACTTACATTCTTCCTATATTGTTTCCCAGCTCAAGGCAGGCGGCAGAGCGGTTTCACTAGGGCAGGGGCAGCCAAAGGGTTGCAAGAAAAGAGTGAAAGCATGATGTTTTTATATAAGACACAAGCTGCTGGCAAACTAGAGTGACGTTAAGTCCTTTTAGCCTTCTGTTTCCCACCTCTGCTGTTTGCCAGTGGTGAATAACTTGCTGCCTGACATTCTTCAGATGAGTGGATAGTTTCAGGTCTACTAAAGTTCAGAATACAGTGGTACCTCTGGTTAGGAACTTAATTCGTTTCGGAGGTCCGTTCTTAACCTGAAACCGTTCTTAACCTGAGGTACCACTTTAGCTAATGGGGGCCTCCCGCGGCCGCCTCACAATTTCTGTTCTCATCCTGAGGTAAAATTATTAACCTGAGGTAATACTTCCGGGTTAGCGGAGTCTGTAACCCAAAGTGTTTGTAACCCAAGGTACCACTGTACTTATGCAATTCTCCCCCCTCCCATCTTTTATTATTTTCTTTGTCTGTTTGTCCTTGTATTTTGGTACTACTAAAGCTGTAGGCACACCATGTACCGGTATTTGAAACTCATGGCTTCCCCCAAAGATTGCTTGGAACTATTGCTTACCTCTCACAGAATGAGAATTTCTAGAACCCTTAACAAATTACAGGTCTTGGGATTATTTGGGCGAAATATGTGCTTTTAATGTATGGTGTTTATTGCAACTACTCCTGAACTTGTTTGTTTGGCTCAGCTTAAGTGCACTGCTAGGCAATGGTCAACTCGCAGTGAACAGCCTCCTTCGGGAGGTGGCGGGCTCTCCTTCCTTGAAGGTTTTTAAGCAGAGTTTGGATAGCTATCCATCAAGGATGCTTTGGTTGAGATTCCTGCCTTGCAAGGAGTTGGACTAGACAACCCTTGAAGTGCCTTTCAACCCTACAATTCTAAGATTCTATTATTCAGATTTACAGATGTTTGAATTAATAGGTATATTCGAATAACTAATCTGTGCTCCGTTTCACAGCTTGACCGCATGACCTCTTCACTCAGGGTTCATCCTGATTCACTTGCACAACGCTAACATGGAAGGCACACTATACTTTTAAGACACACTATACTTTTAAGACACTCCAAGGACAATTTTCCCCCTTGACGAATTCTGGGCACTGCAGATTTGTTAAGGGTTGCTGGGAATTGCAGCTCTGTGAGGGGTAAACTACACTACCCAGGATTCTTTGAGGGGGAAATGTGCTTTGAATGTGTTTTAAAGGTATAGCATGTACACAGCCATAGTCTGGTCTTTATTGAGCATTCATTCCGATTTGCATGATGGGTGTTTATACATCTTCCCATTAAGCTTTCGTTAAGTCTTAATACCACAGCCCCAAACTTTTACTTCATTTCCCTATCACTTTCTTAACTGTTAAAATTCCAGCAGTTGTTTATATTAGTGTGTGTGTTTTACAAAACGCTTTAATCCACTTTAATTGCTCAAAGCCCAGTGTAGGATATATACTTGTACTCCTCCCACAAAATACTGTCTTGCTTGCTCTTGCCCCCCTCCCCTCTCTCTCACACACACACACAGGGCATGACAATGTCCCGCTTTCTTCAAATGACTCACCAAGGCTGCAGATCTATTTGCGTTTACCCAGGAGTAAGTTCCATTGAATTCCATGGGGCTTACATACTGAGAAGACATGCATAGAGGTGGCGCTGTCAGACACTTGGCACACTCCACACACAGTTTACACAGCAAACCCTCTTCTTGTACTAACCAAAAAAAACCCCACCATTATGTACACAGAGAAACAACCCCCAAATATCTACATCAAACATCAGTGCCGGCTCAAGACATTTCACAACACTCTCGAGCCAAGACTGGCCAATCTGCTTTACCGCCTAAGGCAAAACAAAACAAAACCTACGTCCACACCCAACAGTAAAAACACAAGGCTAATAAATGAAATAACCATTTGCTGTTCTTTCATGACCTCCAGAGTCAGTGGATGGAGGTGGCTGCTTCAAAGTGCCTAAGGGTAGGGCTGGCCCTGCTGAACACATACAAACATTTTGCATATCCAGATTGGCATATATCCTGCACCCCCCACATACACACACAAATGCACCCCCTGGCCACATTCTATATTGCAAACAGGTCCCACTGAAATCATGCGTTTTCCCAGGAGTAAGCCCCAGTGCACCCAATAGGACTTCCTTTTGAATCAACATGCACTGGATTGTGCTGCAATATATATCTACTTCTCCTACCAGGATGTGATCAAACCTGCTACCAAAAGTCCTGCTTCACCCATACACACGCCAGGTATATGCCATGCCTTTTTGCATCAGCAGCTCTCTGTTGCCAGAGTCAAATGTGCAATGCAACAGCTCACTGACATTTCCACCCAAAACTTCCACATTCGCCTCTCTCCCTTCCACAGCAACACTTACACAAGCAATTCAACAGTCAGGATTCATGCAACAACACAATTAGTGTCAAAAACCTCTGATTCAACCCCTCACAGCTGCACAGAAATGCCCCAAGCCCTGGTGCACATCCCACTATGCCCTTAAGCCACCCCAGTTCCCAAAAACAGTTCCAGCTGTGTTATGCATGCAGGAAAACGCTCCACATCTGTCATCAAGGCGTATCAACCATGGTGCCAGAGCTTAACCTGCTCTGAAGCTTAAGCCCCTGCATTCAGTGCTAGGTTGCAAACCCTGAAGCGTATCTTTCTTTCAGTTCCTCTGAGCACATGCAGAGTGGACCACTGAGCAGTCCCAGCCAGTGTCCACACATCTGGAAGCAGGGCTTGATTGAACCCCAGCACCTCTCCGCCACACTAAATCCACTCCAGCCTCTGAAGAGGGACTTGTACAAGATCCACTCGCATGTGCCACTCAGGTGTACATAACTGCATTACTGCAAGACACATACTCCCTGAGACAAGCTCCACAAAACCAAACCATCTCCTTCCTCAGAGATGGACCTATTGATCCCGGCCCACTGAATAGATTCCAAGCCCCTCGGCTGGTTTGGCTGGCCACAAATCTCATCGAGCTTCACACCTTCTATAGCCAATTATCCTTAAGTTGCGTGGGCAGCAAGAACGGTGCCCATCAGTTGTCACTCCCTGCTGCGGCTGATCTCCTTGGCCCTGACTCTGTGGCCACCTTCCAGGTCAAAGTCCACCATTCACCGAGAGAGGCGATTTGATTCCTGTTCCTCGCTTGCCCCCAGCCCTGTTGCAGGAAGGGGAAGGGAGGGTGCTGTGTCCCAGCTAAGCCTCTCTGCGAATTAAAAAACCTCAGTGGCTGCAGCCTATCTCAAATACCCAAGAAGATACACACACACACACACACACACACACACACACACACATACACGCCCAGCTATCTGTCTATCCCGCATGACTGGGCAGGGCTCCGGCTGCCTCTAGCCAGAGGAATTGTCAGCACCGCTCTCCTCGATCAGTGCAGAAGACACAGGCACGCACAACCAGCAGACCCAGCATGTCAGAGAGCCACAGCGATGCCACTGCAGAGGGACAGGGCGCCCCTGACCCCACCACGGAAGAGCCACCCTGCGCCGAGCTGAAAGCCGCTTCTGAGAAATGGTAAGGGGGCCGAGGGTGAAGTGGGCAGTGAACAGCCCCCAAGGGCAGGTACAGGTCAGCTTCAAAAGCCCGCCGGGAAGGTGAGGAAGGATGCTGTGGAGTGTGGCGCACTCATGCACTGAAGGGATGTGGTTGGTGGGTCGCTGAAAGCAAGAGTGGGAAGACCCCCACCCCTCAACCTGACTCCTATCTGTCTTTCCAAGGGAAGCTGTAGTAGGGTGATTCTAGGTCAGATGAGTGACAGGGCGGGTTGGATGCCCGGAGGCAAAAGCTTGGGAAGAGTAACGAAGGGGTACAAGCGACCTCTGCTGAATCAAGGAAGGGAGCACGCTTAGACTCCAAAGGCATGTGTCTTGGGAAACTGGCCTAGCAGAAAATTGTTAGAGGCCCCCGCTGTTCACACACATGCCTAGAGGGAGGCAGCTACCCATATTTTGGCTCCTGATGCGGAAAATGCAAATGGCGTCCTTGCCTCATTGGCTGCAAATGATCAAGCAAGGTTCGTTTTTTAAAAGGATGGCTGCCAGCGTGCCACCATTTCATCAAGATAGCCAAAATCTGCCACCAGAGGCAGCTGCGTCACTCAGCTTCAAAGAAAGGCCAGCCCTAAGCAAGCCAGGCTTATGTCTGGTTGTGGCATAGTTTGTGGCTGAAACCACAGAGCTGTGTATAAAGATCCGCCAGCTCTTAGGACAGTTTTAACACGGATTCCTCCTCCACCCACCTGGTTCGACATCTAATCGCCTGGCTTCACCTCTGGTTCTGATCAGCTTCCGCTTCAATGGGATTTCCTAAACCACGTTAATTGCTTCTCGGGCTTTTGGCTAAGATCAAGTGTAGCATAGCTAACAGGCAGGTGCGTTTTTTGAGAGCTTCATTTGTTAGCTCAAAGCCGAGCGCTCTGCAAAACCTTGCCTCCTCGGCTAAATCACTCACATAAAACCTTTGCAAGACCTGAGCTGCTGGTTAAGCTAGCTCGGAGCTCCTGGAAAAAACCAAGAATGCAATACCTTAGGCTTTCTGCTGCCAGCCAGCTATAACCACATTCAAATATATATGGAGCAGAGTAGGGGAGGAAACCAAACAAACTTAAAATCTATTCTTCAGAAGAACATCTGCAGGGAATGGAATTGACTGCTTGGGGATTACCAGTTGTGAGGCCACACAAATATCAGTATTCTGGATCAGTAACCTGTGTATATGTTTATAATAAATAGGCCATAGCTTAGTCCCTGCTTTCAACGAGAACTTGGGATAAAAAGTGAGGAGAGTAGGAACTGAAAAGTAACAGGATATATTTTGCTTCCAGCATACATTGAAAGAGCATGTGTTAATAGTTATTAGTTTCCCTGATTTAAATGAAGTAGTAGGGATAAGAAGTGGCAACTTCCAGAGTAGCAGCCTGGCCTTGAATATATGTTACTGGTGGTGTCTGTGTTTCTCACTGGCTGTAGTCACACTATATATATGTGGGGCATCCTTTTGTTTATTTTTATCTACAGCAGTACCTTGGTTCTTGAACTTAATCCGTTCCAGAAGTCCATTCGACTCCTGAAACTGTTCGAAAACCAAGGCACGGCTTCCGATTGACTGCAGGAGCTTTCTGCACTCAATCGGAAACCACAGAACCCACATTGGACATTCAGCTTCCAAAAAACGTTTGCAAACCGGAACACTTCCGGGTTTGCGGCGTTCAGGAGCCGATTTGTTCAACAACTAAGCCATTCGGGAACCAAGGTACCACTGTATATCTACCTAGAAAGAAAGCTTGAGATTCAGTAGAGGTTGCCCATTAAAGCAAGTGGGGCATTGCCCAACAATCTTCAGCCACACCCAATTTGCCTGCCTTTTTACTTATAACCAGTCCAGGGGTCACTGGTCAGCAGCCAACATTTGGAGACAGTAAGGTGTCATGTATTCTTCTAGTGCTATGAGGATGTGTCCCTGCTTACCATCTCAAATTTAGCACAAGAGGGGGGTAACAGAGCAAGAAGGGAGGGAAATGGAGGCAGGGGTACATAAAGCAGTTTTGAAACGTTATACTGGTCATGTAGAGCAGCGCTAAGAGTTGTAAAAGCCCAGGGGAAAGATGTGGTTTTTACTTTTCCTGTGGCGTTTTTTTCCATTTCCCCACCTTCTTTTGGGTTTTCCTTCCAGTTTTTTTCCAGACTGTCACCTCTGGACCTACATTTGATTTAAATCGGAGATAAGCCCAGTGCCTGTTTGGAAGGGGGTTGCACTCCTTCTAAAAGGAGCAGGGACACATTTTAGGAAGACTCCTTGATCTCTCTCTGTCACCAGAGGTCCAAGTCTGGCAAGGAGTGCGTCTTACCAAGTCCAGCTGGTTTGCCTCTTCTCTTTTTAACCGATCAGCATTTACGGATTTTTATTGGTGTTTTTGTAGGCGCCCTTTATTGATTTTATTCTTATATGTTGTATACCGCCTTGATTATTATTTTTTTATGAAAGTGTAAATTATAAATATATAAACAAACAAATGGGGCCTGGACTCCTCTAATAAAACTGCCAACTTTTCGGGTAAGGGTCATTTCACACTTACATTGTGTGCACTATTTAGCACAGCTCTGAAGAAATAGCACAACACATCATCATAATCATACAGACTAATAAGGCAATGTCTTTTACTAGGCCGACGTCAGTGATGTCAGTTTTCAAGTTACACAGGTTTGTCTATCAGTTTGAAAAAGTTCATCGGCACAAAAACACCACACCCAAAAGCTTGCAAACACCAACAGATAATGGCTGAATAAGACAGTGGAGTACCCGTCCTGCATTTCCTTTTTTTTTTTTTTTTAATTGATATTTATTAAATTTTCAAAAAGTAACAAGTAACAACAAACATCTCCAAAAAAAAAAAAAAAAATTTAAAAATACAAATAAAACAGAAACAATACAGAAATAGTAAAAAAGAAAAAACCCAGCCGCAAAAAGAAGAAAAAGAAAAACAGACAAACAGAAATATAAAATCCTTTACTGATCTCCATTAACTTCCTTTCTAGACTTCCTCCTCCTTCCGTCTCTTGTTTCTTAGTATTTAATTTTTACAGCAAATCCTTTCTATTTTTTCATAACAATCTATCATTGCGTTTCCTTATTCTATTTTCCCTCTTGTCATATAAAAACTTTAAAACTCAAAGCTTATATTCAATATTTAGCAAATTCTTACATCATTACCTTTTTTCAAATCATTTACCAATCCTTACTTAAGTCATATAATTTCATTCAACATCCTTCAAATATTTATAAACATTCCCAATATTAGAAAATAAAAAGCAAAAACAATAAGTCAGATTCAATCCAGTCAACTTCCAGCCTCCCCTCCCCTGGACCCGGGATTGTCAGTCCTTTTAACCTCAATAATCCGGCTCCTTAACCTGGTTGTCTCATATCCGAGGCCCTCAAGTCTCTTTCTTGCCCCTTTCGCCTGCATTTCCTAGGGCCAATTCACATATTACTCTTTCTTTAAAAGAGAGAAAAAAGATGTGAACCTAAAATTTTATTTGAAGTCTATGCTTAAAAATATAATGAATGAGTAAAAGAAAGACACGTATCAGACAGACAGGTTTCTGGTTGTAATTTCCTTTCCAGTGTATACTCTGTTGTCCATAACTGTGGCCAGTTATCACTATTAACTGTAGAAGACCATCTCGCAGCAGCCAATTGCGTTTGGTCTGGTGGAGGACCAACGTGCAGCATTTGTCCTGAGGTTCAAGTCCCAGAGTGGCATGGACCAGTCTTGGAGCCTCAGTTGCCTCTCTGTGAAATGGGTGTAACTTTATGCTGGGTGGTTGTGAGGAGGCAGGTAGAAGATTGTATTTGCACATGAAAGGTGCTATGTGGGGTGGGGGGAGAGAGAGAATTGATGGAGAGGAAATGACAGCTCTGCATTTCTTCTGCCGTTCTTTGCAGTGATACTATTCAGACCCTGAGCCTCCTGAGCCTCAATTAACTCAAGCAGCTAAAGCTCAACTAGGAGGATTAGCGGGTAAGGAGTAAATCCTCCTCTTGGGCCAAAGGCCAGGGTGATTCTGTGACGGATGCATTTGGCCCCACAAAGCTCCCCACAGGAACTAGCACTCTGACCCATTCCTGGTAACAGGATTTTGCCAAATGCACCAAAATTTTAAAATACAGGGCTCCAACCGAGCCTATCCTTTAATTTATTTTGCGCATACACACACACCCCACTTAATAAAAACATTGAAAAACCTCTGCACAATATACAGTGGTATCTCGGTTTTCAAGCGTAATCCATTCCGGAAGACCGTTTGACTTCCGAAACGTTGGAAAACCGAGGCGCAAAGGGCAGTCTGCCAATTCAATAGAGACAACTGTGAAAAGCAACAGATACACGCAGCGGAAGCTGTTCAACTTCCAAGGCACGTTTGAAAACGGAAGCATTTACTTCTGGGTTTTCGGCGTTTGAAAACCAAAACGTTCAACAACGGAGACATCAGAAAACCGAGGTGCCACTGAATATAAAACAATAACCAAATAACACAGATTTAATCAGCAAATGTTTAAAACGACTATGTGTAACTAAAGTATGTGTCTGGATACGATTGCTGGACCAAATTAAGGCTTTGGCAAGTGCCTAAAACTTGCAAGGGTGCCTGCCTAATATTAATAGGTAAGAACTTTCAGCGTGTTAAATCCCAAGTTGGAGAGGGGAGTTCTCCCAAAGAATCTTGAGAACTGTGCATTAAACGTGCTGGAAACTGTAGCTCTGAGGGGGTAAACTAGAGTCTGTAGAATTCTTTGGGGAAAGCAATGTGCTTTCTAAATGTATGGTGTGGATAAATAAATTTAGTTTTGTAAGTTCACACTCTAGCTTCAGGACACAAAACAGTTGTGTATACCTTTAAAGTCCCTTCAAAACACATTCCCCCCCCTCAAAGTATTCTGGGCACTGTAGTTTAGTCCTCACACAATTACAATTCCCGGCAATGCTTAACAAACTACAATACCCAGAATTATCTGAGTGAACGAATGTGCTTCAAATGTGCTTTAAAAGGTGTACTGTGTATGCAGCCTTATTTATTGGGTTAGATCAGTGGTTTTAGGAATAGGAAGGCACAAGTTTTACCTGTATTTTTCCACCACAGTAGTTGGAGGGAGTCGTAATTGGGGAAAGGGTTATGTATACACACGGACTCCTCACCTCTGCCCTGGCTATGTTTCAGCTAGAAACCATAGAGAAGGGAGAGGCAGCAGATTATGTTTAGAAATCTTCCAGCATAGTCTTACTTAGTCTCAGCTCTGGTTTCAAATGCACCCAGAAGTCCTACTTCTTGCTCAGTAAATAATCTTGGACAATTATTTTGTTTGCTTGTTTTCTGTATTTTGATGCCATATTCCAGAGCGACAGCCCTCTCAAGGCAGCCACAATCAAGCTGTGTAGACACATTGTTGGCTTAGAACATGGCTAGGTTGTTCTTTTTATCAATTCAGGTCAAAGCTGGTTTGGGATAAATGCAGCATTTCATAATAAATGATAGGATAGATATGGATTGTGACTAATGCTCTGTGTACAGTGAGGAATGCTGAGAATTCGGCTATAGTGCAGGGTTGCCATATGTCCGGAATTTCCCAGATATATCCAGAATACTGCAATTGGAAGCAGTGACCAGGCAGAAATCGATTAAAAAACAAATGTCCGGGGAAATCTGGACATGTGACAACCCATGTTGGCAATGTTGCTTTTGATTATTTTCCCTAAAAATAGCTCAAAAACATTGGAAGGGTGGCAAAAATAACCTTTTCTATCTGGATTTTCACTTTGAAATACAGCAACCCTATTAGAGATCTCTAGGCTTTAAATCTCAAATACAAAGCCTGCATCCCTTTGTAATTTTGGAGATATTCTCTCCTTTCCTTAAGCACCTCTCCCCTCACCACTACCCTACTGTCCCCTGCTTTTTCTTTTGTGACATCACTGTGATTTTATAATCTCTCTCTCTCTCGCACACACACACACACACACACACACACACACACACTTGTTTCCGTCTGCCAGGCTAATCCTAAAATGCCTGCAGAGGGGATTTTCTTTTGGAAGATGATAGTTTGGATTTACCAGAAATAATACACTACCAAGCTCATTCCCCATTTTTTTTTCTTTTTTTGCTAATGACCAGGTGGCTTGAGCTAAAAAAGACTTAGAAAAGATGAGCTGGCAGGGTACATGCTGCTCTCTAGAGACAGGGCAGACACCTAATGAAAAGCAGTCATTTTGCACATGCATACATACATACATACATTCCAGAGCAAAGCCACCACACTTCAAGCAAAAAAAAAAGGTGCTAGTATTGCAATACTGCACGCATATAACAAATATACACCATTGTTGTTTATTATTTATTATTTTCTTTATACTGCTTTTCCAAAGCAAAGTGCCTGAGGCAGCTTACAAACCAAAAGCAATAAAAGATGGCTTCACATATGTCTCATTCTTGATGGAACAATTTTCTTTGGTGAGAAAAATGGTGGTCTCCTATATCCAGTTCTTTTGGATATAGCTATCTGGTATAGCCTTGCCTTCTTAAATACTTTCTTGATGGGTGACCCTGGTCTTTGTCCCCTTAGCAACCCACACTCAGCTAGCTATCACCAGGCAGGCCTCGCTTGTTAACCTAGGGTTCAGTGCATGGCACAGTGTAACTTTCCAAACCTCAATTAAATGCTAGCTTTTCTTGGACCCAGGAATTCAGGGTGTCTCACACCCCACATCATAGCGCAGATAGGGACTTTGTGTAAGCAGACCTTTGTGTAACTATTTTGTTATACTTTTTCGGAGTACCTTGTGGGTGTAGGTTATGGTTGTCATATTTCAACAAGGACACCCTAAAAATTTTGACCTTTTTTTTTAGGAAACCCTCAAAGTTTCTGAGCTTCTTTTTTTTTACAAAAATACCCCCCAAAAAACAGGGGTTTTTTATTGACTTGTCTAAGATCCAGGACAAAGCACCACCTTTCAGATAAGACCCCCTGGACGTCAATTCCGCCTTTGAAATCCTGGCAATGTCGGAGGAAATCCAGATGCACAGCAGCCCTAGCGTAGGTGTGTTTTATGTGTGTGCTTTCGTGGTTTTAAGATTAGTCACTCTGACTGGTTTATGCTTGGACAGGAAAAGTGGGGTGCATTTCATGTAAATAAATCTGTGAATTAAAAATGTCGCAACACACTCCGATCGACCTCAGCAGCTCTGATCTGCCTGTTGGTACTAATGCAGGATGACAAGAACGCCCTGTGACTTGCCATCTGCCAGGCTGTGTTGGGGATGGGGACATAGCTGCCGCTAATGAGGCTGCAGGGATTTTTGATCAGCAGGGGACAATCAATTACATAACTGGACTCAGGGAGGGGGGCTTATTGAGGGAAGAGAGACACGACACACTTGCCAAGGTCAGCAAAGGGGCAGGACAAGGAATGGCAGCATATGTCTCCAAATATCAGTCGCTGGGGGTCACGGGTGGGGAGAGGGCTGCTGAGCTCAAGTCCTGATTGCAGGCTTCCCATAGGCATCTGGGCTGGCCACTGGGAGAGCAGGAAGCTGGTCTAGATGAGCCATGGGCCTGATCCAGCAGCGCTCTTCGTACATACAAGTCATGACTCACATCCAGTGTGTGCTCAGATACCTAGAGAAGTTGTGCAATCCCCGTCATTGAACCTTGTCGAGGAAAGCCGGAGCAGTGATGTGTCTGCTTACAAATTGCCAAGACAGAAGATACAGGTTTACATAACACATGCACAGCTCAATGTATATCTACCGGTGCAAAATTTAGAAATAATATAGTAATTCAAATAGAAATGCAGTATATGTCACCAGTGCTATTTTTTAGAAAAAGAGGTGCTGGAACTCACCATGAACACCTCCTCCCTTGTTCTCTTATTATGGCAATGGCACCCACCTGAAAAGTGCTGGAACTGAGTTTCGGCAAGTTCCAGCAGAAAAAAAGGTTTGTGGCAAGAGGACTGATGGCCTATCAAATAGAGGACTGTCCTCTGTAAAGTAGGACACATGGCCGGGTCTAGCAAGCAACCTGTCTCAAGCTGTGGGCCTAGAGCAGCTGTGGTCAAGAGAAAGAGAGCACTGTATAAATATCAATGTTTGTTATTGTGATGTTAGTGCCAACAAGGCTGACGAATCTTGACTATACATCGTACCTTGGAAGTCGAACGGAATCCATTCTGGAAGTCCATTCGACTTCCTAAACATTCAGAAACCAAAGCACGGCTTCCAATTGGCTGCAGGAAGCTCCTGCAGCCAATCAGAAGCCGCAGAAGCCCCGTCGGACATTTGGGTTTCAAAGAACGTTTGCAAACCGGAACACTCACTTCTGGGTTTGCAGCATTCTGGAGCCAAAACATTCGAGTACCAAGGCATTAAGACTGTATTGGCTTGGGGAAGTCCTATCAACTTGATCTATCCTACAGATGGATTGAAGCATAGCTTTTGCTGACTAAAAGGCAAACGAGAACCTTAAAATGCTTTTTTTTTAAGTACTCAGTTTTAGGATTTTTGACGATGATGGTGATAATAGTTCAGTCCTTAATAATAATAAATAATCTCTTGTCATTTGAAATTAAGTTGAGATCTTACTACTTAAAATCTCTTTGTAGGTAGGTTTCAGTTTAAGTTTATCAGTTATGGTGAGGGGGAGACAGGAAAGATCTCTGATCGCTGTGCAGGATTTGGGCCAAATTCAATCCAAGTTGAATGAGTTTGGGGTTTTTTTAATGAAGAATCATAGAACTGTAGAGTTGGAAGGGACCAAAAGAGCATATACCAAATATCTTACTTCTGACATATTGGGATTGCAGTGTTAAAAACTGCAGGTGCTGAATCTTTTAAATCTATGAACACTTAAAATTGTACTTTGCAAAGAAAGAAAGAAAGAAAGACAGAAAGAAAGAAAGAAAGAAAGAAAGAAAGAAAGAACTCTGCACTGTATGTTTGCATGCTCAATCCTGTTAATCTGTGGACCTGATGGGAGACGACAGGCAAAGGCAGCCAGCCAGATCCTCCTATCTCTACGCAGCAAACGTCTCCAATGGCTGGCACCTGCACAACCACGTGGATCCCAACTAATCCACTGCCAGCAGCACATCCCTGACCCACATTGGGCTCTTCCTGCTGCGTTTCCCTGGCAACAGGCCCTGCGTGGAACTGTGGGATTGGTGTGATGGTCTGTGATAACTCCCTGTGTGCCAGCACACTGCTCAGCAGAGGAAGCTTTCCCCCATCTCCTTATCGGAAGAAGAGTCAGTGGTGGATTTGCTGCCTGCTAATGCCACTGTTCAGTGAACAGAGCCAGGTGTGGGGCGGACGGCAGGGAGGGGGTAGAGTTCTGCTGAATGTTTCACCAACCATCCTACAAGTTGTTCTGCATCTTTTGGCACTCTTAAATACACCCAGCGCTTTAAAGTAGCTTCTAAGTTTTCCCTCGCCTACCATTTCCTGCCAAAACACAAAGGGGGCCAGGCGGCAGGTCTAACCAGCACATAGCACCCTATGGGGCAACACACCTCCATTTTCTACACTAACTCCAGAACGTCCAAAATGGAGAAGGATGTTATGGCATGGCAACCAGAGAGGCAGGGAGCAGGAGAGAAGCTGACTCAGCACAGGCTTCATTAGGACCAAACAGAGTGGACAGCCATGCGGCAATAATGTGGCTTGTCTAGCCCTGCGCAAGTAACCCTTTACTTGCCGCAGTGTCCCTGTACACACTTCCGCTCACACAATTTAAAAATAATGAAGAAAGCTCCTTCGTCCGAATTAAACACACACAAAATTGACCATTGTTAGTTCCATGCAATTTGAACCAGGAGGGACTGACAAAACTCGGTTAGATAACAAACACACTTGGCCATTCCTTGTTAGCTTATGCCATGTCTGTGCTAGCCTCAACGTAATGGGATAAATAGAACGTGAAGTGTTTTGTGTGTGCTGTTAAGGCCTGCAAAGCATTCTCCTGCAGTCTATCTAAAACCGCTGTGTAGGAGCTGCCAGTCAATACATCAAACCAAACAGATGTAGAAAGTCTTTGGGATGCAAGTCAAGGTGGGCAGAAGATAGCAACCCAAACCTTGACCTAACAAGGGGCTAACAGTCCTCAAGGGGCTATTAGAATCAATGGTATATCTCCTTTGTTTTTTGTTTTGTTTTTTAAATAATTTTTATTTGGTTTTACAAATTTATTCACATTCAAAATCACAAATAGTAAAAATTACACAAGATTCTTCCAAATCTCTAGACTTCCCTTGTCCCCTCCATTGGTTCTTTAGTTAACTTTTTCAACTGCATATTATAAATCACTCTAGTTTTTCAGGTTTCCATTGTGTCCAAAGTCTATGTAACATTACAAGAGTTATTTAAGACCTGCTAAAGAGTTCAAGTGTTTACAGTGGTCTCTCAAGTATAATATAAATTTTCCCCGATTCTTTGTTGAAGTTCTGATCCTCCTGGTTTCTGATTTTCCCAGTCATTTTTGCCATCTCTGCATAGTCCAACAGCTCATTCTGCCATTCCACTCTGGTAGGGACCTTGTCATATTTCCAGCTCTGGACAACCAACATCCTTGCAGCTGTTGTTGCAGTCATAAACGGTCTTTTCTGATCCTTCGGTATCTCTGCATCTAATGGTATATCTCCTTTGTGCTCAGTTAGGTGTTAGAATCCCTGAGCTATATCAATGAAGATACAAACTTGCATAAATAGCTTACCCCAGAGTATGGCTTATGGAATACAGGAGATAATTAACTCCGCCCACATCAGCATTTTGCATCCAGCTCGGGCCCCTCCAAGACACCATTTTGCACCTGGCTCTGACTGGTGGACCTCACAGTAATAATAATAAGTACTTGTACCCCACCCATCCAGCTGGGTTGCGCCAGCCACTCTGGAAGTTCCTGCAAACCTGACATCTGTCTGCGCCTGATATGAGCTACACAGGGATGAGCATGGCTGGATTAACCCCACCTTCTTTAGAAACACAGGCCAAGAAGTTAACATAGGGTTCCTGAGGACAGTCCCCAGATTTGCAAATCTGTCCCCGGACAAATTCCGTCCCCGGAATGTCCCCAGATTTGCAAATCTGTCCCTGGGAAACGTGGCAGTGGCAGCCTCAGTAGCCTGGAACCAGCCTGGTAGCGCAGTTGGCTCTGGCTGGCTTCAGGAGCTGTTCACTGCTCACTGCTGCCACCACTGCCAAAGGGGAACTGGGGGCGTGTAGTGGTACAAATCTCCTGCCCCCTTTCCCCTTTGTTTTTACTGATGGGGGAGGGGTGCAAGGCACGCGGTTTCTCTGCCGGGCAAGGTGCAAAGCCCTTCTTTTGCACCCTGTGAAACATAAATGCGCAGTGTTTTTTTAAAACTGGGCAATGACGCGTCACCTGCCCATGACTCCCGAGCCTCCCCCGATCTCCTGTCCCCTTCCCCCTTTGTTTTGACAGATCGGGGGAGGCTCGGCAGCCGCAGGCAAGCAGCCATTGCCCAGTTTTTAAAAAACATTTTTGTTTCACAGGGTGCGAAAGAAGGGCTTTGCGCCTTTATACAATTTGCATGTGTGCTTGGGCCCAGGGTCTTTTGCCTCACCATCCCCACTGCTGACTCCCTGTTGCTACTCAGCTTCAAAAAAAAAAGTGTCCCCAGATTCATTGAAAAAATTCTGGTAACCATAAGTTAACATCCAAGAATGGTCCATACCTCCTGGCTTCCAACAAAGGGACAAAGCTGTCGCCCTGAGGCTCTTTTTGTCTGGAATGTGCTCAGCTGTAGCAGACAGGAAAGGGGCCCAAGTGAGGAGGAATTTGAGCAACTGAACCAGGCAGAGAGAGGCAGAAACAGCAGTGAAGACTATTCTGATCTCAGTGGGATCCCTCTCCTATCAGGTCACAAAGGGCTGGATGCCCTCCATGCCAAGAGAGACAGTTACCACGGAGGTGCCATCATGGTCTCATTGTTAGCAGAATAATTCACTTAATATTCTCAATTCATGAGGTGGGGGTGTTCTTCCTTTACCTTTTATGAAAACCCGTCAAACTTTCAGGCCCTCCAAGTGTCCCTATTTTCCAGGGACAGTCCCGGATTTAGAAACACCATCCCGGTTTCTGATTTGATCCCGGAATGTCCCACTTTTACTTAGGATATCCCTATTTTCATTGGAGAAATGTTGGAGGGTATGGAGTTATCCGACCCCTGAGGCGTCTGAAGGCAATCCTGTATAGAGAAGTGTTTAATGTTTTATTGCGTTTTTATATATGTTGGACGCTGCCCAGAGTGGCTGGGGCAACTCAGTAAGATGCGGGGAGTATAAATAGTAAACTTATCATTATGGAATGGGATGTCCCTATTTTCATCGGAGAAATGTTGGTGGGTATGCCTTTTACTACTGAGAAGCCCCACTGAAGTTAAAGGGCCTTACTTACACCCAAGTGTACATCAGGATTGACCATAATTGACTTTTTGCTGCATGATGACCTCTCTCTTCTGTGGAGACTCAGTTGATTCAGCTGTGCAGGGAAGGCAGACATCAAAATCTGCAGAAGTCCAACAATCCTTAGAGGTGGGGGAAGCACGAAGGACAAAAACTCTAGAAAAGTGGTGCAGTTCAGGAATTCAGAGGAAACTTGGCTGATTAGTAAAGTTAGCGTTGTTGATACTTCTCATGTGATGTAAATGGGTGTAGATGGAATGGTTTATTGAATGAATGGACTTTAAACCAGTTAGGCTTGCTGAAATGCCACAGGAGTCAAAGGAAGGGAACTCAGTAATAACCAGAAATTCAAGTACAGTATCTTATTTTGGAACTTAAAGGAAATCTGTCATTTCAAAGATGCTGGGGAAAATATTCCTGGATAAGGTCTGAAACTTATAATAAAATTAATAGTTCATTGTTAAAGTACGCTAAACCTAGTCCCTTTCTTAGTTAACTGTGATACAGCCCCCCCCTATTTACGCAGGCATTGCATTTTGGGTCATCACACGATGGCCGAGTGTGCATAAGCCCATTATGCCCCCGTTCTGACCTTTTCCAGCCACTTACGGGTTGCTGTGATGCGCACGTGCGCAATCAGTTGGACGCACATAAATTGGTTGTACATAAGCCAATCGGAAACCTCTATAAATATACATTTGTGTTGTAAATTAGGTTCTTTCCAAGAGAACCTCCCTGGCTTTGAGGCCAGGAATAATCCTTAACATTTCAGCAGAGCTTTTTCTACTGGGGAAAAACCTCATAAAAATAACTTCGGTTGAGTGTCTTTATGGAGAGGCACAACTATTTTAATAATATTTTGAAACACGTTTTTTATCACTGTGCAAGTGCATTGTGTTTTTATCTGTGTTATACTCTTGTCTCTGGCCATTATGGAAATATTATTTGATAATTTGAAGCAAGTGTTCTTATAAAGACCTTCCCTCGAGTCTTTTTGATTCAAAAATATTCTGTCAGTGTCACTTCTGCCAGAACCCAGTGAAGCTCAGGCAGGTCTACTTCCTCCATGAGATATCTTGCATTGTCTAGTAACACCCAGACTCTTTCTTGCAAGCGGCTTACTTTGCATGCTGCTTTCTTAGGGTCACTAGTTCAGAGGCATCAAGAACAACCAACCTGTGGATGGGTCCACCCTCAAAAGCAGAGACTACGTGAGCTAAATGAGATGTAAGCTTGATGTACTTATGTACTTACGAGACAGTGTGACCTCAAGCTACTACAACTGAAATACTACAACACCTAAGGCGTAGACGAGTCGAAGAAAGGGAAACTAGCCTTTCCTAATCGCTTTAGTTCCCAAAGGTACTGAACTGACCTAGGTCTCTAAAATTCCCAAGTGGTGCCACGGAGAGCTCCACCAAACTTGCAATTTTTCTCCCTGCCGTCAAAAGCTTCACCTGCTAAGTTTCTGAGAGAGTACCAGAACAGGGGCTAGGGCAAACAGGCAGCAATTCTCTTGGCATTTAATGAGAGCTGGCTCCGAATAGATCTGCAGGCTCCAGCAGGTCCTTTCCCTATGCTTATCTCAGGAGCGACCCTCCCTCTGCCAGCTTTGCTGCTGCTATCTCTGGCCCGCAGGCCTAACCACCAGCACTTGGGTCTCTTGGTTGGAGGGTGGTAGGTAGTATCTGCAAGCAGTTTGCAGCCTTTTGAGAATGAGCCTGTTCCAGGCTACCACCCTTCTATCTGGGAGGGTTTACTATTCTTCCATTAACAACTGCATAGTATGTTGCTGTTGTTTTTAAAGGAAGGAGAAAATAGGTGACACTTTGCCCAGCATTGCAGTTAGAAAAGAGTTCAGCTGCCTTATTTTGGCCAGCCATCCAGCTGATCAAAACACATAGTAGGAAAAACAGAAACAAAGACACCTTTAGCAAGGTCAGCAAGCATCAAGCAGGCAGCGAGCCTCTCCTGGCTATGGGTGGCCCTCTGCTACCACCTGGCGGCCAATCCATCTAAAGTTAATTGACACAAGGCACAAAATATGCAAGGTGAAAGTTACAAGTTAGGGGAAGGTGCTGTTGCTGCTCATCGAAAGCACTCAGATTATAATGGTAGCAAGGACAAGGTCCTGAATTCCTCGTGACCTCTATTTTTTAAATCTTCACTCCTGCTCTATAGCCCAATTTGCTGATTGCATGAGGAAATGTTTATTGGCTTTCTCTTCAGACACCCAAGACCTGGTTATGGCAAAATGATGGTTGTTTCTTTTTTATCGCTTTTCAGGAGAAATCACATTATTGTTTAGCCCTTAGAACCTTGAAGGTGTCCTCTCTAGATGACCTGCTTATTGAACATGCACAAAGCTCACACAGGTTTGAACATGCCCAGTCATTCTTAGGCAATACTTCCGATTTGGTTACAGGGAGATTTACATGACAGGCATCCATCCCGTTTTTTGTGCTTGCTGCACGTTTATACACTACTTCCTGTTAACCATTCATTTGCCATGCACTCCCCCTCGCTATCCCAACCACAAGAAGACTGTTGTTTACATGGAGTTGTTGCACTAGGGCCAGGGCAATAGAGTGTTTTAATCCACTTTAATTGCACAAACCCAAATTTCTAGCATGTTTAAATGCACTTTGTTAAGCTAAATTCGTTCCATCACGTTCCACTGGGTGGGTGGGTGCTTCCCGTATGAGCTGCCAGGTTATGGTTTTTGAGGGTGCAAATGCCTGCCTTGGATCTATCCAGATAATAGGCTCACAAGCACATTATGGAGTAGTCCTGCAAACCTAGAATAAAAAAGGGTTGCCAAAGCACAACATCTAGGCACTGAACCACTCCAAGCTGCTGCAAGTGTGCATGCTTGTTTGGGGGTTTTTGCAAGTCAAAATCTTTACAGGGCAGGAAATGTAAAGGCTCTTCACTGTTTCCATTTACCTCCTGTAGCATTAAAGAAAAGGGAGGAGAGGCATGCAAGGAGCTGCTGGAGGCATACCACTCGTGTCTGCGGGCGCTGGGCATGGCCCACCAAGATCTAGAAGCCAACCCCTTGGTAAGATATTGTCCTATACAGCGCAAACAGTTGAAATGAAGGGGTGGGTGCTGAATTTAAAAGGTATAGAGACAATAGCAATACTCTGGACTCAGCAGTAAATGGGATGCATTAACTGCAGCACCCTGGGACACAGGACTACCTGCCACCAAAGGAAGTCCCTGAGGTAGTGGCAGCTGTGGCAACAAGACCTAGGCTCTCCATTCCTAGCTCTTTTTCAAAAGTGACCCTTCTGGGACATATAGTTGTGGACCAGGGATAATACAGCATAGATGAGAGGCAGTATGAGGAATGGGGAAGAATAACATATCAGCCCACCCTGGAGACTAGTACTGACACACACACCCTAAAGGGTGCCTTGGCATTTAACACAAGAGCCCTGGCTGGCACATCAAAGCTTTTCCTCCCAAGATGACAAGATGGGAGGAAGCTCCACGTGCTGGATTTCTGCTAGTCAGAGGAGCCTTGCCAAACAAGAGTGAGCAGCCATAGATCTAAGGCTAGGGGGAAGCTTGCAGTCAGCAATACTAAGGTAAAGGTAAAAGTTCATGACCCCTGGATGGTTAAATCCAGTCTAACTTGATTATGGGGTTGCTGCGCTCATCTCACTTCAGGCCGAGGAAGCCGGCGTTTGTCCGCAGCTTTCTGGGTCATGTGGCCAGCAGGACTAAACCGCTTCTGGCGCAAGGGAACATCACGATGGAAGCCAGAGCGCACAGAAAGGCCATTTCCCTTCTGGCTGCAGTGGTAACTATTTATCTACTTGCACTAGTATGCTTTCGAACTGCTAGGTTGGCAGGAGCAGGGACAGAGAAACGGGAGCTCACCCCATCGTGGGGATTCAAACTGCTGACCTTCCAATCAGCAAGCCCAAGAGGCTCAGTGGTTTAGACCACAGTGCCACCTTGCTATATCCATTCTTCACAGAAATTGTGACAGGTATAGAATAGGTAGGGGCTGGGAAAGAGAGAGAAGCTGGAGACTGTAATGCCGAGGGGAGGAACGCCCAGCTGTATCACCCTATGGTTTCCCTTCCTTATTCTTACAGCCGCCAAGTCACTGAGGGACCTGCTTGACTGAGTCTTCCGGCTCCCGGAAACTCCATGGCACTCAAGAAGCAAAGTTCCAGGGTGGAGACTGCGCAGAGCTGGAGGCGACGCTCCCTGGAGCCGCTGGAGCAAGGGCTCCCAAGTGCAATAAAGCCCTTTTATTTTACACAAGCTGGGCCTGCATTAGTTACCGAGTCGTTGCTCTTTAATCCACCCACATCAGGGTGCTCCTGGCCCACCTTGAAATCCTTGCCTCCCCCAGGAGGTTATTGACCCTGCCTTTGCTGTATCTGCTTCGAATATGTATCATTTATATATAGCACCTTAAAAGAAAAGTTTGAAAAAGCGCTTTATGATCCTTTCTTGCCTCAAGTGCCCGCTGAGCCAGCCCCGAAAGAGGTCCATTTCTACTTCTCCTCATTGCTGTCGCCACAACCAATCGTAGACATCACACATGCAGACAGTCCTTTGCATCCAGATCTCAGAAGACATTTCAACTAAACTTCTGGGGCAACCCAGTAAAAAAAACAAAAATAAAAGGGGAACTGTCTCTGTGGACCTTGGTTCAACAGGCTTGATGCAGCCTGCAGAAGTTAAGTGCCCATATAATCCAAGAAAATGGGCAGCTCTTTTTCCAGTAAAATGTGGTGCAAATATTAGAAACTCAGTCCATCTCTAAGTTTCCTTTACTTTCCGGGGTTCTTCAGTCCAGCCCCAACCAGCCATTTTAGCAAGGAAACATCAGGCACAATTGCATACACTGATGCTGCACACAATAATGTGTTGACCTGGAAGGGGGCATAAAAGGATATTTCACAGTGCACTCCCTCAGCTTTGAAGGGATCGTTCTCTTGCCTGTATCCAGGCCACTCACTATGGCCCAGTCTGAGAGGCAACTGAGCCCACATGGCTGCTTTGCACATTGATCTCAAGGATAGGAAGAGATCAGCTCCTTCCTCCACCTACAGCATGCTGCAAACGTAACTTCTCTCGGGGCCACTGCAGCCTAGGATTGTGTAGGATTTGGGCATTCGTGTTTCAGGGTGTAAGACTTGCCCATGCAGATTCTTACATTTGTTGCTCAAGATACTAGCAAAATCCCTTCTACCAGTGTGGCACAAAGATTTCAAAACTGGGTTCAAACTCTTGCTTACTAGCAGAACTTATTGCACCTCAGAATCTGGATCCCATCACAGAACTCACAAAGTCTGATTCACAAGGACATGAATAAATAAGTAGAAAGACAAACACAAATCAGACAAGTTAGAAACCTGCCCTATCTGATCCAGACCCACTCTCAGGATTGCTCCAAAAGCTTTATGTGACGTCCAGGCTTTTCTTCTTAGTTGCCTCTTGCAAATTTTCATGTTTGCAGAATACTTTCCAGCCTCTCCAATTCGAAAGACAATCAGGGTGCCACAATATTCCAGTCACACCATAGCTGAAGTTGGTGGCACAGGGCCCTGCTAAACATTCAAGAGTGCTGCATTTCAACCCATGTTGTCCATTTTGAGAATTTCAAGGTGATGGGCAGGCCGGGTAGAGTGGAACTTGGCGGCTGCTCCACAACCAGCACCTGGGGTCATGTTTAAGAGGCAAGCAAACATAGTCAACACACTAAACCAGGGGCAAGGAACCTTTCGCTTTCCAGATGTTGCCAAACTACAACTCCCTTCACCCCAGCCACTAGCCCTGCTTGGTGGGGCTGATGGGAGCTGTGGCTCAACAAAACCTGGAGGGCCAAAACACTCTACGCCTGCACTAAAACCTACAATAATCCCCTGCATGCAACACCTATGTACACTTCTCCAAAAGTCACGGGTTGTGTCAGAAAGCCAGATACACACCGACAGCAGTGCCGAGACCAGGCATAGGCGAACTCGGCCCTCCAGATGTTTTGGGACTACAACTCCCATCATCCTTAGCTAACAGGACCAGTGGTCAGGGATGATGGGAATTGTAGTCTCAAAACATCTGGAGGGCCGAGTTTGCCTATGCCTAACCAAGACTATTGGGCCTCCCAGCTCTGACACTCCACCATGGGAGCAAGAGCAGACGCCACAGGAACGTTCAATACAAATCTACAACCTTTATTACAAGAGACAGACAGACGCAATGGCAACGCCCACCTGAGGCCAGGGAGCAGGGCTGTATATAAAGCTTTTAAGCCAGGAAAAGTGCCGGAGTGTCTCTTGCCCCGTTCGCGGGAGCAGGAGGTTATCAGCCAAGGTGCTGCCTGGTGCTTCTCTTCTCGTCTCACCGTCACCACCAAAGGGGGGGGGAATTATTATCAGGGACTGGACAGGGGTTACAGTAGGGGATGCCGAACACACTTTCCCCCACCATTCAGAAGAGAGCTCGCCCGAGTCTCCAAACCACCCAGGCTTGTGGAATGGAGGCACTGACAAGATACAGGAAAAAGAAAACCCTTTGCCTCCATGACCTCACCTAGTGATGCTTAAAGTCCTTTTTTAAAAAAAGGAAAGGGAGGGGGAGCAAGAGCACTACACAGCTCCATGGAACCCATTCCCACCCCTCATGCTGCCCACAGCCACACCCCTCAGGAGCCCGTGAGGCCCTGCTCCCTGCCGCAGCAGAAGTCATCCCAACGCCAGGAGGGTTTCAAAGAGCCAGGTAACGGCGGAGGGAGGAGAGCCAAGCTCCGTGCCCGCTAGTCCCGCCGCAGGTTCTTGAGGCGCTCCTCCAGGTCGGCATCTGCATCGGCAAGAGCTGCAGAGGAGGCTTCGGCTTTCTTCCCTGCCGCCACGCTCAGAGAACCGCCGGTCGAAGGCAGGTCTGGAAGGGAGAAGAGGAAAGTCTGAGGTGGCAGAAGGAACGCCCTTCCCCCAGTTCTCACCACACCCTTAGCACCCACCCCACACCCACTAAGGACCCCGGACGGTGTGTAGAACTACATATGCATGCAAGAGATGTAGGTCACAACCACTCCCTACATTACCTCTTCTACCACTTTAACAATCATGGCTTCCTCCAAAGGATCCTAAGATAAGAACTGTAGTTCGTAAAAGTATGGAGAGTTGTCAGGGCAACCTTAAACTACAGTTCCCAGGATCCATTGGGGGAAGCCATGACCGCTAAGGTAGTATAAGTGGCTTTGAATTTATGGTGCAGCTCAACAACACCTGGAGGGTGTTAAAGACTCTTAAGCCTTTAACCTTTACCTTATTTCTAATGTACATTGTTTCATTTCCTTACTATGTTTCAGTCTGTGTCCCTTCTGGGTTCTACAACACTAACAGGGTGTTTTTTTAAGCCAGGGATGGGGAACTTGCAGCCCTCTATGTATTGCAGCCCTGTATATCAAAGTTTTTAATGTGTGATGTTTTATTGTTTTTAATATTTTGTTGGGAGCTGCCCAGAGTGGCCGGGGCAACGCAGTCTGATGGGTGGCATATATATAATAAAACTGTTGTTGTTGTTGAACTACAACACCCACCATCCCTGTATCTGGAGGGCAAGAGGTTACCCATCCATGATTTAAGAGGTAAATAATGAGGCTTGAAATCTTACTGGGCTAAACAAGAGAAATTTCACAACAGTCCAGTTTCTGCTTGCTCAGACTTGGTATCCCTGCCTACCAGAACTTGTGCCTACCAGCATGTGGAACTGCACTGGTCTGCAAGGGCAATGTGAGTTGTGGCCTCTTGTCTTTGCCAAACTGTTCCTACCACTCCTATGTTCACTATGCACAGATACTCACTGGATAGCTCATCCGTCAGCGTCAGACCTAACTCATCCAGCACCTGGGAGACAACAGCGTCACTGTGAATGGAAGGGTAAGAGAACATGAGACCTCAAGATGCATCTGTGCCTACACATCCTGTTCTCCCTGCTCCCCTATCTGCCCTGCCCCCTGGAGCAACTGTTGGTGAAATTTTGGGTGAACTTATGTATTTCGTTTCATTGTGAACAGGGCTCCACTTGTTCTATGCACAGAGGTAGTAGGGATACAGCAGCTGGGATTCTGCTGCTCCCAACCACCCTCAAATGTCTTATCCACAGTCAGCCCATGTCCCTTGCATCTGAGTATTGCTCAGCTACGCACACAAATATACAAGCATACAATAATTTTTTGTGTGCATGCACAGATGGGCAAAGAGTATATATTTCTCATGGATAATATCCCTATTGAGGAGCTTGCCCTTCAAGTGATGATGTCGTGGAGAAGGAAGCAAGGGTGCAACCAGGGGTACAACTCACCCCACCCTCCGTTGCATTCACAGTGGTCCTCCACAAGCTAGAGGGTGACTGCTCTAGTACAGAGCCCTCTCTACTCATGCAGACACCTCATGCATTTCAGAACCTTGGAAAATCAGGGTTCTGGAACTCATAAGAAACCTACACAATAGAAAACAAGAGTTCTAGAATGCACAGCTTCTAGAACAGAAAACAGAGTTCTAGAATGCACAAAGTAAAGCAGTTGCTCTCTAACTGATGATGGCCAGAAATGAAACAGAAGGAGAAAGACAAGTAGGCTCATCCCCACTTCCTTCTCCATTTGATTAACATGCCACAGATGATCTGAATGATCTCAAACTCATTCTGTTGTTCCCTTCAATGTTCACCATTCAATGATGGTGGAAGCAGCACCAATAACCTCTCTCTCAATTACCACATGCACACACCCTTTGCAGGAACCTCATCAAGAAATCAGAGTGGGCAAGCCCAGATTTCATAGAAGTTTAGCAGGAATTCTGGTGTGGAAGCTGCTGCCTTCATGTGACCAAGGAGAAGCATCATTCCAAAACCTAAGCTACCTACAGATGTTAAGAGCTAAGCAGCAATGGGGACACAGAGGCGCCCACTCCCCACTGTCTTTGCTTGTGGACCCATAACTGTCCCCCATTGTATACACACCTTTCTTCTTCATCTTCTTCATCTCCCATGGCATCATCAATGGCATCATTCATCATCTCCTCCTTCATGTCCATGATCTCTGACTGTTTCTCAAACTCCATCATGATCTTCTGGATTTGCGGCAACTTGAGCTGAAAGAAACCCATGAAGCCTGTTGTTACAGCATCCCAGAAAGAGACAGAGGCAGTCATCTGTCTTCCACACAGGTGGAAGCTGTAGTAGGTTTAAGAACTTGTAGGACCACAATCACATCACTAAATATGGAAAGCTGTCTTTCTTACCAAGAAAGAGGCAGATTGAATTTTCATTTCTAAAGAAGCAATAATTAGAGACAACAGAATGAACAGCCCAGAACTCCTTACATCCAGTCTGGTGAATCCTCCCTTAGTGCAAACAAGTCAGCTGCTCCAGATGCTGTTGTTGTCTGGGAGAAGCTAAGGTCAAAACTGAGGAAAGAAGAACTGTGCCCCATCTAGGTCATTAGTAACATCTTTTCCCATCCTTTGAAGATTCAGGGGCTTTTGAAAAAGGCCTGTCCACTTGTTTTCTGCTTAGGCACCCACAGCCGATTCTCACCCTTGACATCCTCCCATCGTGTGTCCACCAAGGACACCCCATTTTAAGAAAGCCTGTCTTACTGCACATCCTGTTGCAAGAAACAGAGAGCTGTCTTTTCTCAGGCCAGACTATTTGTCCATATAGTCAAATATTGTCTACTCTATCAGCAGCTCCCCCGGGGTGTCAGGAAGAGAGGCCTTTCCCATCCTCTGCTACCTGGGATCCTTTATGCTGGAAATACCAAAGAGGGAACATGGCACCTTCTGCATGCAAAGAAGCTGCTCCAGAACCAGGCTATGTCCCCTCAAGTGGACTTTCTCTCTCTCTCTCTCTCTCTCTCTCTCCTGGCACTGCAGACCCCTAGCTGGACTGGCTTGGAGACAACCCACCTGTCTGTTCATAGTAGCCATGGCTTTGGTGACACCTTTCATTGCTTGAGCCATGGAATTGTTAGACTTGAGGGTCTGTATCTTGAGGGACACTGCCTGGATATTAGCCCGCATCATGATGAACTTCTTGACGTAGCGCCTTGTCCTCACCAGGTCTTTCGCCATGATCTTCACTGCATCCTGGGGTTAGAGAAACAAGTTAGAGATGGAGATAAGGGTTGCCCTCCGATGGCACATCTGCACTTCCAAGCTCACCATCTGCCCCTGTTTAGCCATCTTCTTGATGTCAGCAATTATTTTCTTCTCTTGGGTTTCCAACTTCTGCCGTTCTCGGTCCAGCTCTCGCATGGCACGGTTCAGAGCCCGTTGGTTTTGCCGGAGCATCTCTTCCGGGGTTTTCCGGCGTCCAAACAGCATATCCATTGTGGCAGAAGATGAGTCAGCCTACAATTGTCAAGGCAGAGAGTCAGATGATGAGAGACTTGAGACAGATACATACATCTATCCTTATGAAGTGCTTTGTGGTAAGAGCGAAAGTGAACTCTGACCACTAGATGGCCACTAAAAAGAGGAATAATGGGTTATGAGGGGAACGACTACCAGAGCCTAATGATAAACATATTATACTGGGCACTGAGAAAAGCCCAGAGAGCGAGGGCTGAAAAATATATCTGACCATGAAAATATCGCAGAGAGAAAGCAAGCTATGGGTGATTTGACCATACACTTTTCTGAAAGGAGCAAATACCCATTTTTTTCCTCTTGCTTTGATCATGCTTTGCTAACAGGCTTGAGCCAACAGCGGCTTACTAACCCCTGTTTTTGACCCCTGTTTTTGACCCATTTCAGTTTTTGGGGCTGCTGTCATTTACTGCTTACCAATACTCAATATAATAATGACGAAACACCTAAGCACCTGCTATGTAGTTCGATGTGGAATTATTTTTTAATTTTATAAGCCACTCAGGCCATTGTCCTACAGGGTGCAATCTTCCAATTAAAATAAAATAATAAATATCAGTTTGAATCAACCAATCATATTAACACTCTCCAAATCTTGCATCCCAGCACCAGCTCTCTGCTGCTGTGCGCACATAATAGAAACTTCATGAATTGAGTGAAGGGGTGTGGAATGAAAGAACCAAAGAAACAGAATGTAACTTCTAGAAAGCAAGCAGAAAAATAAAAAAGGAACACTCTTCTAGGCATGATGCCCAGTATCAGCCAGCCTTACCCGGTTCCAAAGCACAATCTGAAGTTTTGAACCGCCACTGACAGCATACTGAACTTCTGGAGTAAAGCACAGGCATGTTTTTGAGCAAACTTCTGTCTGCCATAGGCTGTAGACTACTAACTCAAGGTTAGTGGCAGAGCCCAAGACACAGCCTGTGTGACATCACAATGCTAGCATCACAATGCTGTAGTTAGCTGGGCCAGAGGCCCACCAAGCAATATGAGGAAAATGAAAGGGAGAGGAGGGTCTATAAAAGGCTTCCTCAAACTCTGCCCTCCAGATGTTTTGAGACTACAATTCCCATCATCCCTGACCACTGGGCCTGCTAGCTAGGGATCATGGGAATTGTAGGCCAATAACATCTCGAGGGCCAAGTTTGAGGAAGCCTGGTCTATAACAATTGTTCAGAAATGCCACACACAAGATCCCTATGCCTACCCTTACAAAAGTCTATTGGTGGTAAATCCCATAACATGGTTCATGCACCAAACATATCTAAGAAACCACTACCCTCTGACCTCCATGATTATCCAAAAGTTTCTTTTGTAACCCGCAGCTAGTTACAAAAAATTTTCCCTTGAAGGTTTACTGGTAGCTGAATCATTGTATATTTTGGTAGAAAGCTGTGAAATAACTTTAGTTGAGCAGAGTCTTACCAAGATTAAAATGTAGGATGTCCTTTTAATGTGTTATTCAACTTTATTATTTTAACTGGCTACCACACACAACACGGCATGGCCCTCCATTGTGTCTCTTTGCCACTCTCTAGTATGACCAAGAGAGGTGTAAACCAAGGGGTGGAGCAAGGGAGGTAGGGGTTGGCTTCCTTAATGTCTACAGACACATGCCACAATCTGGGAAAGCCCAGGGCAAATTTGGCAGTAGAGATTTGGAGAGGAAAGGAAACGAGGTATCTCAGAGGCAAACTGTACACACACAACACCCTCCTTTACTTCTTTCTCCCTTCTTTCTGTGTGTGACTTCTTTCTGTCAGTCTACTGTTACCTGCAGATCAGAGTGATACAAATCCAAAATGAATACATACCTAAACAGAATGACAGGGGCACAGGACTGATGCTGCCAAAGAGACAAGCCAGGCATGGAAGAGTGTCATTTGGCAACCAGCCTGGAGATCTCCATCTCTTTCATACTCATACAGAGCTTCTGCATTAGCATCACATTCATATAGACTGCTTAAGTAACAAAAATTAATTACCCTGTAAAGCATTTTTGGCTCTGAATGTGATTCTTCAATTATTAAAGGAGAGGGACAAGGGGATGAAGGTTAACCCCTATTAATGACTCTAATATAAAAATATAAAAGAAAACCCATAAACAAGACCTGGAAGGCATTTTGAAGTATTTATGTTGAGCTTATAACTGCTACCACTTTCACGTACATTTATACACTAACGTGTCTCCCATTCAAGGATCAAAAGCAACTAAACTTCCTTAGAAAAGCTACCCAAGAGAGGATTCTCCCAGAATAGAAACAGGAGTGAAAAACAGACAATGATTCCGACAGGCATGAAACCTGGCCAAGGAGTTCCTGTCATTAAACTCCACTGAGACCATCAACAGACTGACAGAACTCTCCTGTTCAGTATTTTATGCTGTCGGGTGGAGGGAGGTTGGTCGATACTAGGGGTGGAGGAACTCAGGTTTGAGGCCCAAATGTGGCCCCTAGGGCATCTCTAGCTGGCCCTAAGGACCATCACCAGGCCACAGCTCCTCCACAGCCACACATCCCTCTCCCAAGATCACAAATACCAACTTTCCTGGCCATATTTTACACCTTCCATGAGTGTTTTCACCTGACTGGAATGCGTCCTTGATCTCTGATAATGCCTCATGCTTGCCAAGATGAAGGACAGATAGGAGCATGTGTAGATAATAGCCTACTGTACAAAGGTAAACTTTACTTCTGTTGCTCTGACCAGTTTTGCCTCTGACCTCACCCATCACTGTTTGCACAGAAGGGAATGTGCCCACCCCGCTAGTCTGAAAAAGATTCTGCACCCTGATCCACACACTCTTTACTGTAATACCACACTTATTTGTTTGTTTGTTTGTTCATTTGTTTATTGCATGTATATGTTGTCTTTCTGCCATGGCATACCAAAAAAATAAATAAAAGGCTTATGGTAGACTATCTGACCACCACAAAGAAAGCTGCCAAGGCAGCTCAACAGAGGGCAACAGAATCTATGAGATTTGACTGTAGGTTATCTAGAAAATCTACATTGCAAGGCAAGTGATAAACTCCTGGCGAGGGAGGGAGAGGAGAGTAAAAAGGAAAACGCCAGCACTGTAAAATAATTACTGAATGTCAACTCATAGGATAATGTGGTGAGATTTACCAGCCTGAAAGGAGGGGCATTTGCTAAATTTTACTTTGCGTGACTCTGAGGCAACCAGAAAAGTTATATCGAGGGCCTTCTCGGTAGTGGCGTCCACCCTGTGGAATACCCTCCCATCAGATGTCAACGAAATAAACAACTATCTGACATTTAAAAGTCATCTGAAGGCAGCCCTGTTTAGGGAAGTTTTTAATGACTGATGTTTTAATGTATTTTTAATCTTTTGCTGGAAGCCGCCCAGAATGGCTGGGGAAACCTAGCAAGATAGGCAGGGGTATAAATAATATATTATTATTTTTTTTATTTTTCCATCGTAAATCTCTCTCTCTCTCTCTCTCTCACACACACACACACACAGTCCATTACATATAATTATACTATAATATACTATGTTAATACAACAGGAAATAAACGAGGGTGGGGAAGAAGAGCCCCACATAAGGTACCCAATCTTCTCACTTAAATCCCAAATCCACCAGCTGCCCCACACCCGACACCATCAGCACAGCTCCCCTCTCCCCGACCCCTGCGGGCTTTCCCAATCCCCCTCCCGGAAAAGGACAGGACACCCCCTCCCCATAATAACCCAGAAAAAGAGAAGCAGCCCCTTACCCAAAAGCAACAACAAAAGCAGCAGCAGCCTCAGTCCCCTCCTTTCCAGTCCTTGTTATTTCTTCCCCTTCTTCTTCCGCCTTGGCCGAGTTTACGTCATAGGGCGGGGTTCTCGCGTCAGGATCACGCGGAGGGAGGGCGGAAGAGGAAGCCGGACAGCGGAGGAACCATAGACACAGAGGGAAGGGAAAGGCTAGAGAGTCAAACACAGTCCGCCGTTTTCTAATCGAGCCTGTTATCGCGCCAGAGTTAGAAAAGTGTAGAGAAGGCAATCTCACTATTTTTCTTTATCCTTTCCGGGTTCCCATCGAGAAACCACATTTAAATATTCCCCAGATTTACTTATTTTTAAGGAGAGTGCGGCCGGAAGTGAGGGTTGTCTATATGGCAGAACAATGGAACAATGTGGCGATAGCGCCACATACAGGAATTCATCCTCTTTCAGTTGAGGGGGGGGGTGTTTAAAAAAAAATAATCTCTACATTGGTATCAGTGAATAGCTTCGAGGCGAGGGGAGTTAAATGTGGGTTCTGTGTTTAATCGGAAATCCCCTGTTCAGATAATGAAAAAGGTCGATCTATTGTTCCCTCTCACGTGTAGAGACCTCAGAATTGCCTCGTGGAAATGCTCGGGACAAGCGTCTAGCCTCTAGAGATTAAGAAAGGAACATGTTTTACCGTGCAGAAACGTGCTTTGCAAGGGCGAGGAGTCTAAGACCCTCCAGCCTAGATGTTGTTGGACTTTAGTTCCCATCAGCCCTAGCCTGCATGGAGCATTCATGGCTCAGGGTGCCCCAACTCCATGCATTATTATTATTTATCAAACGTGCATACCACCTGTCATCCACTGATCTCAGGGCAGTTCACAACATAAAAAATACAAAATGAAAAATTCATAATAAGAGCGACAAGAACAAAGCCAACCCCTTGAGATTAATCTGCTATAATAGCAGTCAAGATCCTGGTGGATGCAAGTGATTTTTTTCCCTCCATAATGCTTTGCAAACAAGTCACAGTGAGCTACCCTCTGATCCACCACCTCCTTCTGGCGAGGCTGTAAGAGGCCTCGCACTACCTGGGCAAGTTCTGGATGGTATAGCAAGAATGCAATCTTCTTTGCTGCCTTCACTGCCACTAGGTCCTGAGCCACCCCAAAGCCAGCAGTCTGGGAGCCCTCAACACCGCCTGAGACCAGCTTTGTCAGGGAGACTGCTGGGCAGCAGGGTGGGAGGTAAACCAGCAGAATCGCTTTGGTGTTGTTTTTCTAGACTGACACATTATGTTTGTCATTTCTGTAATGTGATTCATGCTATGCAACTGTGTGCTGGGATCCAAAGGAAGTATGGCTTTCACAAATGCTACAAATGTTTCTGCAGTTGTTTGGGGAAGTCTGAAAGCAAAGTCCTAGGAAACCACACCTCAAGACCCGCTGTCAGTCAGAGTAGGCAGTAGTGCTTTAGAGGGACAAAAAAACCCCCCTGAAGGCAGCTCCCTATGCACAAGCTTGGTATCATACAAACACCACTGAATTAATTCAAGGGATTCGTGATATGCACAAGCAGTGGCAGGTTACTTACAGGCACAACAAATGCTTTTGTTGGTGTGTATAGTAATTAACCACACTGAATATTCGGTGTAAGGGATGATTTAAGAGCTGCCCTGCCAAATCAGACAAAGGGTTCCATCCAGCTGAGAACACAATTTCCTAGAGTGTTGAGCCAGATGTTTATTGGAAGAGCAGGACCTAAATGCATCAGCCCTCCCTTCTGGTACACACCCCTCCATGTGTCCTAAAGACACAGCACAAAAGGATATCGGACCAATGACAGTGGAAGGAAAGGAGGGTAATAAGAAGCTAGAAAGACTCCCTTTTGAGATGCAGCTGCAAAAAGCACCTAAAAATTTATGGAGCATTATTTTAACCACAGACTGTTGTTTTTAATGTCTGCAATTTGGGCCAGCTTGATAATAAAAGATGTGTTCCATTATCACGTTGCCTAGTAGCTATTGAAATTTCAGTGCCAGATGGAGCTGAGCATACATTTCAGCCCTCAAACAATCCTTTTTCAGGGTTATAGCGTAGGGAAACCAATTTTCATAAGCCCTCTTCTCCCCACCCCTCAGCTCCTTTGAACTCTTAACATTTTCAGTCTGCATGGTGCTGTGCATTGGTTATGTCTCAGTTCGTTCCTGTGGGCTAGATTACTGCTTGGAAGTATTCAAACAGACTGCTCACTGGGGAAAGAAGACGCAGCCAAGAATTCTAGCTACTGACCCCGGATTCCGTTGGTAGACTTACTACCTCCCAGTCAACAGCCAAGAAAATAGGATACAAGATTACACTAGCGCCAAAAATGAGACTTATATCAATTGAAACAAAATCATCCTCATCCTAAGGCAAGTTGAGAAATTCAGAGGACCTCAGGTAATCACAAAAATCAGCACCACAAAGCACTAAGTTTCTAACAGGCTTATTCTATGCACAGGAACCACTATGATGAGTGATGTTTCATTGTGCTATCTAACCTAGGCAGACCCCAGAGGGTTGCAGTTTCTATTCCATAAATAGCATGTTGTCAGACCTGGTCGGTGGTTTGCTGTTGTTTCCAAGAGCAGCATTTAAAGACAAGGATCAGAAAGTCAGCCAGAGAGCTACTGCAGAAAAGATTTCCTACTAGCAAAGGCTCTTCAAATATTTACCACCTTTTATTCCTTCTCTACCTTCACACGTCTTGAGCATACACCAACTCCCTACTATAGTTTACCGGCACTGTAAACTCAGAGTGTTTTTCAGAATCAACCAACAAGGTTGCAGGCTGTAATTTTGATGCAAAAAACCAGCATCCCCCACCTTGCACTGCCAGTGTTTACTTATTGCAGCAGAGCAGATGACATCCGCCCCGTTAAGGTATTCCTAGAAGGCACACGTTTCACAACATAGCAACCCTGGATTACTTGGAACCATCATAAAGATGGCAACTCTCTCAAACTGAAAAACTAAACTTCCTAAATAGAAAGATCATGTGGAAAGAGAATGGTGTCACCAAACAAGGATTAATTAGGATGAAATTTCAGTTCCGCATTCAGTCCTCATAGCAGTGGTCACCAAGTCAGGCTTGCTCAGAGGGTCATGATGCTGTGAATGCAGATGTCCAGAAACACATGCAGATTTCTACAACAGCTGTCACAGTTGTCCATGTGTTAGTGCATGGGGGCGGGGGATGTCAGCCAGAACTGTCTCCAGCAAGATCGTAAGAAACTGAGATCAGCTAGGCAAAAATACAGAACACCAAAAAGCTGGTGGCCAGCATGGGGCTATTTTCTCCCCATATCCAAGCAATCACAAACCAGAATTGACAAACTAGGCTTGATAAATAACTAGGGGGAGGACAAGTGGGGTGGAAGAGGGCTAAGCCTGCCCACGTCAGAAATGTTAGCCTTATCAAGGGGTGCCTAAGCTACACGCCCAATCAGTCCAAGGCAGCATGGTCAATGGTCAGGGATCAGAGTTGCCATCTCTGGTATACCACAGCTACTTATCATTCTAGAGCTCTTGCAAATGCACCCAAGATGTTTTAACAGTATAAGGCATACAAAGAGCATAAAGATAACTGCTTAGAGTCCGTTTGTCATTCTTTCTTTGGGAGGGGGGGAGATTTGGGCCCCAAATTTCCAATTCCTGCACAAAACACTCAGGCCATATTCAGTCTCAACACTTGGGAGGTGCTTTATAATTTCTGTCCAGACTTTTGATTGACAGGAATGAATAGCACACACTAGGGAACATGCAGTTCCTTTACCTGCAAATAAAATTCTCACGTCCTCAATTTCTGAATGAATCAATCTAAGACTGCCAAATGTTTTTATCTTTGGTTGTATTCACCATAGCACATTCCTGCTAAAATTTCCCAAGCATACCAGCCACACTTCAATGGGAGTGGTTGAAGCAAAAAGTAGTGCTTGCAAGTATCCCAGTGCAGGAAACAGCACCCAAGAATTCAGAATAACTACTCCAGGAATCTCCACAGAAAATATGAGCAGAACTCCTTTTTACATGCAGATTCCTTCATAATCTTTCACTGAAACCAGCACCAAGAAGAGTAGTTACATTGCAACTGCACTTTGCATAGCTGCACCAAAGTAGCTGATCTGAAATTCTCATAGCAGAATCAAATCAGACTTCACGACACTCATCCCTAGACTATACTTGGGAAAGTGTTTGTATCTGTAAAATGGGAAGTAGGGAGAACATTATGGTCACTGTGCAAAATGGTTAACAGCAAAGCAGTTTTAAGTATGTAATAAGCCCCACTCAATACAAAACTTGCTTCTGTGTAAATATGCAAAGAATTGTGGTCACAATGCTCTATGTAGACAAATGCAAAGCGTACACACACTTCTCAGCTGTGTATCATGCAACAACTGAGGGCCAGATCCAATGCAAGGAGCTTTGAGCACTGACGTTCTGCAAGCAGCAGTGCAAGACATACCACACAAAGCTTAACTGTCAGAGTAGAAGTGTTTGCACTAGGAATCACACATCTTTTGCGGGACATTTGGATTTGGCTGTTGCGCTATGCCAAGAGCAAGGCTCTTGCTGGCAGAATGGCTGTTGCCTGAGCAGACTGACACAATTAGGCATCGCCCTGAATCTCGCTCATAGAGACCCAACCCTTGATTTGCTTTTAATTTTTGAAGGTGTCCTAAAGCAGAACTGAACCAAGTCTTCAAAGGAATAAAATAAGGTGGGGAGGTGAAGTTTTTCACAAAAGGTATTGTTTCTTTAGCCCCTCTTCGGCACACACGTCCAACTCTCCCCCCCCTTCCTTGGATCATCTCCGGTTTCCAGCAATGGAAGAAGCACGCAGGATCTGCTTGTCTCAGTGGATGGCACATGGGGGGCTGAAGAAAACTGCATCCTATGCAAGGCGTTCCTATGGACACTGGACTTCTTTCCCCTCCCGCTCACCAGGGCAGAAGGAAGAAGAACACGAGAGAGAGAGAGAGAGGCAAGGGGCCAATTGAGTGCGCTAACATTCCCCTTTAATAACCCGACACACTAGAAGTACAGTGGCTTTATTTTGGCCAGGGGCTCGCAGGAGTCACTGGAGAGGCAGAGAGTGTTCGTTGCTGGGCAGGCCCTGGTGGACACAGTTGGGAGACAGCGCTGCCCCCCATTACATTTTTACTACTACTATTATTATTAGCACTGGTTGTTTTGGTTGTGGTTTTTTTTTATTTTTCCTTAAAAACCAGACACACAAGTGAGTTGATTCTAAAAGGAATATTCCAGGCCTGACCCAGCCTCCCCAGAGCCACGGCACCTGGGGCAGGATGGAGATGGCTCAACACCCCCTCTCAGCCTCCCAGACTCACCCAGCCCTCGAGAGCCTCCCCTGTGTAATAAATAGTTACGCTCGGAAGCCGTGGTGCCCAGCAAGGGAGGAGGAAAGGAGAGGCAAATGGCCTGCGGATCATGCAGTGCAGTTATACCACACTGCAGGCAGGGGGTACCAGAGCACAGAGGGAGCCTTCTGTTCTTAGCAGCAAAACCACAGCCCCCAGAAAGGCAAACGGGCACCATCATGGGGTCCCGCACACCCAGCCCCATGGGGCAGGTGGCTACCCCAATGCGGTGGGGCATGGCAGGGAAGCAGCAGTAACCTCACCCCTCGCCCCGCAGCAGCACACAGGGAGAGTGGCGAGAAAGGTACGAGGGTTTAGTGAGGCGGCAGCTGCTGGGGCCCCAGGATGGCAGTTGGGGGGGGGGAGGAAGGCGAGCAGGTGGGGCGAGGAAGCGGGGAAAGGAGGATGGAGGGGGCCTCCTGCCAATTTCTGACTCCTGTGCCCCCCTTGGTGGCTGAAGGCAGCGGTGTTGGCAGAGTCCCTTAGGAGAGCTGGAAGGGAGATGAAGGGGCATGGGGAGGGCAGGTTTGTGCCCGGAGCCGGTCAGTTCTATTTGAGGCAGCGTTCAAAGTAGGTGGAGCCAATGTAGCCGCCCCGCATGGAGCGCTGGACGTTCTGCTCAAACAGGCGTCTGTTGTTCTGGAGGACTTCAGCAGCCTCTTTGTTCAGGGGGTCTTCAGGGTTTGGCTCCTGCGACGAGGGAGGAAAAGCTCTATTATTAAATGCCAAAGAGATTTGCAGCACCTTCAAAGACAAGGACTTGTTATGGCAAAAGCTTTCATGGAGCAGAGTCCACTTCGTCAGATGCAAGATTAAATGCCAACCCGCATTCCTGTTCTGTTACCTGTTCACAGAGCTGCCTGGGGCTCACTCAACTCTTTCCACCCCACCCCACCCCGCCCATCACAAATCCCCATTTCCATACTGGAGTGCAGATGCCTTATTCATGGTCCAAGGTGACTAGCTGATGTTCTAGAGCAGGGGTGGAGAATCTCTTTGAGGAGGCAGGGTGAATCCAAAAGCAGCCATCCCTACATGGGCCACTTTTAAGGGGTGGGCAAGTCCATCCAGCTGTCAATCACCAGTCAAATGACATCAGGCGGACCACTGTTTGCCAGGAAGAAGCAGGGCTTGCACTTGAACACTGAATCTGAACCGCACCCAAGTCCCACTGCAAAGAAACAACAGGGAGTGTGCTCTAAGCCAGTGTTTCCCAAACTTGGGCCTCCAGCTGTTTTCGAACTACAATTCCCATCATCCCTGACCACTGGTCTTGCTAGCTGAGGATTATGGGAGTTGTAGTCCAAAAACAGCTGGAGGCCCAAGGTTGGGAAATGCTGCTAAGCCATGCGCTCCCAGTTGTTGCTTGTCAGATGAACTTGCATTTGGCAGTGTTTAAATTCAGAGCTGAATTAAAGTCCCGCTCTTGGCAGTGATCGGCTCCACTCAGGAACTCCTACTGGGAGCTCCCAAATGGAGCTTATCTCAGCAGAGCTAACTTTCAGTGCTGAATTCAAAAGGCACCAAGCACAAGCCATGCTGGCAATGGAGAAAAGCAGGAGAGCAATCAAAGGCTCCTGGTTGTTCCTTTGCAGACAAGCTTTAGCTACCCAACAGTTAATCCCACCCAACTGCAGGTGGATATGGCTGAGGAAAAGCAATCTCTGAAGTGGAATTAGGGACCCTGGAGCACCTAGTCCAGCACAGAGGCTGGAGATTCCCCTTGCCTGTTCTAGGAATAACAAGAGGGGCTTCGAGGAAAGACAACTGGAGAAGTGAAAGATAAACATTGAAGCTAAGGCACATTTAAGATTGGTGGGCTAAAACAAGAACTGGGGGCATCGCCGCTTTTAGAATAAGTATTCTCACAGAACTGGAACTAGCTAAAAAGGTAGCATTCAACTCCTGCATTGAGGGGCAAAAAGATCAATTGGTTGGCAGATCAATCTAGACCCAAGAGTAGGCCAACCAACAGAGAAAAGCCATGCAAGTTTAATAGCAGGGTTTCACTACATGCTCTACAGCAAGTCAAGCCCTGTTTGATATCTTATTAACATCATCTGCACACCGTTTTCATCAGTGTGGCTGATGCCCAACGTATCCTGAAGGATTCCATTTCCTCAAGCAATTTCCCTCCAATACAAAGGAAAATGAAGGCATTCCCTAAAACCATGCCTTGGATAAGCAGCTAGAAAAGACACAGTAACAGCTCTAGCAGCCTATAGAAAACTCAGCATAATCAAGTGGCAAAAGCCCTTCCCATGCCACCGTTTACAACTTGATCCCATCAACTGCACAAATCGTCCTCCGGGTTCTGTCTCTAGTGAATCACATGAAGTGGCCTTCAGTTTCAGTGATGAGAAGAGGCTTCCAACCTCTGGGTTTGCATTGCTCCAGGGGCTGAGGTTCTCTTGTTATTATAGCAAGCCTCCTCCTTTTCCTTCCCCTCCCCGTCAAACAGAGAGAACATTTGAGGCCATCCTAATGTAGCATTGCCTTCCAGCATCACCTCTTGCACTTAGCAGGGAGGGAAATACAAAATAAAAGGAATGGGGCAAAGTAAGTCCACAGAAGCCTCTGAAAGGCTTCATGCAAGGATCTCAGGGGGGTGGGGAGAGCAGGAATACATCAGCAAGCCTACAGAAATAGCATAACCTCTAGCAACCTCAGCAATGATCACAAATGTAGGAACTGATGTATAGCCACACGCTGTGTTTCACCATTACGTTGGCACTTTGCCTCCTGACCTCATGAAAGCACTCGCAGGAATGGTTTCCAGGAGAGGCTTCAATCTGCCTAGAAACAGCCCACACCACCTGAGAGATGCCAGCCTCTCCCCATGAATCTGTCTCCTAGGAGACAGTGTGCTACACCCTCTTCCTCTACACTCTTTGGACACAAGGTCAACCAAGGCTTTTAGAACTACCAGGGCACATGACCTCAAATGTTCCTCTGCCTCTCACCCTGCCAATGAGAGTTGTAACCGAATAACTGGGTCAGTTTCAGCTTCCCCATTCCCTGCAGCAAAGAAGCTCCAAGCCTATTTGAGAAAAAAATGATCACCATTCTCCAATTCAGCTCCAAAAGCACAGAATAGACCAAAAAGCATGGCAATTCTGGGTCGGGAGTTATGAGACATTATGGTATATCATTTCGCTTTCTGACAACTATGCTGGGAGGGGCCATGACAACAAGATCTACAGTTGTCAGAAGGGTTGAGAGACACAACCCAGAGGAACAGCAGCACCAGCTGTATTGCAATCCACGCAAATCAGGCTGTATAAAAAATGATTTAAATGCCTTAAAACAGCAAAAACTTTTTAAATCAGAGTTTTTAAAAAGTTTTATTAAGCACCCCTTTAAAATAACCTGGTTTTTCAGAATGCAATAGAATAAATATTGATGTAATACAAACAGGTATTTTAAAGCTGGATCCCCGATTAAAAGCAATGAATTGAAGCTTAATTTTCTATGTAAAATTATAATCCAAGAGCAAAAAATGTGGGTACCTTGCAGACCAGCATTACAGGCCTCATTGCTCCTGGAATGTATTTATTGTATGCATGGTGAGTATTTATAGAATTTCTGCCCAGTAACTACCACCCACTGCATACGGAAAGTTGGTGGTACTTGGTCACCAAGGAAGTAATTTGTGTGCCCTTACACATGTACAGAAAGCTAAACAAAACTACTTAATTTTACGAACTGTCTCTGATTTAAGGAGAGACTGAAATTCTGTGTATACTTACCTAGGAGAAAACCCCATTTACATAGCAAGACTTGCATTTTAGTAAACATGCACAAGACTGCACAAATAGATTTTGTAGTGGAAAATGCATCAGGGGGTGGATGACGAGAGATTTCCAGATTATGCTCCTGGGGCTTCATCTTATTACAAACAGGTATGTTTTCACTGTTACAACCACATATTAATATGCATAACTGTTTAGGAAATAAATGTATTAGGAAGCTAAAACAAGATTTCAGTCAGTGCTCTTCAACCATGGGTTCCCAGATGTTACTGGACTACAACTCTTATTTTTCGTCACTGGCGAAAATGATTGGGGAATATGGGAGTTGCAGTCCACTGGCATGTGGTGACACAAGGATGAAGAACACTGGTTTACGTCAAGCTACCCTGGACAGAGCAAGGTCTCATAACGCTTCTTTGCCCAAACTGTCAAGTGCATTGCTGTGCAAAGGCAAATCCCCATCTCAAGCTATTCTCGAAGGCTGACAGACAGCACAATACACACATCCTACCCAAGCACAACTATATAAAGCCAAAACTGCCTTTACCTTATGCACACTCTGTCTCACACTAACACCCACAGAATCATCAAGCCAGTGCTGCATTTCTTCTACCTTCTGTGCCATGTGTCTCCCATGCCTACACCCACACTTTCTGCTCAGCCTCAAGTGAGGAAAGACATGTTTCATTCTGCGTTTTCGACTTTCAACTTCACATATACTCACCAAGAAGAGATACTGCAGGCCATAAATTATAGAGTTTATTGTTAGTACAGGCTTCCAGTCCTCTCTGTGTGAGAGAGAGAAAAAAGTGAGTGTACAGAAAGGAAAACCTCCCAAAAGGAGTAATAACAGCAGACTGAAATGTAGGGTAGGATTCAGGATTTTTATTTTATTTTTTTAATTATTAATCTTAAGTCAAGTCATCTTGAGATGCTTTTTGTATACGGCAAACAACAAATGTCATCAATAATAAGATCACTGTGTGACACTGCACCAAACAGGTTGAAGAAGCAATTTCCCTAAGGACCAGGACATTATGTTTAAAATCTTAATGCTTGAAGGGACATATAGTAGAACTCTATTACTGAAACACATTTGAATAAAATTCTTAAACTCCAGAAAAAATAGCCCAAGAACAGGCCTCAGTACTGTCAAGCTGGTTCCGAACTTTTACTCTCCTTGGTTCTCATTTGTTTGTTCACATCAATGCAGTTCTATCAAAGTCCAGCAAATCAACTGATTATTATTATTACGAAGGCAAAAGCAAGGAATGTTACTGATGACCCAAAATGAAAATAATGTTTTCATATCCAATTGAAAAATGTTAGGGTAATCAATAGGGAGACATAGTGATGATGCTTGACATATGTGGTTACTTTATAATTTTAGAGAAGTTCACAGACAGCTTCAGAAAAACAATATATAGAAGTGAATGGAATATAGGGCTTAGACAGCAGAGCAGCCTCTGTACCTGAGGATATTTAGGCAGACATTGCCTTCTAGGTCTATGTTGGGATGATACACCATGGTCTCACACTTCACCTTGGGTGGGTCATGTGGGTACCCTTGTCCCACCTGCAAATGAAATACAAGAAAAATAAGAACTGTTGGCCTCCTTGGGTTCATTATAAGAGATTCCATAATGCACAGCAAAACCTTAAGATTACCAGTCACAAAATCCTGGACACACGTATGCCATACCTAGCAGATCAACTTTGTTCTCATACCAACAAACTAATTTCCTAACATGGTATCTTATCTTCATACACTCTAGGTTTTGCAACCTGTTTGTCCTAGGTCACAGGGTGTGGAACCTGCAAGACTCCTTATCTTGTTAAGACTACAACTCCCATCAGATCTAGCCAGAATGCCCAATGGTGAGGAACAATGGGAAGTGTAGTCCAGCAATATTTGCTGAGTGATAGGTTCCCCACCTCTCCTCTAGGCAGTTTGTCCCAAAGACATGCAAATACAATCGTACCTTGGAAGTCGAACAGAATCCGTTCCGGAAGTCCGTTCGACTTCCAAAACATTCGGAAACCAAAGTGCAGCTTCTGATGGGCTGCAGGAAGCTCTGTGGGAACCCCGTCGGACGTTCGGCTTCCAAAAATAGTTCGCCAACTGGAACACTCACTTGCGGGTTTGCGGCGTTCAGGAGCCAAAAAGTTTGAGAACTAAGCTGTTTGAAAACCAAGGTATGACTGTAATCAAGTCATTCCTTGAAGCACTTAATGCACCATCTTCTATTAGAAATCTCTGGCATCTCTTATTCATGTGTGCAGTGCAACACTGGTTCCAGAAGCAAACAGGTGCTTCTATAGAATGCCTTTCAGACAGTAATTGTGTATATTTATTTTGTCAATTGCCTGGGGAATATGACTCAAGGATCATATAGATAAACACTTTTTACATAAATAAAAACAAGGAAACTGCTGTGACTTGAGCGCTGAAACGGTGAGATCCAGATCTTTGTGAGTGGAGACACTGGGAGGCTCCAACAGAAAAGGTGAAGGGAAGAAGCCCAACATGCTCTCAAGATACAGGGATCTATGTCTGTTTTAAATTAGGTTGAGAGAAATGCTTCCAATGTCTTCAGGAAAGGAACAGCTTTAAAATCAAATTTGATAGCTTGATAGAAGAAGGCACCACCTTGGTGACAGATTTTATTGTGGATTAAGCTTTAAGAACCAATGGGCTATATAGAGAATATGTTGTTGGGACATGGATTGGGGAGACCCAGGAACAATCCCTCAATCAACCAAGCAGCTCCATGGGTGCCTTATGACGAGTAACCAGCACCCAGCCAGGCCTATCCCACATGGCTGTTACGATAATCAAACAGCAGGTGAGGAAGGAAGAAGAACCATGCATAACACCCTGAAGGGTGGGATAAAAATATAATTACGGCCAACATTTATGCATCAAGCCCAACTGACAAAGGAAGGGAAATCTTGGGGCCCACACACAATTACGAACACCCTCACTACATTTTTAGAAATGTTCCAGGGTTCTTCCCATTAATGCTGTCTTTAAATAGCCGTAATTAAAACTAATTTTAATTGTTTACATTTCATACTTTTGTCACTTTCCCCCTCTAGTCAAGAAAGATGAATAATTAGCAGAAAAATCCTTCACCATGGCTGGCAGCCCCTTTCCTAACGCCTCTACATCCTCATCAGAACTCCTAATTTCTACTGACAGCTCTGGCTCAATGGGCAAGTACATTTTAAGAATTGCCAAGACAGCGCAGAGGCCTAAACAGCACCGAGTTTCTTTCCTCTTTCACCTCCAAGTTCAAAACAAGCCAGGTTCCTTGCCAAGCTACACACCCAACATTTTTCTTCATTTGCATCATTTAGCCCAGCTGCTGCTGGGCTTTCACAGAAATGGCCCTGACATGGAGAGAGAAGATCCACCTTGAGCACTTTTTACTGGAAAGGGAGGGTTAAAAAAAATAAAACTTCTAACAAAAAAATAAATAAATAGAGAGGGTCAGAGCTGTACAGGAAATATTTCAGCTGCCCTTTTGTTTTGATTCATTAGTAGCCTGTGTGCTCACTGATCTTCTCAGAACTAGGTGAAACGGAAAGTTTAAATGAAAGCAAAGATTGCAGGGATGCCGGGTTCTGAGCAATGGAATGTGCACCCCAGATAGATTAACTCAAGACCAATGGGGTTAAACACTAGGTGCTATGAGATACCCCAATTTGGAAGCAGGTATGTTTTAAAGTGAGAAGAACTTCCTAGATCACTTTTTTAAAAATCTGGTGTATAAACCTCATGTTTTGAGGGGCTGGCAAGTTTGAAAACAAAAAACAATGTTTACTAGATGATCAGAACCAGGGCAGCCTTTCCCTTCTATGTTTTCAAATCGCAACTTCCATCAGCCCCAGACAGCATGGCCAATGGTCAGGGATGATGCAAGCTGTAGTCCAAAACATTCAAATGGGCAGCAGGCAGAACAAGAGAATTCCCACAAGGGCTCCTCACTCCAGCCCATTCCTTGGCTAAAGTCACTTCAAACTCTAAAAAAAATATATTTTTTTAAGTTTGGTAAAAGCAACAACAGTAAAAAATAAACAAGCAGCCCCAAAATCCCAAACAATGCATGTAGCTGCGGAATTTATTCTACACAAAGAAGTAGAATTTCTTCAATTTATAAATCATTCAGCAACCATGTCTTCAAGCACAGACAATCCCCAGTTTGAGATTCTCTAAGTAGGAAGTCTTACATCAGGCAACAGCCCATTTAGGACATGCCTTCAATCCCTCCCCAATCATTCTCCCTTGGTTGTTGTTTTTTGGGGGATGTTTATTTATTTTTTAAAAATGTCTCTCTTTCCCATCAAATGGTTTCCCCTGAACCAGGCAGCTTTGAGGCAGAAAAATAAGAGCAAACCCTGTCCTGCTGCCCCACCCCATTCCCAGTCATGCCTGGATCTACGTTCATAAAATCAACCACAGGGTTCTGCGTATGCCCAAGAAAGCTCAGGTACTCCCAGAAGTAAAGTCAGATTTGGGGGTTGGGGATACACCCAAGGAAGCACAGTCACATTGTACCTCACAATGAACCAATCTATTACTTCCTCTCCTTTCCTGCCCCCTCTGCCCCAATTATTAGTACTTTTACTCATCTACATGGCTGTTGACACAATATATAGCCTCTTATAACTAGCCCAAGTAAAAAAGGGTGGCTAAAATGCAGTGAAAAGCAGGCAGCTTGATAGTGTGCCAAGACAAACTCCTACAACCAAACGTATACCTCCACCACACCACCCCACTAAAAGCCTGGGGCTTGGACAAGAGAAAACAGGGAGGTTACTTACTTTAAAACTGAAAACGAATTTCCCACCTTTATAGAAGCCCTGCAAGGCAAAATTTTAAACATTTTAAGCAATTTTGGCTCCATATAAAAGAGAACAAGATTCACCTTTTTGGGTGGGGGAAGGCAGGTTAATGATAAAACATTTTAATCAACTCTAGAATCCCTCATCCAAACAGTCAAAATTGAATGTTTACAGCAAGGTGATTAACGCTTCATAAATCTCTGCACTTTTGCAAACCCAGTATTCTGGATGTACAGCTAATTTTCCCAAACCAGAAAACAAAATGGTAAACTAGTTGGGAAAACAGGCGTGGATGAATTCTGATGCACTAAAATGTGTTTATGTGCACAGAAGCTCAGAAGAGAGACTTTGAACCATAGTGGAAGGACTGTGTTTAGCAGAGGTGCTTTTTCTCTATTTTCCACCATCTACCAACACTTATCAGTATCCTTGACTGCAAAAAACCCTTTGTCTGAAAATGCAAACAAAGATTCTCAGGTTTTTAAGTTGAGGCTTTCAGTAATGGCCAGCACCAATCATCACAGATTACTACTTATTGTGCCACCCCAGCAGGGCTCCAACTTTCAGTGCTTGCTTCAGATGGTGGAAGGCAACAATGAATGGTGACTCATGGCCCCAGTTTTTGAAACAGTAAATATACACAAGGCAGCTTCCTCCTGTAATTTTCACGAAAACATGAAAACCGAATGTGCGCCTATGTGACACCCACTCTGAGGAACCTCGGGCCTTGTTCGTTTGCCATATCACCATGAGGAAAAGGTACATTCAGAAAGAAGGTTCCTGAAATGAAGTGCTATCAACAGCCATCTCAAAGTAAGAATCAAGCCAAAAATGTTCCATGTACCAAGTTTATCATATCAGCCAATACTTGAAATCTGCGCAAATCAAATGCCAGATTTGATGGTCTATGGCCCAAAGTCAGTTACGCATAATTAATTTCATTCTTTCATCTCACAGCTCACACTTTAACCCACCACATGCAGGGTTACAATGCCAAACACACAGGTAGAGAAAAACACCACCGTCTGAAGGTTTAGTACACCTGTGCTCAAATCAACCACTGCCCAAGCAATACTGCCTGAAAAAAATGCTCATATGAACATGCTACGGAATAGGAGGGAATATGGCCAATTAGTTCTGGTTGCATGGAACTAGCTAAACCAGGAGACTTGAGTACACTTGAGTACAGCAAAGGCCTAGGACAGGAAAATAAAGATGCACTGTAATTCATCTTGATCATTTCAATAATACACATATGAGGTGTATAAAACATGCTGAACTCCCCTTTAGGGACAGCATGCCAAGGCAGATAAAGAATAAGCACTACAAAATGCTAAGGTATGGTTAATCTTACCTCTCGTGCTGATAAAATATATATTGCACTAATATGGACGTATTAAAACATTTTATCCTTTCTTTTTGGCCTAGCAGGTCTCCAAGGTGGCTCAATGTGAAAAATTAAACAATCAAAACACACAATCAACTACAAGACAGGAAAAACAAGGTAACAAACAGCAAATTAAATAAGCAGTAGAAACTTAAGTAATTCCTTGCAGACATTAACAGGATTCTAGAGATCTTGGCTTTAAATCTAAGAACGAGGAGCAAAGGGGCAGAGAAGGAACCTTCCCACAGGGTAGAGGTGGTTAACCTGTGGCTTTTCGGTTTTTGTCAGACTACAACTTCCATCATCCCTGGCCACAAAGATGGAAGTTTTAATCCATCACCCTCTGGAGAACCATAAGTTAATCACCCTGCTGGAGAGCATTCCGACAGCCAAGACTCTTCTGGATCCTAGACAGCATAGGGATCCTGGACAGTGCTTCTGAAAAAGATCTTTTAAAGTGTGAGTAGCTTCATGTGCTACTGTTGGACTTTTGTATTCTGGATCAAGGAAGCTAACTTGTGCCTCCGAAATTTGTAAGATGGCAAAGTGAAATTAAAATAAAATAAAATACCCACTTACTTGGCATGCATTTTGTACCTGATATTTTAAGTTTTGGGAGCATCTCAATTATTTTACCTAGAAGCAACAAGCTGGTAGGCACAGAGGCTGGGCAGGTAGATTACAGCCTCCATGGTACGGAATGAGGATAAAAGGTATAGGTAAGAAAAAGGTCAAGATAGATTTAAAATTAGGAAACCTAAGAGAGTTCTACGGGAGAGGGAAGGATGAAGCATCCCTGATCACTGGTGTAACTTAAGACACAGTCCTTAAGCAATTCAAAATGCCACCACAGCCCCGACTAGAAACAAAGTAGAAAAATCACAGAAATCTAAAGTTCAACAATAGATTCCTTGCACAGGTTTCTTATACAGGCAGAATAAAAAGAAAAACAGCCAGATCTTAGAATTCTGTCAACCTCATGGTGGTGGATATCATCTCCTGTCAACTGATGCAAGACTCCTCCCTGCTTTAGCTGTATCTTAGAATTGTGCTATTATGCAATGGAGTTTCCTGGCACACCCACCAGGCCTTTCTATGGTGACAAATAGAATGGCAAGCCCCAGCAGAGTGGTCTGGCTACATGACTCCTCTCTCTACCACTTACCTCATCAGGGCAGATAACTAGCTTGAAGTTGAGGAGGTCATCCTGGTCTGAAAAGTCTATTTCGCATGTTTTCGGCAAATTCAATTCATTAATATCTGGGAGGAAAAGCAGAAGTGGTCAGTTGCAGGGACAGACTACTTCACATGACTGGTGATCAGGCCAAAACCAAAATAAACCTCCCACTTTTTAAATCAAAATCTATTCCTATCCCTTTTTTCCCAGTGGCCTTGCAAGCTTTGTGATTTGCTGAAATGAGGTGCCATTTCATTTTTTTTAAAATTAGAAAAAGGGGGCACAGACATGCCATCAGCTCCCTGGTCACAAGTCAGGAACAAAAGGAAATGCTTCCATCTGAATACAAGTCCATGCTAGCATGTTGGAAATAGAGATCTATGGAACCGTACGCAAAAATTAAAAAGAGCGGCGGGTGTGCATGTACAAGAGCTGGCAACTACCTATGAGTAATCAAACACAGAAGGGGACCTGAAGATTTGTTTCATTTCTCACTCTAAGACAAAACAGGGGAAAGAGCTTATTTTAAGAACTATATACTTAGTTCTCTGTTAGATGGGGCTTCAAATTCTTGCTCAGCCATTAAGCTCCCTAAAGATGGCTTCTATAAAGTCTATTTGAAGTCATAGATTTGCCATAGGGGTAAAAATGTGAAGACACAATGGGTGCCACCCTGAGTTCCCTGGAGAAAGACAGGATAGAAGAAAAAGCAGTAATAAATAAGTAAATATATAGTCTGAGCAAGGGCCCCAGGACTCAAACGAACACGAGACCACCTTGGGCATGAAACAGTGCTTTGGCGTCATCAGCCAAAGAGGCACTGCTCATCCAACACTTCCTCAGGCTTGAATTTCAGAATTCCAACCCGGAGTATGTACCCCAACATCCACAGTCACTTAAAATAGTGGGCACTCTCCAGTTCCAAGTTTCACCTCTGCCACTCCCTTAGGCAGCATTTATCATAGTTTGCACAGTGGGGGTACAGATGCTCTAAAAACAACGATAAAGAGGCATTTGGAAAGCCCACCCAGTTCTGCAACGCTAGTCATACTGTCCTACCAATAAAGCAAGTGAGCACCTCTTTATCAGCAGTGCATAAACTATTTTAGCTTCTTCTTCTTTTTCCCCCAAATTGCAAGCCCCTCATATCCCCAGGAGAGAGGGGCACCGTCCTCTTAAAACATTATTCTCACTTGCTGTGTGCACAGAGGCCACGTAGTAGGACCGATCTACAGCCCAGAGTGCCTATTATTATGCGTGTTGGAGTGATGGGGAGGACAAGGTACTTTCCCCCCCCTTTTCCTTCCTTCCTTTCCCCCCTCCCCAACCTTTCTGGATGCGGAGCTGCGCGGCGGAGGCTTTCTTGCTGGAGCCCTTGGTGCCGCCGGCCGATTCCTCCTCCTTCTTCTGCTGCTTTAACGAGAAAAGCTTGATCATCCTGACTGGCTTGGCTGGCTGGCGGCGGCGTAGGGATGGCTGGCTGGTCTCTCGCCCTTCCGGCCGGGGCCTCTCCCACCCGGCTACCGAGGCCCGGCCTGGCCCGTCTTGTGGGGGTGAGAGGGAGGGGAGGGAGGGACGAGGGGGGAGGAGAGAGAGGGGGGAAGAGGGAAGAGGGGGGCGCCGGCGCCGGCGGCGGAGGAAGCGACTCCCGAGGCCTGGCCTGGTCTGGCCCGCCGGGGTCGGCCGAGGGACGGGGCGGCCGGGGCGGGGATGGAGGGGGGGAGAGAGGGAGGGAGCGGGGCAGGGAGAGGAGAAAGAGCGAGGGGGAGAAAAGAGAGAGGAGAGAAAGAGAAGGAAGGAGCGAAGGGGCCAAGAAACCGGGGCCGCCCCGCCTCAGAGCGCCGCCGCTTTTCCCTACTGCGGGCTCTGTTCGTGCGTGAGTGTGTCGGACGGCAACGGACAGCCCCCTTCGGCCCTTCCCGGAAGACTGTCGGCAACTTCCGCCTCACGCCCTCCAGCTCCGCCCGCCGTCTCTCCGGAAGCACTCGGGTCCTCCCGACGCTCGCTCGAAGCTCTCGGAACTCTCCGGAGCGGCCCTCGGTGATTTCCGGCTCCTCTTCTTCTCTTTACCACACGGTTCAGGGTAGTGGGAGGGGGGGGGAGAAGGCCCCTCCCCAATCCCAACGAGCCGGGGTGCGTGTGACGAAACGGCGTCGGCGCTTTCCGGCCGGCGTTCGGGCTCCGAGCAATAGGATTCTGGAGCCCGAAAGGCAGCTCGATGGGCACGTCCGGCTCCCAGTTGAACGCCGTGCGAAGAAACGCCGCCGCTTCGAGACACTGTCCAAGCTGCCGTTCTGTACTTTAAAACCTTACCGAAGGGCAAAGCAACGAGGGCAAAAAAACCTTATGCGAGGGCAAAGCAACGAGCCCTCCCCCGCTCCGTTCTGCGCTATGCACCCTGCCCCGCAAAAGGAGGCACCCGCACGAGAACCGGCAGTAAGGGAATAGCGTGGAACTCCCTTGTTCTTGTCCCTTTGAGCCGCATGTGCGAAAGCGGCTGTTCTCTGCAAGCCGCGCCGCCTCCTTTGTGCATAAACGGAGTTCTGTCCCCACGGGTACAATTCTGTGCACGCTTGTATGGGAAGAAACCTTGTAGAAACCCACAGGCTTTATTTTCGCGTACTCAAGCCTGGATCAGCTTTGCACTATCGGTACATTAGTGTGGTGGTTGCATCGTTGAGGAAAGCCACTCCGTGTTCGCATGTATTGGTTTTAATTGATGCAAATAAAAGGGAAGGGAATACTTCTAATGCGGGTGGAGACCTGACCTGACCCGCTCCTTTTTAAATAGCTTCCTGCTGCTTCTTAAAAGAGCGAGGATATTAACAATTAAAATATGTTTAAAAAAAAAAAGTATGAAAAAATCTCTTTTGATCCTATCCTGACTTGCAGAAGCAAAACTCTGAAACATAACTACTTGTATTACCATCGCCAAGTTTGTACAAGATATTGTATGCATTAACAGCTGTTTTCAACAAGCAAAAAATTAATCCAAGCAATTAGGTAACCAATCATCCACTAGTGTGATGTGTTCCAGAGCAGGTTATTTTCAAACCCAGAACTCATTTTTACTCCAAAGGTGCATTTAGGGACCTATTATTTTTTTGCCAGGACCATTAACTCAAGTGCCTTCAACCTGGCACACACCAGTCTGTTTAGAGACCCACTAAATTCAGCTCCCTCCTAATCTTAACCCCTCCCCACATTCATTAAATTTAATGCAAATTTGTTCAGATCATATTTATGACCACCCATTGACTGCCAGGAAATCTCATTTTGGCACTTAAACCACAGTTTCCCAAGAAACTGGATATAAAGTTAAGACTCCACAGGATCAATGTCATCTCCTGTAGGACCAAATCTGGATCGCAGAACATTCCAAAGGAATGTTGTATCGCAGGTTTCTGCTCATTTGTTTGGTACTCTACAATTGGAACTGGGGGCTTTCACTAATCACAGAAGCAGCCATCCATTTTTTTCATCAGGAATAAACTGTGGCTTATTTTTTTGCTACAGTTACGATTAGTGCTTTTAGTGCATGCAAGTGAATTGCCTATTTTGTTCGTTTTGTGTACTCCCCACTTTTAGAAAACTTATCTTGGGACAGCAGGAAGGGAGCAATTTTTGAGCCAGGCAATACAGCTTTCAAGCTGCATTATGCCCAGTGGAGGCCAACTCATTAGGGCTAGTGAGGCACTGCCTCACCAAATTCAGGCTGCCGCCGCCGCCACCACCACCAGTCCAGGGGATTGAACCACCTTTCAGATCCCAACTCAGCCTAAATGTTACCCCTGTAGAACTGAAAAGGAAGGATGGGGACAAGAGTAGAGTAGGCATTAAACAACACCAGAGTATGCCTTTGTGAATTCTGCCAACTGGGCAGAGATTATCAAATTCACTGTATTATAACCCCTCTGTGATGCAGAAAATCGAAAATCAAACTCTTTCCCACCACCACCAAATTGACAAGACACACCAGTTGCAAACATCTTTTATTTTTCTCGAACATGGAAAGAAGCAAAGTCTAAAATATACATAAGCAAAGAAAAAAAGCACATTTTCATGAGAATGGCTCTTGGGATAGTGAGGATAAACTACTGGGACAGAAAGCTTTTGAAGATACGTACAGCCAAAAAGTACGGCTACACGGAGGGGACAACTGGATTTAAAAACCTACAACTACCTTGACTTATGAAAACAGACATCTCTCCTCTTCAACAAACTCAACAGAAAAAGCAAGGAGTCCTATTTGGACACAGGAATAAAAAAATATATAATCAAACCACCACCACCTCAGAAAACAGCTGTCATGAAGGCCCAACAACAGTTGCCTCTATTAGATGTCCAGGTTGATTTTCACTAGGACCGCATATAAATTGAGAAAAAACACTATGTTCAAAAATTCATAGACTTAAAAAACAGACAAGAAAGAGGAGAGTCTGTGCCCTCAACTCTCACTGCAGTTGGGGGCCTACTGGACACCCCACAAGAGCAGTCAAGTATCTTATAAGGGGCAGAGATTTTCTGTTAGGAGATCCAACTTGTTTCTGGGCCACAACAACCTCCCTCCTTGGTGTGCGGAGGTGAGGACTGGGGGGTGAGAGTGGGAGAATTTTAAAAAATAATAAAAAGGGAACTACAACTTTGTTCCCACTTGGAGCAAGAAAGGAATACAAGAGGAGAGCAAGTTATAGGGTTCTGGATTGCCCCGAATCAATTTCCATTCCATTCCAATACAAAAACAAAACAAAACACAAAGTGTATCTGTCAGAACAAGGGCATAAAATTTTCCAAGCAAAAAAAAAATAAAGAGAGAGAACAGGTCAGACGATTTATAACCATTATCTAAGCAGTCGAGGTCTACAATAACTCTCAAAAAAAAAGGCAGAGAGGTGCAGAAGGGAACAAAGAAGGGCTGCCCAAGAAAGACCAGAAGAGTGGAGGGCAGAGACAAAATGAAGGCAGCTTCAAGAGGGTGCCCCCCCACACACATTTCCCCTCCTCCGTGGAATGCTGGTCCGTCTGATAGGAGCAGCTTCTTCACTTCTTTTTAGGTGGCCATTCCCTCGTCCTCACCGCTCCCATCAGGCTTAGAAGAGGTGGCCTCACCAAGGTCGGTGGCTGGGGAGCCACGGACAGGGAGAAGGCCACTTTCCTGCGGCTCATCCACATTGATGGGGTCGCGGAGTGCCGAGAACTTCCGGTCGCCAAAGGCAGCGCTCAGCTTGGCCTCAAAGAAGCGCTGCAGCCCAATGATGGACTGGACATCCTCCTTATCCTGATGAGACAAAAAAACCAGTGTGTGGGCAAAGCAAGCGAGCACTCAAAAGTGAGACATCAGGGATATTTACTGCCCACTTGACACACTAGCTGGGGAATGCAGCAGGCAAGAGTGCTCATTATCCTCCAAATACAAGCCACATGAGGGAATCCACCCAGGATTACATACAGCCGTGCTGTTGCCTGAACTATTCAGTGTTAGGCTGCTGACAGATTTAGATGCCCAATGTTGTCAGCCAACAGGCTCAATTCAACCTGTGAACACAACCAGGCACAGCCCTGTGTGTGTGTGCAGAAGAAATAGTGTTCAACTTACGTTAAGGGCAGAAAGGAGCTGGCCCATTTAGAACTCATCCTATTCCAATGACTGCACTTAGTTTTAACTGGTGTTAAATAACGCGTTATTAAATTGGTGTCACCTGTAACCCAATACCTCATAGTGAAGAGCAGGTAAGAAACCTAATAAATATTCTATCTATGTTAAATAAGGGGCACTAATGAACCTGTAAAACAGGTTTTTTATATTAACCAAAACATTTGCAGGAAGTGTTAACACTAAGTAGAGAACTGCAAAGGTTCCCTTGTCTTTGTTATACTCAGTAAATATCAATGATTCCCAAACATTCAACACCCCACCCCAACCACCTGAAAATTGCTGATGGTCTTGGCAGACCCCTTAATTGTTTTTTCCCCCCTGCCTGTTATTACAATTGGAATTCTATGGAGCTGTTACAGCAATATAACAAATAAAAAAGCAGTAAGAATATAACTGAGTAGCAGTACAAATATTCGGATGTGGTGGATGTGCCAACTCCCATCTTCAACCACAAATCCAGATAAACCACAGGCCATCTGTATTTGGCTTGGGGAACCCTAAATTTGGGGACCCAAGGATATATTTCCAAAGGAAATATATAAACTATTAATAGGGAAAGGGGGGAGGGGGAGAAGAGTCAAGTATTTACAAAGTTTATATAGGTCACAATATTTATATACAGTGGTTACCTCGCAAGACGAATGCCTCGCAAGATGAAAAACGTGCAAGACGAAAGAGTTTTTCGTTTTTTGAGTTGCTTCGCAAGATGAATTTCCCTATGGGCTTGCTTTGCAAGACGAAAAACAAAAAAAACGAAAATGTCTTGCAAGTTTGTTTCCTTTTTCTTAAAACCGTTAATACCCAGGGTGACTTCGAGGAGCAACTCATAGCACGCGGTGTGGTAGCCTTTTTTGAGGTTTTTGAAGACTTTGGTGATTTTGAAGACTTTGGGAAACCGTGCTTCGCAAGACGAAAAAACTCGCAGAACGAATTAATTTCGTCTTGCGAGGCACCACTGTACTGCTTGACTGTTAAAAAAACTTCACAGCCATTTACAAAGATAGTAAAACAATGAAACTGCCATTAAAAAGTTATTTAGAAACATTCAAACAGTAATTAATATCATTGGTAAGCAAATAAAAACCCACCCCAGATTCAAACACGGCACATCTATACATTCTACATATCTAGGGGTAGTCCTGTAGCAGGTTGGTTGGTTGGTTGGTTGGAAATGTTGCAGCTGTTTCCACCCCCCAGCCCCCATTCTAGCCCCCTTAAACCTGTCGTCCTTCTGCCCTTTTGAGCAAGAGGAAGCCTTACCTCTGTCAGCTTATTAAACTGCCTGAACATCTTCCAGACATCATCTGCAAACTCATCAGGAGAGCCATAGGGTGGCGAGAGCTTCCGCTGCAGCTTGGCTCTGATCAAGGTCAAGTCAATGGTGTTCTGCCCCTCCTGCAGTACAGAAGGAGACAGGAATAAAAACCAAGCTGTCTTGACGAGGTGCTTCCAGCACCTCTCACGCTATCACAGGTACATGGTTTAAGAAGTCCACAAGACATCCAGCAAGCTTGCAATGCAAATAGTGGCATTTTGGGAAGAGTGCTCCTGCTGTTATGTGAATGGCTACCTAAGAGCAGGTGGGAATTCCTCTGCCCCATCCTTTTTCAAAGGGATCCTCCAAACATTCCCAAGATAATGCAATACTGTGTTTTCCCTGCCTGAATTGGGAAGCAATACAGCCACAGCATTTGTAGGCCTTTTAAACCATTCAAGTAACCCCTTCTGGGTTTTGTTTTTTTAAACTGGTTCTCTCTTCCAGCCTCTGAAGAGGATAGAAATAGGCAAACGGAAAAGTTGGCAGAACTCCACTAATGTGTCCTTGGAGCTAAGCAGGAGTGAAGGGGGGGGTTACCAGGGTTATTTGGAGGTCTGCCTATTAGAGCAAATGGGAGGAGCAACACCATTAAGAGCAAGGGTTGCCAACATGGTGCCCTCCTGTTGCTCCCATGATCCCTTATCATTGGCCAAGCTGGCTGGGGATGATGGGAATTGCAGTCCACAGCTTCCAGAGGCCACATTAGCTCCTCCTGTATTACAAAATACCCTTCTCCATGGAAGGAAATGGGTGGCTGAGAGTTGAGAAAGAACAGGACACCAATTGCATTTAAATCCATAAAACCACTCCAATACTTTGGAGGTGGGGGGACAAAAGGAGAAGGGATAATACTTGCCATAAACGTGTTAACATTTTACAACTAAATGAAGCACCGTTGCGTTGATTAGATATTCAACATTCCCCTTACATCACATATGACAGACTCACTATGGTATTGGAGAGTCGGTGGAGAGGCCTGCATGGCTCATAACACAGTAACTCAAGGAGAACCTGCTCACATCTCTGTGGGAGACAAAACAGAGAAGGTGGTTAGTGGCAAATGGAGTTAAGGTGACTAAGCTGCAAATCAGAAGCCTGCAAGATACATGGATGTGTAGGTTTATTGTCAAGTCCTCTCCATTATAATTTCAGTGCTTTGTGACATCCAGGAATCAGCTGCCTAAATCAGGTCCATATTGGAAGACTAGTACTGTGCTGCTTTGCCCACCCTTTCATACCTCCATGCAGCTCACTGTAGCCCTAGCCCTGGCAGGGTCCAGGACTAGCTGACCTCAACCTGTTTCAGATCGTATTTCTATAATCACCACTGTTTAGGGAAGCTTTTAATGTTTGATGTATTACAGTATTTTAATATATTTTTTTGGAAGCTGCCCAGAGTGACTGGGGAAGCCAAGCCAGATGGGCAGGGTATAAATAATAAATTATTATTGTTATTATGAACACTGGGTCATGCAGGCTGACAGGAGCTGCTGCCAAAAGGTGCCATACTGGGGAAGGATGGTCCATATAGCCCCCCTGGGGCTCCCGGGTGAAAACTGTGTAAATGGGGGGGGGGGCACACCATGAGGTTAGGGAGCCACAGAGTGAAATGAGAAGTGAAGGGGGAATTTTTTAAATAAAAAAAGCCTGATTGGCTGGCTAGCCGCTTGGCCAATCACAACTGGGTAAGAGAGTGGGCCCATTTGACCAGTAGAGCCTGCAATCCAGAACCCCCAGGTCAGGCAAGTGCAGTGGTGGGATGGCAACGGGTAGGACTGGGAGCGAGCCACAGCTGCTTGTTGCTGCTGCCGGTTCTGGGCCTGGTGGCAGCCTGGGCCTGACACTGCAGGGTGGAATCCACCCCAGCGCCTAGCCGACCAGGGCCGCCTGGTGCTGCTGACTTGCATCTACTGTCTACTCAGAAGAAAGCCGCACTGAGTTCAGTGGGCCTTACTCCCAGGTAAGGAGGGGTTTAACTCAGGGTTAGCCAAGGCGACGCCCTCCAGATGATGTTGAACTTGTCTCAGCCAGCAAAACCAATGGTCAGGGACGATGTGACATGGACATCCTAACCCATTCCTGGGATTGGATGCTGTTATAATTATATGTGCTCCACACCTTGTCTGCTTTAAAGGTCAGGTCAACCCCAAACGAAGCATTCAGCTCTCCAAAGCCCCAAGCCAGCTCTGCCCACACCATCAGCCAGAGCAAGCTGCTTTTCTTCTCAAGACAAGGCAGACTAGTACCTGCTGGTCAGCAGCTGACAGTATCTTCACCTCCCCATCTATGGAGACTGGAGTCAAGTCGGTCCCATCCTCTTCAATGGATCTCACTGGCTGCTCACACAACAGACACTTCCATTCCTGGCTGCAGGGGCAAAGTGAGAGAGAGGTATTGTTCCAAGGTTGGCCACCACTACAGTACAGCTAGGGAGAAATCCTGACAACTTGCAGTTGGAATTTTTATTTTGTGATTTCCTTTCCATTCTTGCTACTTTTAAGATGGCTTATTAGCAGGTTCCATTCCTCACAATTTTTTTATTTTTATTTTTAATCCTGAAAGGGTGCTAGGTATTTATTTCCATTTGGCTGGTCACTGCAGATCCATTACCTTTGAAGTGGAGAAGTTAAGAGATCAGAGCTGCCTACAGGCTTCACCCTTTCGTTTCTACAAGCGTCTCTGTGCAGAGATTTAAGGTTCCATTCCATCATCTAGATAGTCCTCATGCACTCCCCACCACACGTTTGCAAAGATTAGCTGTGGATGGCTTAGGAAGAAGTCTACTATTCAAACACCTCCTAGAATTGTGGTGGGGAACCTGTGGCCCTCCAGCAAAGGAATGTTCCCACATACACTAAGTCTGCATTAACTGCAGATTATATAACACAGAGAAAGGAAAATTCATCTTGATGATTTCCAAAGGGGGAAGCATCTATTTCCATGTCTTCTGAGCACTCAAGTGTTTTGCTGAAGGACTTCCCTTCTGCAGCGCTACAAGAATAGAAAATTGGGCAGAGTCATCTTCATAAGGCTTGCTGCTTGTGCCACTACCACCATTCCTGACTTACAAGCCCTGTCTTCTCCTCCAGAGCCAGCAGGAGGAACACCAAGATGCACGAGATGACATTCAGGAATAGGGAAGCCCATACCTGGGGATTTCCAGGAGAGCAGGCAGGTGACAATCCAGGTGGTAGCACTTCTTGCAGCCATCACACATGACTACAGCACCAGCTTTCATGCAGACTCTGCAGGAAGCAGCTTCGTCCCCATTGGCAGTGCCATCATGGCTGTGAACTGACTGCATTTCCATAGCAGAGCTGGTGCTGCCACTGGGGGAGATGAGCCGGGGTGCTAAGGAGCCTTCTGGAAGCAAAGCATCCTGGGGCAGCACCACTGGCTTAGTGTCTTTAGCGTCAACAGAAGCTGGGAGGTCAATAGCTGCCTCCATCTGCTCCTCCTGGAGGAAGGAGGACAAAGAGGGAGTCAGGACAGAAGCACAATGAGAAAATGCACAGGGAAAGCAGTACAAAGAATAAAGAACACCCCCTCATTATTAGGGAACAGGGTGAAATAAATCTGCTCGTACAAACCAGCTGGGATGAATTTAGTGATGCAGATTATGCAATAGTCTCATGTTTTAGAAATATTTCTGAACATACATCTAAAAATGTATAACTGACATAATGGAAAAAATGAAAACTGATTATATATATATATATATATATTTCAAACCTATTTTTATTAGATGCAGGAGACATCCCAGAGATCATGTCCACATTGTCAATATTGGGCTAGACCAGGCATAGGCAAACTCGGCCCTCCAGATATTTTGGGACTACAACTCCCATCATCCCTAGCTAACAGGACCACTGGTCAGGGATGATGGGAATTGTGGTCTCAAAAACATCTGGAGGGCTGAGTATGCCTATGCCTGGGCTAGACCAACACCGCACAGGAATTTACTCCCTTCATTAAAATTGGGGGGGAGCACACAAGTATTCTTCAACTCAAAAAGCACACTGGTTTTTCCTTGAACAGCTCCTAGAACGATGGACGGGTATCCACCTTGCAGCTGCCCGGGACAGGCCAGTTAAACCTGTCCTCCTATTATCCAGCCTCCCCACTGCCTAGATGACAAAGGGTCAGAAGACTGCGCTATTTTCTGGACACTGATGATATTCTAGGAGCTCCTTACGTCTTTCAGCTTTAACGCAGACCGAAGATGCCCAAGTAGATTTCCTTGTCATATTGGCTGGAGGGAGAGGATGAATACAGATGGGACAATCTGCAGCAGGCATCCCTGCTTCACTGGTCAAATTCATCCAGGCACACTTCAACCCCTTGGGCACTGCAGCAGCATGCTCTGGCCCACACTTTCAGCAGTGGTGGGCGGGACGGACTTACTTTGCTTGACTGTGTACAAAACTTGGAACTCCTTATGGACTGAACAGGAGGCGATGGTGGTTTTAAAAGTGGGTGGTATTCACAGGTGAGCAGGATCGCTACATGCAGCTAGCAATACTCACCACCCCACCCAGATCTATGCTAAAGGGGCAACGCTGACCTTCACTGCTGCCGGCAGCCCTGCTAAATGGGCGGCGGCAGCTGCCGCAGCTGCAGCTTGCTGAACCCCACGTTCGATCACAATGAGATTGAAGTCTTCAGTGGAAGAGCCAGGAAACACCTTGAAGACAGGTGGCTGGTTGTCCGATGTCAGGTCCACATCCAGCCGCTCCAGACTGACACGAGGCACCTTGCGCACGGTGCCACCCTCTCCATCTTGGCCGCGGGACCTGAAGCATAGTAGGAAACCCATGCTAGGAACTGCAGGCCTGGCCTTCATGTATACACAGTAAAGTCTAGGAAATTTAAGGTCCTAGGCCCTCTTGCCTTAGATTTAAAGTTGAAAATCGTGTATGTTAAACCTCAGAAATTACAAAGGTCTAGCTGAAGTCTGCAATACCTGGTAGGAAAAGAAAGTCTCCCACCGATACCACCCTTTCAACACACCTATTCAATGACACTCCTGCAAGAGTACAACCCCATTCAGCTGTTGTAGTGTTAACTAGGATGGAACTGGTTTTATATGCTTAATGAGTAGACAGCAGCCTTCTATCTAGTCCAGCTCAAGGCAAAATGCACTTCCTAATGATCAGACCTGAGCTCCCAGAACATGGCAACTCTCAAGCTTTCCATCTGCTTGGAAATTTGATTGGAATGTGTCACATGGATGGGCAAAATAAAATTCTCGTTTGCACCAAGAATTCCAGTCCAGCAACACAACCAGTTTTAATACCTATTACCTCTTGCAGACAAGGATGCTTGCTGGTTCAGTTTTAGTTCGACAACAAAAGGTTATTCAGGTCGTATTCTGAAGAACTCCTAAGGTTATACTTTCATGCAGGAATAATTCTTGTTCCAGGCATTTTGCGATCGGGGGGGGGGGGGGTGGAAAGAGTTACCCAGCAACTGCATGCTGCTGCCCTTCAATAACTATCTCATACATTTACTGTCAAGAGGTAGTGAATAGAGTATCTCTATATTTTAGGTAAGTTACCACTCCACTTTTTCAAAGTAGCCTACAAATCTACAAATCCATGGCCAAGATCTTTTTCCTTTGGAGCAGGCAGATTCTTAGCACTCAACAATGCACCAGATTCTGAAATAGCACACGTGTATGAGAATAGAGAAGATGGGAGTGTGGTTTGGAAGTCAACTACTGCAGAATGGGGCCCAAGCGCCCCAGGAAGACATGGCAGCACATAAAAAAAGAATGCACTTACCTCTTCATTCCAGAAACATTGGCTTCACCAGAGTATGATCCTTCTGTTGTAGTAAGGGAAAACAAGTGTCAAAAGACAGTCATCCCAAATTGGATCCCATCAGCCCTCCTTGGCCCAAATGCAGAACAAATCTGTCATAATCCATGGGACTGCCCGATGCCTAATTTAACCCCTCACCCCCACCCTGATGTTCCTTCTAAATCTTAGAAGTGAAAGGACCCCTTAACGCAGAGATCAGAAACCTGTGGCTCTCCAGAAGCTGTTAAAACCACAACCTCCATTATCCCAGACAACGAAACAAAGCTCATGGAGGTTGCAAAATCTGGATGGCCACAGGCTCCTCAGCCTGCCCTTAAAGCTTTTACCTGCCCTTCCACTGAAACCCCTTCAGCTCCCTTCATGCTTCTTACCTACGCCAAAGCCGTCACCCATGTCCATTGGCTGCAAAAGAACAGAGCAAAAAGTCAAGGGAGAGACCCAACACGAGCCTTAAGCTGCTTCCTCACCACTTTCCATCAAGATACATTACTTGTTACAGGTCCTGCGCAAGACAGTGGCCCTCGACTGCAGGCTTACAACTGAAAGGCACACCTTGGGAGAAATCAGCACCCACAAAGACACATTCCATCTCCTGTAAGCAGTGCCAGGAAAGGCGCCCTCCTCCATTCTAGAGACCCTTTCTTCCTCATCCTTCCCTGCTCACCTGTCCAGCAGAAGAGGCACTAGCATCATTGATATAGCAGTCGGGGATTGCCTGCCGCTGGCTGTTGGAAGGCAGCACAGGCTGAAGCAGAGCTCCCTTATTCAATATGCTTGTCTGCAGAGACATCTGCTGGACACCCTACATGGAAAGGTGGACCAGGAAGCCTGTTACTGCACGTTAAGCCAATGGATATGGAGCATTTCATGGACCATCGACCACTATGGGGGCCCCGGCAGGCTAGCCCAAGGCATGCAGCAACGTACTATCTACTTGTAGAAGGCACACGACTGATGACGCATGGTGTGTTGTTACTGTGACAGCTTCATGCATAAAATGCACCTCCCCGCCACTGAGACAGGCACTCCCAGGATGCAGGTGGACCAACCAGCCAAGGGTTGCTGGATCTACAGAGACAGGCAATCACGGGGAGACAGAACTGGTACAAAGGAGAGCCGGTACCTGAGAAGGAGGAACAGAGCCCTGCCTGACTGCCACTCCTCCAGATGCAGCAGAGGTAGCATTGGCCCGCTGTTGGGGAGTCTGGGCATTAGGGGTCGCCAGCAAGCCACTCCGCTCCGAGACTATCTGACCTAGGGGAGGGATGGTGGGGTAGAAAAGGTAGGTTATGTCTCTCAAGGGCTGGCATTTGTTACACTTGTCTCGATGCAAGAATGTAAAAATTGTCACAATGAGGTAGGGCCGGAACAGTGATGCAGGCAAGCAAAGCATCCAGGCACAGAAGCCGGAGAGCTGGCACAGAACAGCTCAAGAGAGCCACATCCAGATGTTGTTATCCCTGGGCAGGTTGGTCGGCAGTACTGTACATTAGGTCATGTAAACCTTATCACCTATTGAATGCCAAAGAGGCACTTAAGAATTTTCTGTTCTCTTGTCTCTCTGACAGACAGAGACACATTTCATTAGTAGATTTTTATCTTGAAAACACAGATATCTGCAAGACGTTTGGGACAGCACTGTGCTTTGTATGGTTTTCCCACCTTCCTTTGTGGCCTTATTGCACATCACCCAGCATTACCATTGTACCATCAGTGTGAAGGAAGTCTATGGAGTAGCTAAAGAGAAGGACAGACAACAGAAGCAAGTTCTTCTAAGTCCAGGAAGTCCCAGTTCAGAGAAGCCATGCACAAAAAGGGTGCTGACTGACTACACCCAAGAGTTTGGGGTCTCAGAAATCTGGTTCCCTGGAAGAAGGGGGGGGGGAGAATTAACCGGTGCATTACTTTCTTTTCCAGTCAAGTCACCCCCTTGAAATGGGAAAGAAGTTTAGTATTTATTTTAGTTACTTGATTGTATACTGCTTACCATAAATAAAATCCAAGACTCTGTTTGAAATGTAAAATAGAGATCTAAAATTATTTCAAACAGAAGTTGTTATCCTAGATTTCACTGAATGCATAGGACAGCACGATCCCATGCTAATGCCTCCATCCCTTCTCTTAAAAGCATAAATTACTTGAATGGGAAGCACTGTTCTTTTAAAATGGTAACAAATAAAGCCAGTTTTTCATGTTCTTAATTGCTTTTACAGAAGTTTTGGAATGTTATACTGCAGGGTAATAAACATGGCTCACTCCAGATGTTCTGAGCTACAACTGCTGGGTGCAACACCTGGGGGGGGGGGTCACCACGTTGCCCTGCTCTGCTGTATTTTATTGATTTCATGGGTGGAGTGTATGTCCAAAAACGTGAACTACAATCTTATTAATAAATGAAATAATTCCAGTAGTCAGTTTCTCACCAAATGTCTCTGCGCTCTTGGTCCAAGCATTTAAGTCCCACTGGAATTTCATGTCTCCATGGGGCTCCACAGGATCGACGATCATTTTGAGAGCCCTGTGCAGCTGGAAGTAAATCTGAAGCAGAAGGGTGTGGGGAGTGTGTGAGAGAAAGAGAAGCAAGCTTAATTGTACCAAAGGGAAACCATTAAAAGCTCATTCACTACCATCAATATAGTACAGTCTAGCTGGTCAGTCAATACCCTTCTGCACTGTCTTTGGGTACCCAGAATGGATACCCATACGGTGTGGCAAAAAGGGCAGAGATTTTAATGCAAACCGCAGAGAACCATGGCAGGTTTGTTAAAGAATGCAGTTAATGGGTCAATTCCATTAGTGAGGAAAGAGTTCCTTGTGATAAGACTTCCTTATCAGTGCTACTGAGCAGCTTAGGTACCTAACTTTATGTATTAAAGGGCTCAAATTACAGCATGGGTTGTGTTGTGCACAGCTCACAGACTTAACATATAGAATAAGGAGAACATACGTTTAAAGAAGATTGGAAAACATTTATTGACTATTTGGGAAATAACTGTACAGCTGAAAACGCTGGCAGCATTAAGATAAATTCAACAGGGTAAAGAAGTTTTGATGGATGCAGTAATGGAATGCTGAATGGTATGTTTTTTTTAAAAAAATATGCAGGGGTTTATATGTGAAATGAACCATGGAAAGAGAAGAAGGTAAGTCATTGATATCTTAAGGATGCAGTAAGAGTATTTTAAATTGTAAAACAGAAAACTTAATCCCAGCTGATTGAATGGGATAGCCACCTTCATATAACCAACCAGCTTGAATTTAATTAATGCATTAAAGGCATTAAGATCATAAGAGTGGGCTGTCCTGCCTGGCTTAGCTAAGTCACTTCCCCTCACCTTGGAAAGAAGGGTTTCATGCCTTTGTTCTACCATTCCACCATGTGAGCCCTACCAGGAAGGAGGTCTGCGCTGGTTGCTCCAGGCCCAAACCACATGGCTTTCTTACAAAGCCACCTTTGTGTTTCTGTACAAATAATTTAGAAACACTTACCACTATGGAACCTAAGCTTCACTGCCTGTTTAACAGCTGGGTGGAAAAGCACATGACTCCGACCTTTGAAGAGTTTGTAATTACAGTCAACCTTGGTTTTCGAATTTAATCTGTTCCGGGCGCAGCTTCCAATTGGCTGCAGGAGTGGAAGTTCGGCTTTTGAAAACCGTTCAAAAACCGGAACAATCACTTCCGGTTTTTCGATCGTTCGGGAGCCGAAATATTCGAGTTCAAAGGTGTTCGGCTTCCAAGGTTCCACTGTATACCTTATTTAACTACAAAATGTATAATCTTTTACTATGCTAAGGGAAGTGGGGAACTTTGGAAGTAACTTAGAAGGGGCTATTTTAAAGCTCTAACAGGCTGTATTCCACACTTTGCTTTGCTTTGCTGCATCTTTTGAGATTTTAAATCTCTGCTGGGGTTCTCTCACCAAAGAGTACTTGTCCCAAACCTGGATCTAGGCACCCAGAGAATTCTGTTTTTTTAATACATCTTTTCCTTTAACCAAAATGCAAAAGCCGATAGGTGGATTAACCTCAAACATGAAGCAAATATCAAACATTTGAGAAGTGCCAAGTAACAGCTTGAAAGCTCTCAACAAGTCCTGCATGGGCATGTGGGAAAGGAGCACCAGAGATCTCACCAGTTTCTTCGAAAGCAGCAAGGCAGTGTTGTTGTCGCTTTCCAGGGCCCAATTGGCAAAGCGTAGGATATGCTCCTGGTGGCGCTGGAGCTTTGTCATGGCCCAATGTTGTCTCTCCAGTTTCTCCTGCTGCCCTTCAGTGACTTTCTGTAAAGGGAAAGAAAAAAAGGGAATACTTGATTCAGTATCATCATAGCCACTACTAACTTTATCTAGTCTTACTATACCCAACATTTGCAGTGACATAGTCAAAGTTAAGCTTTGGCTGCCACATATGAAGAAACTGTGGCTCAGGCCTTTATTGTGCATATTTGCAGTGATGGTGACCTGTGCAATAAGGCCACCCCCTCAAGAGCAGTTCTTCCCAGAGTCAGATTTTGTTCTGCTTTTTTAAAAGCATGGTTGGTCCTCCTTGATTAGATGAAAAATGACTGTAAGCTAGTAAGTGAAGATTACTTTGATTGGTGGCATTCAAGTTTTCTTTTGCAATTTTCTTCCCCACCCCAAACTCTCCCGTCTTTCCCCAAAACCACCGCGCTATGGCATGCCCATTCGCAATCAGAAGCGGTCATTTCAGTCTCTCACCTGTGCATCATTAACCAGCACCTTGCCCCGCTTATTGAGCTCCTTCATGATTTGCAGGATGGCCATCTTCACATCCACCTGCACTCGCTTCTGCACATCTGCCACCTGCCGGATCCTGTGGATTTAAAGCAGGGGGTAGCATAAGGCTGTGGTCCCCAGAGAGCCAATAAGTTCTGTACAATTCTGCTACCAGTGCTTTTTCTCCCATAATCCTTTGAAAAGCCTGTGACCCAAAACCACATGACGACCCTGAAAGCTTAATGGATGCGAACTGTGGTCATCCAAGAATTGGGTCTTCTGTAAACTAGGCACTTACGAGGTTCGCACTTCCTTGGTGGACTTCTGGAGGTTGGCATGCTTATCTCCCAGGCGCTTCACCAACGAGGCCAGCATCTTGCGTTGGTTCTTAACTGCATCCTCCAAGAACTGGTACCTGCAGAGAAGGGTACAGCCCTCATTTGGTGACAGTACTGGGATTCTAAAAGCTATTATAAAAGGTGTGCTCGCATTTTCTCTTGCAATTTTTATTTTTATTTATTTAAAAGGATTTATAGAAAAGAAAAACATTCAGCTGTTTTATTAGTGCTTTAGAATTGTTGCTTGTTTTTACAGTAATCCTTCTGTGCTCCCTACGGGAGGAAAGGCAGGGTATAGTAGTGGTGAAACAACATACTGAGATTCTTGCATAGCACAGGGTTGGACTGGATGACCCTCTGCAATTATACGTTTCTATATTCTGATTAACCATCAAAACCTATTGCATCTTAAAATCTCAGGCTGGAAGGGGGTCAACACCTATATGGCACTGGCTTTCCCCACTTATTGTCAAGACTAATTTAGCAGAAGCAGGTGGAGGAAACGGGTGAAGAAATAAGCCTAACTCAAGATAGGAACAGCCAATTTTTCTTGATGGAACTTCCACATATGGGCATGGAATGGCATTCTTACAGCCAAGACAGCCTTCCCTAACCTTGTGCTCCTCAGATGTTTCTGGGCTACCAACTCCCCATCAGCCCCAGGCAGTGCACCAAATAGACATGGCTTATTTGAGTGGCAGTCCAAAACATCTGCAGGACACTGGGTTGGAGAAGGGTGGCGTCGGCTGATGAACTCCACAGTTTGTCTCAGGCAGCAGCAGCAGAAGGCATCATTCTAGATTGACAGGTATGTTTCTACATAGCCAGCAGGAATGCTTACTGGTGATCCTTGTGCACATTCAGCTGGCAGTCCCGGCAGGTGAGGGTGTCGCAAGTGTCGCAGAACAGCACCAGTGGCTCATGCTTGTGGACGGAGCAGTACACTGTCTTCTCTCTCTCCTGGGATTTGGAAGAGCCTAGCAAGAAGCAGAGGACAGCCTGTTTACCCTTGCAAGGCACACACCTCAAAAGATTCAGCATTATGTGGGTGGGAGAGAGAAAACCATGGCATTTGCGCCGACCATGCCAGGGCCAGCAGCACTAGTTTCAGACAAGTAATGTTTCTCTCGACTCCCTTGGAAGTTGTCGGGGACCGTGCTGAGGAGGGCCACACGGAGGAGGAATGGTGGGAGGCTCCCCCTGCTCCTGATCAGGATCCTGAATCTTCCCAGGAGCAGTAAGACAGTATAGATTTGGAACAGTGGTTGGCAGAGGGACATAGTTCAGAAGGGAGAAGCTGGGAAATACTGGATGGGGAACAGCTAGGAGAAGAAAAACTGGGAGAGAGAGGGTTAACAGATACACTGTCTCTGGAAAGCATTCCTCTGCTCAGGCCCAGAACAATATGAGCCCAGAAGGTGGCAGAACGGAAAGCACAGAGGGTGTGAGCTCAGGTTACAAGATGCAGTAGTGACATGGGTGACTAGGGAGTCATGGGGTGGAACTCTTAATTGGGAGCACCCCATTCATAGGAAATGAGTTCTTTGTTCTCTCACTGTGATCATTAAAAGTTTCTAACTGGTAAGAAGACTCCTTTTCCTTTTTCCTGCTTATCTACTGCCAAGGAAGGGAGGAAGCAGATTCCCTGAAGCCTGACAGGCGTTTCCACCAAACACCCATGACAGTGAACCTTTGCAGCCCACAAGACCTTCTCCCTATGCCGCCAACTTACCTGTGGACCGGACAGTGTGTTCCTTAGTGTACTTCACTCTCTGGTGAGCCTCCACGCAAGTCTCGCACAGGGGCTCTTGGCACTCCACACAGTAGCTGGTGGCCGGGGCATTGTCTTCACAGCTGGTGCAGCACTGATGGGAAAAGGAACATGGTTAATTAACCATTAAGAACAACAGAGTCTTTTTCCTCCAACCACCCCAATCGGAGAGGCAGAAACAGCCAAGGAACATCCAAAGACTGAGCAAAGAAACACTGGAATACGATGTGTGTTGTGGGGAGTGGGAAGTGACCCCATTACCTGGTTAGCTTCTCTGGCATCCCCAAAAGACTCTGTTGCACCATCCCGCAGGAAGTAGTTCTCCACTATGTCCTTTAGGTAACACTGGTGCTTGCACACTGGGCAGTCAACCACTGCAAAGAGAAGCACAACGGAAACATCAGGCACAACCCACAGGAACACACTTATCTGTATTTTCTGGAAACAATTTAAGACATTTTTTTGTTTCGTTTCGACAGCCTTTTCCAGCTGGATGAAAAAGTCTCTGCCTTGGAGATTCTACGTTTTGTATTGCTTATAAGCCTATCTGCGGGGGGGGGGGGCGGAGCAGTTTGTACTGCTTATCATGATTTTTACATTTTTTAAACAAAAGGATATATGCTTGTAAACTGCCTTGTAGAAATAAAAATGGAAGACCCACAGAAGCACCTAGCAGAACCAGTCTCCTCTACGTTATCTAGCCTGTTAGCCATATTTGTGCAGCCATTTCAGGATAAGGTGGGTTTGCAGATAAGAGAGAAGCAATGATAAGACGCACGTCAATGCTTCTGAACTGTTCTCCCATTACTCATCTGCCTTGCCAGGTCAGCAGCCATCACTGCAACCTGAAAAGTGGGGGAGGGGTACTCACTTGTGCTCGCTCTCTCACTCACTCACTCTCACACACACACCCCCCAAATTCCCTGCTGCCTTGATTTCCCTCTATATCAGAAAGATATAACCAAATACACCTGTTTTACAAATGGTTACAGAGGATGAAATGGAAGAGCCACACCAGCAGCTCACATGTAAAGATTAGGTCAACTGCTTCCATTCTGGCTGGTCATATTAACGACTCAGAAACTTTAAAAACTGGTGCCCTTCTATCCTACTTTCCTTTTCATCTCATGCTTTTAGACTAATATCGTAGGCAGGGACTGTCATGTTTTGTGTACAGCACTGACCACATTATACAAATTATAAGCAACCAGTTATTAGTACAATAAGCAAGTCAAGTCCTTCATTCATTTCCCCTGTGCGTGTATTTCACACGTGTGCAAGGATCCATCTAGCCCAAGATTCCAAAGCTGCCCATTTCACAATCCACGTTTCCCCCACAACCTATAACCAACTACAGTGGTACCTCGGGTTACAAACACCTCGGGTTACAAACTCTGCTAACCTGGAAGTAGTACCTCGGGTTACAAACTTTGCCCCAGGATGAGAACGGAAATCGCGCACTGGCGGCAACAGGATGCCCCATTACCAAAAGCGTGCCTCAGGTTAAGAACAGTTTCGGATTAAGAACAGACCTCCAGAACGAATTAAGTTCGTAACCCAAGGTACCACTGTACACCAGTTTGCACTTATTTTTTAAAAATGTGAAACATATTTGTGTAGATTTTTGTTATTTCCAGAGCAGTTCACACCACAATTCCAACATTAAAGCAAAAATTTTAGAATCAATAAATACTTGTATATTTACCACATCTTATTTCACCATCGAAGTATTCACAATGTTGTCATCTTTACAAAACCAAGTAACAGCCAGAATGACAACAATTGGCAGCTAAGCCACACTATTTCATACCGAGATACACTATTATTATTCCCCGCGTTTTTCCTCCCTGACAAGACTGAAAGCCGCTTACAGATAAAAAGAACCACTAAAAACATAGGAAAACAGTAATTTAAAAAACAATAAAATATTGATAGAATTTAAACTACAAACACTCTATAAAATCTGCTTAAAGCATACAAATAATTACAATAAAAACAGCACAGCACCAGCCCTTTGATTAAAAGCTGTCAATTCCTGAAATCCTGTTGGAACAAGAAAGTCTAGCAACTAATATGCAAGCTAGTATATTAAAGAAAAAATATTTTGGCTAGTTCTGACCATACACCTCAGTACTCTCCAAGCACAATCACAGACAAGATCGTCAATAAGCACAGCCTTTGTTTTATAATAGCAGATATTACTTGAACACAATTCTCTTTTAAGGGAAAGCTACTGTAGAAACCTTTGTTCTGCAAAGCTTAGCATTAACATGAGATGCAACTATGGGCGATAGCCACCAGTTTAAATGAAACCTCCAAAAAGATTCTAGAAACATACAATATGCCAACTTCCCAGAGTTATCTGTCCAATGCAAACAGTGGGCAACTCATGTTGTTTGGAGGGGGCAGAGGCGCCAAGCAAAAGTATGGCAATAATGAAGGGGAGCACTCTCTCAAGGAGCCCTATATACTTTTGAGGATAAATATATAGCTTTCTCCTGCAAGTCATCAGCTGTAACTTCTCAGGGCATCTTTGAAGCATCCGATTCCAAGAATGAATTCAGTTCTGCAGAGAAATGATGCCTGCAGACTATTGTTTGCCACTCAACCCACGTTCTCTTGCCACCCCGCTGAAGGCTGCCCTCCTCTGTTCAGGAGACAGGCCCGAGAACAGAGGTCGCCACGGTCTTAGAAAGTAGCCAGGTGCCAAGTACATTCTCCAATTGGCACGGGTCATGGGTTAGCCAGCATTTTTTGTTAGAAGGGGGGAGAACCTCAGTTAGCTATGTGTTTTATTGATTTAGGGGGGCAACTCCCCCCCACCCCCCTTGGCAACACCCATGGCACAGATCCAATTGTGAACATGTGGCGATCTCTTGATGCCAGGTTGGCGACTGACATCTCCATCTGGCTGGCCTCTCCAGCTTTCTTAAGCAGGTATGCAGAAGAGCTTATTCACTGCATTTATATCCCACCTTTTTCTTCATTGAGTATATGGTTCACCCACCCACCCTTCTCAGTTAATCCCTACAACGACTCTGAGGTAAGTTAAGAGATTGTGACCTGTCCAGGATTACCCAGTGAGCTATATGACTCAGTGGAGATTTGAACCCTGATCTCCCAGGTCTGAGTCCGACACTCTAACCACTACACTGACATGGCTTCCTGGAGTAATTCTGCTATGGGGCAGCTACATACATTAAGATGGTAAATAAATATGGGGAAAGCAATATACAACTAGGCGAAGGATCCAAAATATTTTCTTTGAAGCCTGAATTCATTTCATCCTAGATTGTTTCATTTGATGTTTTAATGTGTTATAAACAGCTTTGAGGTTTTATTTCCTTTAAAATATAAAGTGGTATTGAAATGAAATGAATAATAATATGTAATAAAAGGTAAAGGTAAAGGGACCCCTGACCATTAAGTCCAGTCACAGACGGCTCTGGGGTTGCGGCGCTCATCTTGCTTTACTGGCAGAGGGAGCCGGCATTTGTCCGCAGACAGCTTCCGGGTCATGTGGCCAGCATGACTAAGCTGCTTCTGGCGAACCAGAATAAGCGCACAGAAACACTGTTTACCTTCCCGCCAGAGCGGTACCTATTTATCTACTTGTACTTTGATGTGCTTTCAAACTGCTAGATTGGCAGGAGCTGGGAACGAGCAACGAGAGCTCACCCCGTCGCAGGATTTGAACCGCCGACTTTCTGATCAGCAAGCCCTAGGCTCTGTGGCTTAGACCACAGTGCCACCCACATCCCATTAATACATAATAGATTTCACCAAAAAAAAATGTGCCTAGGCATTCTGTGGTGGCAACTGTACCCAAGCTTTAAAGTGTCGTTTTGTGATTAGCTTACATACCTGAGTTTCTAACACTTGAGTGCCGCCTACCAAGAGGAAACAAAAGGAAGCCTCATTTATCAATTTTATTGCTGCAAACCAAAAGATCAGCAGCAGGCGCATTTGTGCAATCACCATATGAACAGGGGAGGAAGCATTCATGAGGCTACAGAGCTGAGGTGAGGAAACATGGAGGGGAAAGGGGGAGAAAAACTAAAGGCAAAGCTTCTGAGATGGAGAAGAGCACCAATCCCTAGTGGAGATGGACCAAAAGCAGCCCTAAATGTGCTATGTTGCAAATGATCCTTGAGCTTGTTTGGAGGTTCTAGCAGGGGAGCGCAGCTATCGTATACCCTTGACCGAAGAACGGTACACTCCTTCTATCTGGGATGGTCGTCCTCTTCCACCGAGCGCGCAGCTTCGGGAGGGACGCACATGGAGCGGTGAGGGAGGAAGGGGACACCCGCCTAGCCAGCCAGATCAGCCGAATCAACCCTGGCGGATCAATGGGGTGACAGATGTCGCAGCCAGATCGCCCTCACATCCTATGTTGCAAATGATCCTAGCCACCATGGCAACACAAAATCTCACAGCACAATCCTGCCTATGCCTACTCAAAAGTAGGCCTCTCTGCACTGGCCTGTTTTGTGATCCACACCGAGATGCTCCCAGGACTACAGCCTAAAGTGGAAAAGGTCAGGCTCCTTCGCTACCATCACAAGGCCTACCGACTACCACTGTTAAACATCTGTTTTAATTTAGTGCTCCAACCCATCCTGAATCTTCAGGATTAAATACATAATTTATAGCATTTTATAACCCACTCTTCAGCCAGAGTGGGTTTCCAGAGTGATTGAACACTCACTTCCAGGTTTGCAACATTCGGGAGCCAAAACGTTTGAGAACTAAGTTGTTCAAAAACCAAGGTACAGCTGTATTGGAAAGGGAAGAGGACAAGCAAGGCCAGGCTACAAATTCTTAAATGTTTACAAGGTTTTTATAACAACCAGCTTTGATGGAAACATGCTGTTCAAAGCTTTAAAAACAGGCTTTAGATCTAACCTTTCTAAAAGTAGCTGTAACATAGCCTTGAGACTGAACTTACAGGATTGTATCTAAAACCCACTCAGCCCAGACCTAAGCTTGCTATTTCTATTCATTTCAATAAGCTTCCTCAGAGTATGACTTATACTGGATACAGTGGGCCATCTGGGGCCTAGCTGCAATCTGCTGGCTGGTCACTTCCCATCACAGCAGCCAGGGTCACAAAGGCCCAGAAGATGCCATTGCCCACCAGGGTAGACTGTCCTCCTGGTCTTCCTAAAAGAGTAGTCGGGTTCAAAAGCCTCAAGGGGACAAATGATGGTACATGGCAGCTGATGGATATAGTAAGCAGAGATGGATCTTTCCATTTCAATTATTTAAAAAAAAATGCAAGTCTGTACTCTCAATGAATTTTGTTTCACTGTTATTTCTAAAGGCTAGACTACAAGACCAAAAAACAGTGCTTTGAAACAATGGCCCTGGGCCAAGCATGACATCATTCTTCCACTGAGATAACAAGAAGGCTGTATTTACATTGAGCTTCAATTCCTCTTTCTGAATATGTGGAACACAGGAAGTATTCCTGAGCTGAGCGAATCTTACACTTTTATTTTATATTCTTAGAAGTCGGCAATAGGAAAGTTAGTTCAGGCTCTTAAGCAGTAAGGACTAATTTACTGAAATGTAGACAAAGCAGCCCTCTATTTTAGTTTGAGGGCAAGCCCAAAAAAGAGAGAAAAAAGAGCAGAAAATGCACAAAGGGACAACAGCAGGACTATAATTCTGTGTGGTGCTACCATGTGTTCAAATAGCACGTAAGTCAATTAGCTAGTGCAGGACAAAAAAAATATTTTGTTCAAATGGTATGTTCAACACCACAACCACCCCACAAAAAATAAGCTATTTAAGAAGGCGTGTGCTAAAATACAATTTTAGTCCACCACTGGTAGATTACCCCCTTTTCCCTGTCTTGTACACAAAACCCTGCCAAATAAGAAGGTTGGTACTTCTGTTTTGCTATGGCTGGTTATAACCATCCATATACCACAAATTGAAAAAGAACCAAATAAATTCTCTAAAGCACAAGCATTTATAAAGACACAGGGTTTTGTCAAATTGCCCTCTCTAATTGAGTAGAAGGGGTTTGGTTTGGTTTGGTTTTTATTTTTGCTAGAAGGAAACACCTCTTCTAGGCTGCTTTTCAACTTAACTGATTCTGTGTTTTGCTAGTGAAGACCATTTCCAAGTCTTTTGTGCACATCATTTACTCCAGCTAAATGGGAGCCCTGGCTAAAGATATCCTCATCTTCAGCTAAATCCTCCATCTTGTCTTCATTTGCTTTACAAAGCAAGGCGTCAGCAATCCTTAATGGAAAGCCCTTATCTCCTTTCTCTCCACTTCTCAGGAAACTCATGGGGTTGAGGTGGGAGATCATCAATCTTCACATACTTAAAGGAACACAAACTTGCCCTTAAGCTACAGGGAGAAAGAATGGCTGGGTGATAAGGAAACTCCCCCACATGAAAACCTTGGCATTTCCTTTAGAAACAGAGAAAGCTCAGGGAACAAAGGCACATACACAAGAGTCTTGTTTCATTTTTGAAGAGAGTTCTACATAACTTGTTACCCAACAAGATGTTGCAGAACTACACAGTCATCTCTGGACCACCACCACTAAACATTCTCCTGATGCTAAATGGAGCCAATGGACAACTGCAGCTCACAGTAAACCTCAGCAAATAGTCAGGGATGGAGTTGTAGCCATATAACATTTGGAAGTCTCCAAGTTCCGCACTCCTTTCCTAAAAGCATTTTCCTTGGGGGATAGCTGTGCCATACTGTTGCAACAAAATGAAAGAACCACCTTTTGGAAGCTTAAAGATTAATGAACTAATAGTGGCACAAGCATTCATGGATTACAGTCCATTTCACCATGTGTCCGAAACATCCTGCTTTATACATATAATTTGAAAGAGTGTTTTGTGAATTTCTGCATTTAATGCCCCTCTAAACTCACCAGTTATAATTCCACTCCAAACCATATGAATATACCAGAAACTGTGGATAACGCTCCATGTATCTGATGAAGTCAACTGAAATCCATGAAAACTTAATGTCATAATAAACTATTCTTAAGGCATTAAGGTGCCACAAGAACTTTGTTGATCTTAAAGCACTTAAGATATTAAAATATTTTACAAATATTTCCATTTCTCCAGTATGAAGAGTAAATAGAAAGTTAAATGTTGACTTGGTGATCTTGTGCGGTCCTGAACACTTGGGGTACTTTTACTACAAACCCCAAAAGCATGTTCTACTGCGCCTGAAACATGCAGAATGAGGCAGAAGAGAAACTATCACTTCAGGTTGTAGGTGAGGGATACTGCTTTTGAATGTTGCCTCGTGCAAAAACAAAACAAAACACCAAAAGCCTGCAAATATAAAAATTAGTACTCAAATTTCTAGCCTAGCCATCCCCCCCCCCATGCACTTGTTTCCTGTTTTCATGGAACTATCACACTAGGGAATGTTCAGAAATGTTTACAAACTGCAGCTGACCAGTACTTTACAAAATGTCACAAAACTACAGAATGCTAGAGTTGTCTGGAACTCTTCATTTGGCAAGATATTACACAAAGCAGGAGCTGGGAAGAAACAAGTGATATATACCCTTGTGCAAATTAATTGAAACAAACAATGAATTTAGTAGGATTTACATCCGGGGAATTCCCTGGCCAATCAAGCACCTGTATTTGCTACTCTGTTGTGAATTTCTTCACCACTTTCGATGTGTGACGGGGCTCAGTCCAATGTGGCAATCATGAAGCTTCGCTTCCTGTGACCTTCGAACATGCGGACTTCGCCGACCCTGTACAAAGAAATGGCTTTCGCAGGTGAAGAGGACTTTTCTCCACTGGTCTTTCATCCATTCATTGTACTTTTTTGCCCGTTTATACCGCTTTTCTTTCATTTTTTTGGTAAAAAGCTGTTTATTGACTGGTCTTCCGGCTTTTTGTTTGACCGCAATAAGGCGCCTGCGAACTGTAGAGGAACTGATTTGAATTCCTTTCTCCTTCAAATCCGTATTCAATGCATCACTCGTCTTGCGGGGATCCTTTTTGCTTTGTCGAAGCAAGCAAGCATCATCTCTAGGAGTTGTTTTCTTCTTACGACCACACTTTCCTTTACCTTTAGGAGAAACCGATCCGGTTTCCTGCTTCAACTTGATGACACGGCTGACAGTTGCTAAACTCACACCAACTACTGAAGCAATCTCTCGATACGTCTTAGCTGTGTGTTCGTGCAGAGTTATGATCTTTGTACGTTTCCGAGGTGTCACATCCATCTCGAACAGCGGTCAAATCACATCTGGTCAGGTTTCTAAAAGCTGAAATACTGTAGCTGCTTACGTAATGATTGCATCATACACTACAGTGGTCGGACAGAATTCTACAGCCTGATGCAATACAGTAGCTGCTGACGTAATGACTGCATCATTAAAACATAAAAAATGATCAAACTGACTTTTCGTGTTTGTTTTGAGTACAGGATTACGAGTAGGATAGAAAACATACTTTGTTTCAATTAATTCGCACAAGGGTGTAAGGTACAAAAATTAAACGGTCTATTGTAGCCATGAGGTCAGCTTGTAGGCTAATTTCCAAGATGAAGATTGCAGGATAAGCAAATCCCTCCCAGGTGTTCAGCGTATCAGGTTATCCACCAAGGATTCTGGGATGAAGAGGCAATGGCTGCTCCCCATTTCTGAGAAATGAAAGCCAAGTTTGTAACCTATCTGTCCTAGACCTTTTAAAGTACCTTTTAAAAGCTTCACTTAAATTACATTTTTATCCCATCTTACTCCAAGAAGCTCATGCTATTGTACGTGTGTGCCAACCCCTCATTTTAGTAGAAGAGATTAGTAGGAGAGAATATCCATCTCAAGGTCCCTCAATCATCTTCATGGGCAGGTAGAGAGATTTGAGCCCAAGTCTTCCCACTCCAGTGCTGTAACCATCCTACTACATTGGCAGCAATGCAGAAATAACCTTTCTGTAATTATTAGCTGTTCTCTAAGCATGGGGAAACAGACATTTCTGTGAAGACAAAACCATTTAGAACTAAAATCACAGTATGATTTTTTTTTTGGGGGGGGGGATTAGGAATCCGTTTGCCTGGGGTCACCAAAGGAAAGCCAGATGCAGGCTTTAAATGAAGCTAGACCCTTATTGTGATGAGCGCACATGATGAGTCTCCACGACTGCTCATTGTATGAGAAGACAGCATTCTTATTAATTAACTTTTAATTAATGTCTCATTCATTAACTTAACTGTTCTGCAACAGATTCCATTCTTCTGAGATTAGCAGTCATTCGACCCTGCTGATTACTTGCATTCCTCCAGCTCACCTTTCTTGACCTTGGGTCCCCGGGTGTTCTTAACTACAACTCCCCATCATCCTTGACCACTGGTCCTGCTGGCTAGGAATGGTGGGAGCTGTAGTCCAACAACATCTAGGGACTAGTTCAGAAAATCTGCTAGTTCATCAGAATTCTGATTACTATATAGTTACTGTCTACAAGCATACTTCTCCTGAAAGTATTTAGCTAACATTCATGCACATACACTAAGCTACAAAATGGATTCAAGGCAAGGAAAATTTGGTTTTCTCCTTCAACTAAGCCTGGACCCTATAACAATAAATTGTGGAGGCAAAAGAGACCAGGAGAGGCAGGAGAGTGGAAGGTACCTCCTAGTCCAGACTTTTCTTAAGAAGCTCTTACCTCCTAGAGCTACAATGGGAAACTTATGCCCCTCCAAATTTTGTAGGATCTCAATTCCCTTCAGCCCCAAACAGTAGGACCAATGAGAGATGAATCAAACAACATATGAAGGGTTACAGGTTCCCCATTCCTGGGCCTGGAGGATGAAGAGGCAAGCACCCAGCATGCATCTGGGCCAAAGGATGGCAAAAAGGGGATTCTGTGACAATATTTTACAGACCACTCTAACCTTGGCTTTCTTATACAGACTTGTTTGTTGCAGCTTTAGCTTCAAACTGGGGACAGGGGGCGCACAAATTGAGTCCCCCCAGTTTGAAAAGCCTATTTTGAACTAGACACCTCTGAATTCAGGTCAATTCAAAATGTAGCTGTTTCTCCAATAGCTGCCTGGCCTTCCCAGCCAATTTCCCCACAAATCTGTTCCAGAGGAATGAGAAACCTACAGGAAGAGTGTTAACCAGAAGGGTAAAAATCTTGCTAGTGTGGGAATGATGCTCCCAACTACACTCAGAAGCATCGTTTCCCAATGGGGAGCATTGGATTTGGAAGTTCTCTGGCTCCATTTCCCCAAATAACCAATTTTCAATAGCTCCCAAAGCAAGCTGAAAGGGTTTCCGTCACAGCTGATTCAAATACAAGCCAAAAAGCATTTAGGTAATGAAGCACACAGCTGTTAACATGAGCATGGTATTTAGGAGCAAACAGTAAAGTTATGCTCCCATACAAGACATCTGAACTATTTGAATCCTGGATAGATACAAAATTAAGAATTCTCCATCTTTAAAAGGACTACCAATTCTATAGTAAACAGAACAGTACTAATATACTCTCCTTCATCAGAAAACAGTGCCACATACAAATTTTAACAACACACAACATAAACAGGCCCCTATTTAGAGAAAGCACTGTTATTACTCTCATAAACAAAGCTGAAAATTGCTGTTTGTCTTCTTTTGACTAAGCAGCAGGAAACTGATACCATTCTAGCTTTTGGAGTAGCTGTTTTAGTCTCTTGTAGCAAAAAGAAAACTAAGGACTTGTAGTACTTGAAAGACTATCAAAGTTATTATGCCAAAAGCTTTCAGGGACTAGATGTATGCAATGCTATCCCAGTTTGCCAGGTTTGTAAACACACGTGGAGAGACAAAACATTAGCATAGAGATCACAAATGTATAAAGACCAAAGGTAAACCAGTTAAAATGCTAACTTTTGCTAAGGTTTCCCCACCACTTTTCACCAATTGCAATTGAATAGCTGGTTTCTTTTGGCGGGGGGAGGGTGTAACTATGTGGGAGAGAAGAAAAGAGGTCTAGCTCCCAGACTGCTGCAGAATCTTATCAGAGGGAGTAACTGGTGGTGTCTGCTTTCACAATTCAATGCCAACTTGGCAAACATTCTACTCAAGAATTAAATTCAGTTCCATCTTCACTGAAGCTGCACTGGTGGCAGAAGGATCATATCAAAGGCAGATCAAACCCTTCCTTTTGTGAATCAGTAAAAGACAGAAATCAATTAACTCCCCCCACTCTTCATTTAGATAAGCTGCATTTCAAGTCAAGAAAGAGAAGAGCACTCAAGATAAAATAATTTTCAATTGCCTAGTTTCCTAGGAGTATCCAGCTGCTGCTTTGAAAGTCTGCCCCCTCCCAAAAAAGTATATTAGGTATTAAAATGTGTTGCGGATCGGGGGCCACCAGGTGGCGCGTTGGAAGATGGCCGACAATAACATCTCTCTGACCCATTCGAGGTAATTAAGGGGCTGCTATGGGAAGTATGCAGTCTTCCTCCCCCCCCCCCCGGAGACGGGGGGGCGCTGCCTTGCCAGCGGTGTTCACAATGCACCCCCTGATCCGAGAGATGGGGGTGCCGAACACTTGGCACGAGCCTTCGGTGAAGTCAGATCTGAAGCTAACCAGCACGCGCTAAGATCTTTGAAGAGTACAAAACCCACACAGAGGATGCCTGTTTTCAATCTGCTTGTGAAAATTATCAGAGATCGCAAAGAAAGGAATATACGATAACAACAAGAAGAGAAAGAAAGTAATAAAGGACCATCTAGATTGAACTGGATAGAACTGTCTAATTAATGCAGTAATATAAGTGATGTTTGGACTCGTTCGGAGTTTTGGACTCGTGCGGAGCTTGATGTATGGGTACCCCCAACAAAATTTTAAATTTGGCTGTATAATTTGGAACTAATGTGATTTGGATAATGTGATGTGATTGGCCTGTTATTAAAAATTATTTTTTTAAAAAAATTTTTGTTGCAGATCAGCATTGCTGTCAGGAAAGGACTCTGGGGCGGAAGGTGGGTCCTACTCCCAAATGCATCTGAGCTAGCTTACCACATTTTAGAGTGAATGAAGTAATACACTTGACTAATGAGTGAAGGACTCCTTAAGACCATTAAGCCCAGCATCAAAATTACTGCACCGTTGTTTATGGTTTTGGGGGATCTGAGTTCTTCCTTTTCTACTCCAAGATGTGCCCTGAAGGAATGAAATCCTAAAGTTGCTTACGTGTATTTGCATGCACAACAGGGAGGGCCACCACTAAGAAAGCTTGTCTGGCTGCCACTGTGCACCAGTGATAGGATGGCAGAATAAAAATGTGCCAGAATAATAAATCTTTGTTTGCTGAGAGTTTTGGAGGACAGAAACCTCTAGATGTTTCTTTTCCTTGACCAAAGCGTCCTGAAAGATCTCACCTCTCACTCTGGTTTCTCTTGTTTGCGAGAGGGATCTAAGAAAGAGGCAAAGCAAGTTATCCAAAGTGTTCTGTGAGTAAGAGAAGTCTTTGCATTTTTCCTTCAGAACTATCAGAGGACTTGGAAGAAAGGCTGAGATTTCTCAGAGGGAGGTTTGTTTGCTTAAGGGGGGGTGCGTCCCTTGTGTAAGCAGACAAGGCTCCAGCCCACTCCCATGTTCCCACCAGAGGACATCTGGGCAGAGGAATCCTCCTCTCTCCTGGAGAAGGCGAAAAAACAAAGCAGATAGGTTCCATTATTTGTCTTATTCCAGCACCAGAATAAGATGTACATACTCACATAATAAGGCCGATCAAACTTTGGGTAAACTTTGGCTAAACTGAGGGTTACTCTAAGGGCTAGGCAAAATCATAGCTAAAAGCAGTTTGAAATCAAATAAATAGCTTAGACGCCCCTTGGCACATACTTAAAAGTATGCTTAGGCCAAGCCACTAAATAAAGAGCTGATGCAAAAAAATAAGAGGTTTTTAGCATCGCAGTCTGACAAATGTCTAAGAAAAAAGAACCAAGGAGGGGGAGAGACATTGTTTTCTTTTCAAAGAAATGAATAGGGCAGAAGTTACCACCACAGGAAGACTTGATTTAAGAAAACGAAGAAAAGGCACTCTCATATCTGAACAGATTTATTGGGCAGAGCTTTCGGCAGATGAAGACAAAGAACTGAACCCATATGTGAACCTGGATTTGGGCCAAGACGCTATCGGAAATCACCTGTCCTAAAAGTTCATTACATATAAAAACCAGTAACTTTGCATATATTGCTTATTCTTTTGTATGTAGTAATCATAACTTAATAAACTTTAACATTACTGTATCTTAATTTGCTTGTTCAGCTCGCAGGTGGAACTCCGGTGGAATCAAGAAACACACATCTTCACAAGCAGTAGGATCCCTGAAGGAAGGTACTGGGGCACATTTTAGGCTTATTTCACCACAAATTCCTACATCATCTTGTCCACATTACAAGGCAATTCAAAGAAACCCCGATCTCTCCCAGAAGCCCCCCTCTTTGTGCCAGAAGAAGTGGGAGTAGGTAGGAGTAGAATGCATAGGCTGCCTGACAGACCAAGCAGCTGAGTGCAAAAGCACTTCGTCTGCAAAAAAACCTCCAAAACCGCCGTTATGAAGCAGAGGTTCTCCTGTTAATTAGTGTTTAATTGGACTGAAGTACAGGCACGTGCTAGAAGAAGTGAGATCACAAACTCTGGAACGGAAACAACTGCAAGGACTTTAAGATTTGAATTTGATATAAAACTTCATTTGGTGCAAAAGACTGTGGGGGGGGAGGCGAGCCTATGGTTTATTTAAAGTTTTCTTCTCTACATTTATGATTTGGCAACCTTCCTCTGAATGTTTAGTTCAAATTCTAATTCAAAGCCTAATTCAGACAAATGACCAGGAAGGATACCCCAGTCTGTGGTATGAATATGTCCAGGAAAACTAACAGCTAACACCCCTTCTCCTCCCAGGTGACTGAGGCTGTTTCCAATCCAATATCCAGGCCTGAAACTAAACTGAAAGGATCAAAATAATCAACTTCATTTAAGACTGCTTAGAACTGAGAAGCCATGACCAATACCTGGCCACCTTCATTTAGTGCTAGAGGGAAATGACCTAAATATACTTGGGGTATGCAGATACTATCAAGAACTGGGAATATAAGCATGGGTCAAGAAAAAGCACATAGCATGTAACTTCAGTTTACTTTCACTAATGTGGAAGAAACAATTATCACATGAATTCCGTTCTAGAACAATGACCATACAGTACTGGCTCGACAGTGTTGAGTAGCAAGCTTTTGGAGTGCAAACACTCTTCTTAGGGACATCAACAGCAAACATGCTTTTAATTAACCCATTTAGAGATGTTTCTGAACCCATTGCAGTGTACTCCTCCTATGCATGCTTTCCTAGATGTTCTCTCACCAACTTTGACTGAAGTCTCACATGCTGTTTTTTTGTGGGCGTACCCCATATTCAACTCAGGGAATTAATGTCCGCTCCACAGCACGCAAGCTTTCCCCCTTGTAACGAGGCACCTTAAGTACTGTATGCATAAAACAAAAAGTTACGCTTCCAACATCTGTTACAATTCCATTCCTCTCCCTCCCACAAATCCTTGAGGATAAAGAGGCAGAAATTCCTTATGGGAATGCTCAACGCAACCAGGGCGGGCCTGGAAAAGGCGGGAATGGCGAGGAGGGGAGAGATAAGGACCCGTCGCTTCCCCCCACCTCAAAAAAAAAAGACCAGCAGCTGCACTTCTCGCGATACGCGTCGCTGCCCCCCTCGTCGGAATGCACGTGGCCACGCCTCCCTCGCTGCACCTCCGCCGCCGCCATACACGCATCCTCCTCCTTCTCCACAACGTCCCTTCCTCCACTCCCCCTCGCCGCCTCCTGCTCACGACCCCCACCCCAAAATATGCTATTTTTTTTTTAATTGAGCGGGGAACGTGTACAAAACTAGGTATTCCTCTCATGCACCTTTTTTCCCCACGTCTCCTCCATTTTTTTACTCCCATTTATACCAGCACGCCTGACGCGCCCCCCCCCGCGCGCGCACTCTCCCAAGGCCACTTCTTGCAATATATATATATATATATCTCGACCTAGCGAGCACGAGGATAAAACAAGGACGTTCCCTCCCACACCAAAGCCCCCCCCATAAAGACCACGATAAAGGGGATGGGATAGGAAGCCAACATCTTTTGCACCCGCCTCCCATTCCGTCGCAAGCTTCCTCCGCCTCAACCCCTGCCAGGAGGGGCTCCTTCTCACCCGCCGCCCGCTTCTTCCCCGCCAACCTCACCTTGGCCATCCTTGTTGTTGCCGCCGGCTGCTGCTGCGGCGGCGGCGGCGGCGGGCTCGACCTTCATGCACTCCTTGCAGACGGTGTGGAGGCAAGGCAGGAGGCGCGGGTCCCGCTCGGAGCGCAGCCTCTCCCGGCACACGCCGCATTTCTCCAGCAGGTCGATGCCTTCCACGTTGAGCGGGGCGGCGGCGGCGGCGGTGGAAGAGCGCTGCTTGTCCCCTGCGGCGCCGGCGCCGCCTCCGCCAGCAGCTTCCGCAGGGGCAGGGGCCGTCGCAGGAGCAGACATTGCACCGAGAGGAGGAGCAGCAGGAGAAGCAGCAGCAGCCGCACACACGCGCCCGCGCGCGAAGAAGCTGGGCCTCGTGGGAGGGGGGGGCGCGGCGCTGGCGGCCTCGAGAGGGAGACGCTCCGCCACCCGCTGGGGCCCTGCCTGTTCCCCGCACGCGCTGCGAGACAGAGAGAAAGACAAGGGGAGCGGCGCGCGCAGCGAGCACAGAGAGACAGACAAGAGGCCTGGCTCCGTTACAGCTCGCTCTTGCCTTCGCTCGCTCTCCCTCCTTCCTCCTCCTCCTGAAGCTCCGCCCACTCGGCCGAGTGAACGACGGGTAGTTTTCAGGAGTTGGGGGGGGGGAGGGACGGCAGGGATAGAAGCCCCGTTACGCGCGCCTTCCAGGCCTCTTTTTTTTCAGGAGGCGGAGCTAGGCATCTTCCAAGGCCAATCGGAATCTTTGATCGATGCTCAAAACCGGCCAACTGGTAAACTGCCCGCCCTCTTCCCGCCGCCTCCAAGAAACAAGGAGGGAATAAATAGCCGTCCAATCAAAAACCGGTACGCTTCACAATTGTACACCTCCCTCCTCCACCCCGCGCACCTCAGCTTCCCCGGTTTGTTTTATTGGAGCGAATAAATCAAGGCTTGGAATGCTGTTGGCTCAGGCCCCGCCCTCTCCCTGAGCGGGGCGGGCGAAGGGAGATTTAAGAGGCTGAAACCATGGCAACCGTGAAGTCTCTGGAGCTGGTTGGGAGAGGCGGGAATGGTCTTTGGATTGACATGGGAAGAGCCAGTTGCGAAGAAGCAGTCTGGGAGCAACCAGTCCTTTTTGTTCCGCCTCCCCGCCCCTTTGCTTAACCGAATCCCTTTCATCCTCCATGTTGAAGCCCGATCAGAGGCTCCCCTTTAAAGCATTAAATGGCTGAAGCGAAGCAAGCAGGTCAGGGTAATTCTGGAGTAGCTGCTTCGGAGTGACTCCAAAGTGACACCGATATCACACACCCCAACCCCTTCACAGCCCAATGAACTGGATAATTTATTTTTCAAGGATAATGGGGAGCAACTCCGGATTCACAAATGTCTCCTAAAACACTAGCCAGTCCCTGCCACCACTAACAGCTGGGAAGTATTGCTACACACATCTCGCCCTAACACTGTATTCTTGAAGCCAGTAACATGTTTTTCTTCTAAAAAAAATAATCTTGCAGCACCTTAAAGCCTTTCATGGGCGTGACCAGGATTGGGGGGGGCAGAACCTATGGTTATGGGGGCAGCTGCCCCTCCCTTCCCATGAAGCCTAGTAAATATATTGTGGTAGGTAATGGCATAAGCCTTCAAGACTAGAACTCACTTTATTAGATACATGAAATGAAGATAACACTTTGTGTGTCTCATGATGGGGACTCTGGTGACTGGAAGCTTGGTCACAATATTTTTATTTTATTTTTGGTAGTTTGCCATCTCAGCTACTGTTTATGAAGGCTAAAGGTAAAGGGACCCCTGACCATTAGGTCCAGTCATGACCGACTCTGGGGTTGTGGCACTAATCTCACTTTATTGGCTGAGGGAGCCAGCGTACAGCTTCCGGGTCATGTGGCCAGCATGACTAAGCCGCTTCTGGCAAACCAAAGCAGCGCACGGAAACGCCGTTTACCTTCCCGCTGGAGCGGTTCCTATTTATCTACTTGCACTTTGATGTGCTTTTGAACTGCTAGGTTGGCAGGAACAGGGACCAAGCAACGGGAGCTCACCCCGTCATGGGGATTCAAACCACCGACCTTCTGATCGGCAAGTCCTAGGCTCTGTGGTTTAACCCACAGCGTAGGCCAACATTAATTTGAGCCACCTAGCTTCCACGTTAAGGTGGCCACTTATCTAACACCAAAAACGTGCAAATGCACTGCCAGAAAAAATAGATTTGCATAAAATTTGCTTATGCTGATTTATATGCATAGATAGGGTGGAAACTGGGGGGGGGGGGGGAGAGAGACCATAGTGACAGACTCGGATCAAGTGACCTGTGTGCCTGCTTTGTTGGCTGCCCAGGTGCTAAATTCTGATGGGCAACTTCAAGCTCTTTACTGTCCTTAATGGGTTTTTTAATCTTTAAACTGGGTTTGGACCAGATAGCCTTTCAAATAAAGCACACATTCCAATATATTATTCTATCTTTTTATCTTTTATTTGTTTTTGTTAAGAGTACCTAACCTGTTTAATATATTTGCAGTATATCCTGCTTTTCCTCCAGGAAGAGTACATGGTTTTCCATGCATCTGTTTTATGATCACAGCCACTCTGCTGTGGCTAGGGCAAACCAGTCAGATGGGCGGGGTAGAAATAATGAAATTATTATTATTATTGTAAAGTATGCAAAACTAACAGATAATGACTGACCCCAATAATGGGGGGCTTTGAATCTGAGTCTCCCGTTGCTACTTTGTAACTAGTCTGGTGACTCCAATATTCCTTCAAATACAATACCATCCTCACATGATGACCAGGTTCCAGGTTCCAGTATCAGACACACACCATGAGAGTCCCAGCAATTTTCCTGCAGTTATTCATCTTTTTCCCACACAGATTTGTCAAAATCCAAGCTTGAGGCTCTCTCTGAAATAATTTAGCAGCTATCTGTTTTGAGGGGCATGTACAGTATAAACCTGAAGAGGATCACAGCATTTGTGTTTAACTGATTCAGACATCATAAAATACAACTACCACTGCATTTCATTTCCCAGTCACTCTTCCCAAGTAATTACTCAGTAATGCTGCAACCCTATGCCCATTTACATAGGAATTAGCCTCAATGAACTAAAGGGGACTTACTCCTGAGCAGACATGCCTTGGATTCTGCTGCCAAAATTTTGAAAACATACAATGGAGTCTGAAGTGGACCCCCCCCCCCCCTCGACAATGACTCTCAAGTACATACTTTCTTACACATTCATTCACAGCCCAGTGCTTTAGTGGCTCCATTGATCTCTCATCAGTGAATAACAATGAAGGATTTCCCAAGTTTTATTTATTACATTTATTCCCTGAACTATCCTACTTAACTTTACATTTTTTTGGATAGCCTTTAGAAGAATCCTGTATTGACTTTCCAGGCAAGACATAATAGGTCATTTAGATGCTAATACACTGAAACAGAGCAATCAGGAACAACTGATTATTAGCGTGTGCTTTTCTCTTTTCCATAGAAACACTGTCACCCTGCCTTTTCACTTGATTGTTAAAACACTTTGAAAATACATTTCTACATCTTCCTGGTAACTTGCATGGTGTGGGAAAATTGGAGAAAGGTTTTTCTGTCTTCTAATACTAGATTAGAACATAGGCCATACAATGAATGTTTGATGATTCAGGACAGGTAAAAGGAAGTAATTCTTTGCACAGTACATAGTTAAGCTGTGGAATTTGCTCCCGCAAGAGGTAGTAATGGTAGAGAACTTGAATGGCTTTTAAATTCATGTAATATGCTATCAATTGCTATTAGTCAGGATGGCTGTGTACCACATCCACTGTTGAAGGCAGTATGTCTCTGAATACCAGCTGTGAGAACAGGATGCTGAACTTGATAGAGCTTTGGTCTGATCCAGCAGGGCTTTATATCTTTTTTTTTTCTTCCTTCTTTCCCCTCTACCAAGTATTTTGCCAAGTTAGTTCATCTGTCTGTCTGTTCTCTATGCATTCATACACCTATTGATATATCACCACCCAACTTGGCACAATGGTTCTCAAGATGGAGGAGTTAGTTTCTGCCTACTTTTAGAAACTAGGTGCCATTCTGAATCAGAATAATGGACCAAATCATTCCAAACTGCATCAATTTTGGCACTTCTGAAGATATTGTCACCCAATTTGCTGTGACAGTTCCCAAGATTGAGGAGTGGGATTTGGTTTATGAAAGACCAAACAGTTACAAACACTACTGATTTGGACACTTTTGAAGATATCATTGCTCTATTTGTTGTGATGGTTCCCAGGATGGAGATGGAGATGGGTTTTGGTTTGTATTTGGAAATTGCCATGCCCCTTTTGAATCAAGATGGCAGACAAAACCATTCCAAACTGCACCTCTGAAGATATCACCACCCAAGTTGGCATGATGGTTCCTGAGATAGAGAGTAACATTTTGGTCTATATTTGGATATCATGGGGTGCTATTTTGAATAAAGATAGTGGGCTGAACCTTTCAAAATTGCAGTGATTTTAATCAAATTTGGCAGTAAATGAAAATGGCTGTGCACCAGATTTGGATCTGAGCTTCAACCAAGTTGGGTTGAGACAGGTACAAATCATTTTGAGTCAGGTTGCCTGGAGTAATCCAGGTCTGTCATGGGGGAAGAAGGTGAGACAGGCAGCTTCTACAAGCATGGGGCTGTTTTCAAGAGGGCTTTCAAACAGCCCCACACAGCAGTTTGGCTGTGTGTGTCTATTCCCAGCAAAGGAACACACACACAGTCAAACTGAACAGGATTGAACCAAATACTCACCAATACAGTGTGACTACTGCACTGGACCACCACGGCAGGTCAGTTAGTTTGTCTCTCACCATCAGTTATGGTTCCCATGGCAATGAGTAATGCACAAGTCAGTTTCAGAAGATGGGGAGGGAAAGTGAGCTGGGTCCAGGTCAGGCGGATGCTTCCCACAATGTGGTGGTAGCAGCAGTGATGATGGCAGCCAGAGATGGCAGTGGCCAGGGAGTTGGAGAAGGCGATGCTAGCATTGGTAGTGATCAGAGTGGGTGTGCCTGAGGCCTGAACCACAAGTCAGGAAACATAGGCAACAATGTGGAGGCCGGGAGGGCATAAAGGGGAAAGCAAGCAGGTATGAGCATGTGCATCAGCAGTGCAGGAGCCTCCCACCAATCCTGCAGTCCTTTTGGCTGCAGGGGTCTGCTTTGCCATAGTGCTCACTACAGGGAACATGTTAACAGAACAACACCCAGCAGATTGAACCCTTCTTTTATCTGCAGTGTGGTGGGGAGGCGGGGGGGGGGGGAGGAGGTGCAGCATCTCCTTCCTTTGTCCCCCTCCTCATCATATCATGTTTTTAAAATCCTAATTAAACATGAGGCCTGCCCCCAAATTGATTTGGGGCTGGTCAGGTGTTCCCTAGTTGGGGGAGGGTGGGCATGCATAGCCCTAGAAACTAAGAAAATATAGTATTCATTTATAAATCCTAGTATTTATTAGCTTGTTAGAATTCCCAAGCAATGCTGGGCTCTTCCAGCTAGTATTCAATAAGAAAGCAAGTGAGAGAATTTTATTGCTAGATTGGGAATGTGTGTCGTTTGGCTATTTTCTTTTAAATATGCACTGGTATATGCTCCAGCATAGGAGACAAGGGAATACATAGTCTCCAAAGGTGTGTGGGGGGGTGAAGCTTCATAAAATGCTGGTGCAGTAGTTTTCTCATTTGAGTGCTATTAAAATATAGTATATTGCAACCACTAAAGGTTTTGTGTACACTTCCTATTAGTAATATATGTTTGCTTATTTGTGGGGAGAACTAGGACGGAATGAGAGAGCTAGTTAGGAGCCTCACCGTGAGTCTTCAAAAGCACCTCACTGTTGTCTGCCCTTCTCCCATATTTAAGTTTCAGACTGCATCATGTACCTTCAGACCATGAGATACAGAGTTATCTGAAAAGTAATCATACACAAAATGACTAGAAATAACAGATAAAAAACACAAACATAAGCAGACAATGGCCTGGCTCCTAGCTGAAGGGGGAGGGAGTTGCATAGGTCATATGAGAAATGGAAAACTGGACATATAGGACAATTTCAGGGACAGGACAACTTCCATCTGTGTGGGTTTCTGACAGAGGAGAAATTTTAATTTGTAGGCCATAAATAGTTATAACTCAGAAATTCCAGAAACGCAGCCAACCATGCCCTTACTCCAGTCTGGTTTGTTGCTGAAGCTGAAAGGGCACTAAATCAATGTTACAGATAATATCTCTGGGGCCCTGCTGCTCACTCCCTGAGCTCTAGGAGTGAAGCTTCAAAGCAGTTTTAGATCACTCCTGAAGTGCATTGGTCAGTGGAGGAACAGAGACTCGTCCTCCCTTCTCACAGTCTTATCAACCCTGCCATAAACTAGAACAAAGGGAGTATTGGAGGCGAAGAACAAGCATGGGGGGGATACAATCTATTTCAGAGAAACAGACCAGACAAGAAAGGAGGAGGAGTGGCGTTATATGTCAGGGATGTGTATACCTGTGAAGAGATCCAAGATTTAGAACCTCAAAGCCAAAGTGAGAGCATTTGGGTCAAAATTAAGGGAGAAAAGAATAACAGTGACCTCATTGTGGGAGTTTACTATAGATCCCCAAGCCAAACGGAGGACATAGATGATGCCTTCCTGGAACAGATGGCCAAGCATGCAAAAGGAAGGGAGATAGTAGTAATGGGGGACTTCAATTACCCGGATATTTGTTGGATGTCAAACTCAGCCAAGAGCATAAGGTCAAACAGATTTCTCACTGGCCTTGCAGACAACTTCATTGTCCAGAAAGTGGGAGAAGCAACAAGAGGAACAGCCATTTTAGATCTGGTCCTAACCAATGTTGATGACCTGGTTAGTGGGGTAGAAGTGGAAGGATCATTAGGCGCGAGTGATCATGCTCTTCTGAAGTTTACTATACAGCGGAAAGGAGCAGCCAAGCATACTAGGACTCAATTTCTTGACTTTAAGAAAGCTGACTTCATAAAACTTAGGGAAGTGCTGGGTGAGATCCCATGGACAGTAATACTAAAAGGAAAGGGAGTTCATGATGGCTGGGAGTTTGTTAAGAGGGAGATACTAAAAGCACAACGTCAGGCAATACCAATGAGACGGAAACATGGAAGGTGCCTAAAGAAGCCAGGGTGGCTATCTAAAGAACTTTTAACTGAGTTAAGATTAAAAAGGATGTGTACAAAAAATGGAAAAGGGGAAACCACCAAAGAGGAATTCAAACAAATAGCCAGCACGTGTAGACACAAAGTCAGAAAAGCTAAAGCACAGAATGAACTCAGGCTTGCTAGAGAGGTTAAAAGCAACAAAAAGGCTTTTATGGGTATGTCCGTAGCAAAAGGAAGAACAAAGAAACAGTGGGGTCACTCAGAGGAGAAGATGGTGAAATGCAAACAGGGGACACAGAAAGAGCTGAACTCCTCAATGCCTTCTTTGCCTCAATCTTCTCCGATAAAGAAAACAATGCCCGACCTGAAGAATTTGGAGCAAATGATTCAGCAAAGGAAACACAGCCCAGAATAACTAAGGAGATAGTACAAGAATACTTGGCTAGTTTAGATGTATTCAAGTCTCCAGGGCCAGATGAACTGCATCCAAGAGTATTAAAAGAACTGGCAGATGTGATCTCAGAACCACTGGCAGTCATCTTTGAGAATTCCTGGAGAACAGGCGAAGTCCCGGCAGACTGGAGGAGGGCAAATGTTGTCCCTATTTTCAAAAGGGGAAAAGAGAGGACCCAAATAATTACCGCCCAGTCAGTCTGACATCAATACCAGGGAAGATTCTGGAGCAGATCATTAAGCAAACAGTCTGTGAGCACCTAGAAAGGAATGCTGTGATCACCAATAGTCAGCATGGATTTCTGAAAAATAAGTCATGTCAGACTAACCTGATCTCGTTTTTGACAGAATTACAAGCCTGGTAGATGAAGGGAACGCAGTGGATGTAGCCTACCTTGATTTCAGCAAGGCATTTGACAAGGTGCCTCATGATATTCTTGTAAAGAAGCTGGTAAAATGTGGTCTTGACTATGCTACCACTCAGTGGATTTGTAACTGGCTGACTGACCGAACCCAAAGGGTGCTCATCAATGGTTCCTCTTCATCCTGGAGAAGAGTGACTAGTGGGGTGCCACAGGGTTCTGTCTTGGGCCCGGTCTTATTCAACATCTTTATCAATGACTTGGATGATGGACTCAAGGGCATCCTGATCAAATTTGCAGATGACACCAAACTGGGAGGGGTGGCTAACACCCCAGAGGACAGGATCACACTTCAAAACGACCTTGACAGATTAGAGAACTGGGCCAAAACAAACAAGATGAATTTTAACAGGGAGAAATGTAAAGTATTGCACTTGGGCAAAAAAAATGAGAGGCACAAATACAAGATGGGGACACCTGGCTTGAGAGCAGTACATGTGAAAAGGATCTAGGAGTCTTGGTTGACCACAAACTTGACATGAGCCAACAGTGTGACGCGGCAGCTAAAAAGCCAATGCATTCTGGGCTGCATCAATAGGAGTATAGCATCTAGATCAAGGGAAGTAATAGTGCCACTGTATTCTGCTCTGGTCAGACCTCACCTGGAGTACTGTGTCCAGTTCTGGGCACCACAGTTCAAGAAGGACATTGACAAACTGGAATGTGTCCAGAGGAGGGCAACCAAAATGGTCAAAGGCCTGGAAACGATGCCTTATGAGGAACGGCTAAGGGAGCTGGGCATGTTTAGCCTGGAGAAGAGGAGGTTAAGGGGTGATATGATAGCCATGTTCAAATATATAAAAGGATGTCACATAGAGGAGGGAGAAAGGTTGTTTTCTGCTGCTCCAGAGAAGCGGACACGGAGCAATGGATCCAAACTACAAGAAAGAAGATTCCACCTAAACATTAGGAAGAACTTCCTGACAGTAAGAGCTGTTCGACAGTGGAATTTGCTGCCAAGGAGTGTGGTGGAGTCTCCTTCTTTGGAGGTCTTTAAGCAGAGTCTTGACAACCATATGTCAGGAGTGCTCTGATGGTGTTTCCTGCTTGGCAGGGGGTTGGACTCGATGGCCCTTGTGGTCTCTTCCAACTCTATGATTCTATGATTCTATGATAAGCATAAATCTCTTGGTGGGGGAGCAGTCTGCAGGGTGGATCAAGGAAAGGAGCAGTGTTTTGCCTGGAGGCAGAAGGGGCACAAAGGAAGCTACCAAAAGGATAAGCTTAGGTTTTCGTAAATGTATTATAATGTAAAATTGGAAGCTAGCAAGCACCTCCCCCTTTCCAAATCGGAGCCGAGCCAATATTTAAAACTGTTGCTACAGCTGAACTGCGCGCATCAAATGATTTAATAAGACTCTGCACCTTACTACGCTCAAAGTGCTTCACATAAGGATGCTGCGACCGCGCCGTGCATTTAAAGCACACGCACGAGTCCCGGGAACTGCAGTTTATCCCGCACAGAGCTATAACTTCCAGCACCCTGAACGACCTACGTTTCTCAGGATTATTTGCGGAGGATGGGGGGCAATGCGCTTTAATATACGGTGTGTGTGCGCGCACCACCAACACCACAGCCCTTCAAGGGAGGCTGTTAAACCCGCATGGCAGCAAATCTTGCAAATCGGTGCTGAATGCGACCTCTGCATTCGGAACGGGTTTTCTTTTTTTAACGGAAATAAATAAATCTGCCTCTCGGGTCTGTGGAAACGAGCGGCGAGAGCTTGCCGTCGTGCCTTTTCTTAATAATGATGGTGATGATGATGTTTCCTCTCTGCCTCCGCTCCCTCTGCGCTTGCTGCTGTTTCCCAACCCAGCCGGACGAAGCCTCTCCCTCGTCGGCTGGAGGAGGGTTAAAACCATCGAGCCGGAGCTGCCGCCGCCGCCGCGCGAAGCGAAGGGTGGGGGACAGGATGCAGCGAGGGGTCCTTTCCTGTGCCCGGACCCGCCGCTGCCCACCCACCCGCACACGCTGCGAGGGTGGCTGGTTCCCTCCCAGGGCCCGAGGTCCAGACGCGCCTGTCGCAGGGCGCGCGAACCCCCCCCTCCGGGATCCCTGCGCGGGGGCTGCATCGGTGAGAGCGCCTTGGACGGAGAGGAGGGCGGAGCCCACGATGCGGAGCCGGGGAGGGCGGCGCGCGCCCCCAGCGCCGGAGGGCGCTTCCCGCCTCCCAGTTCCGTGCCCCACATTCCCCCCGTTTTTCTCTCTTTCCTTATCCCCCCCCCTTTTTTTTTTGCAGCAGGGAGCTTCTCTCCTCCCTCCTCGCTTTCGGCCTTTAATTGTCTTCCTCCCACTCGCTCCGTTTCCGCGACTAAGCGCGGCCCAACCTCGGGTGGGATTTTCGTTGTGGGTTATTCTTTTACTTTTCTGCAGATTGAAGGCGGTCATCCTGTAACTGTTTACCGGGGGGAGGGAGGAAGCCCCATTGAGACCCATGGGATTTGTGCGATTTATCTTGTAATGCAAAAAAAAAAAAAAAGACTGTGTGGGTGCGGTTTTCTAATGATGTATCTGAGGTGTTATAGGAATGCTTGGCTTGTTCTCTTTGTATATACATACATATATATATGTGTATATATATATATATATATATATATATATATATATATTCACACACATACACAGTGCTATTTTTCTAGGAAAAAAAGGTATCCAAGCTCACCGTGAGCTTGTCCTCTTAGAATGACAATGGAGCCCACCTGAGAGGTGCCAGAGCTGAGGTCCTGTGAGCTCAGGTTAAAAAAGAGCCCTGCACATACACACCCACACAGATTCAAGAACCATTGTTTTGTTTTTCTGAGTAGCATTTAAGATTTAACGTAGGGCGTATGCTTCGTGGGGCAGGGAGCTAAATACACATTCACTATTAAACATCACAACATAGTGTGCAAGTTTTCCGGGACTCTTCACCAGGCCTGAATGGTAAGCAAAACAATGAGTGGGGAAGGAAAAGGTGGCTGTGGACTAGTTTCAAAGCCACTGTGTCTGAGCTGGCCATGGTTTTAAGATGGAATTCTGATTCTACCTCGGTAGATTCTCCTTGTAAGCTGGTTTTCTTACCTGAAAAGTATAATTTGACATTTTTTAAAAACCCAGTTTCTTTGGAAGTGTGTTATTAACAATCAAGCCTAAAACGCCCTAGATCTAAAGGTACAATGTGCGCAATGCACATCAATAGTGCAGTAATAAAACTTGTGAAATGCTACTTTTTATCTACATTTCCCCAAAAGTACATGAGCCACTATTTTTAAAAAAATGTATGTGGGGGTGAAGGTGGCGAGTGCAGGAGGTGGAAAGTATTCATAAACTTTGTTGACCTACATTACGTTGTCTCTCTTTCTCATCCTATTGCTCAGCTTTGGCCACAACTCATATATGTTCCTTCTCTCTCTCTCTTTTCTTTTTCTCTGTTTCTCGAGCAGGTGGTGTGGGCAAAGGTCCAAAAACTGTTAGTCAAGAGGAGGCTGAGAAGGTGAGAAGTGGTTGAAAGAAGGCTTATAAAGAAAGAAAAAAGCCTAACTATCAAAACGGCTTACTGCGGGAGAAGCCCCGAGATAGGCCAGGCCTATTGCTCTGGGCTGGCAGGAGGTCTGTTCAACCACTGCTGGCCAGGCCAGGCCGAGGTGAGGTGTGCTGAGGCAGGAGCTTCCTTTTCCTACGGAGGAACCTTCCCTGGACCGCCGCCACTACCACCACCACCACCACCACCACCAGCCGCTGGCATGGGGGAGAAATCTCACACGTGCCCCTACTGCGGGAAAGGCTTCCGACGCAATTCACACCTGACCCGACACATGGCCACCCATTCCGGGCTCCAGCGCCCCTTGGGCGGAAAGCGCCTCGGGCAGCAGGTGCAGGAAGAGGACCGGCCATTCAGCTGCAGCTACTGCGGGAAAAGCTTTGCCAAGAGCGCCCACCTGGCGCGGCACCAGGAGACCCATTCGGGGGAGAGGCCCTACAAGTGCACCTACTGCGGGAAGGCCTTTGGGCGCAACTCCCACCTCACCCGGCACCACAGCACGCACACCGGGGAGCGCCCGTACGAGTGCGGCGTTTGCGGCAAAGCTTTCACACGCAGCGCCCACGTCACCCGACACCAGGGCACGCACACCGGGGAGAGGCCTTTCCGCTGCACGCGCTGCGGCAAGCGCTTCACCCGCAGCGCACACCTCCAGCGCCACCAAGGCATCCACAGCGGGGACAAGCCCTTCTCCTGCGGCGACTGCGGGAAGGGCTTCACCCGCAACGCCCACCTGGAGCGCCACCGTGCCACGCATTCGGGGGAGAAACCTTTCAAGTGTGCCAGCTGCGGGAAAGGGTTTGGGGCGGCCTCCCACCTTGTAAGGCACCAGAGAACCCATAAAGTTTAGTCAGCTGGGTTGGTTCTATATCCATCCAAACGGGGGGGGGGGGGTGAGAAATGGCCAGTATTGGACATACGTTTGTCTTTATGTCAGGATGGCTCTTCCCCCCCCCTTCCCCCGTCTTTTCTCCATGCTATAAAATAACCTGAGTGGTGTTTAACTGCTGTGAATTGAGAGAGAACTGGGCATAGCAAATTCAGCAGTGGTTTGTCTCTGGTCTGCACAAGGACCGAAGCAATGTGGACTTCACACTCAGTTCATTTGCAGACCTAATGACGATAATTTTAAATGCTGGAACTGCAGGTTGTTCTGCTACTTCTTTCAGAGCGGGAAGGACAGTGTCAAATCTTCCTGACGCCATCTGTATGTGGGGGTGGGTGTTTTTCCTTCTCTTCAGTATGGCAAATGAAGGCCACCCTTTTTAAATTTCCACTTGGCTATCAAGAAATATGCTGTGCGTCAAAAGTAAGAAACTGAACAAACGCTTAGACTTGAGGTGTTTGCACACCTCCCCCATGCACACCTCCAGCATCTCAACAGATGTGTGAGCATGTAAACATTATGCCAATCTGCGGAGTAAAAAAAAAGCATCATTCTGGTGATTTACTTGGAATGAAGTTAGAGTAACTCTTCCACCCTCCTTTCCCTCAGCTTTCATTTCAGCCATTGTGGCCAAGAAAAAGCAGTTTATATCATACTTGCATCTGCCCACAATACCCAGGAAATGACACCAGGAACACTGGGCCTGACCTTTGAGCATTTCAGTATCCTTCAGCTGGGGGGAAAGGCTATTGGTTTGCTTCTGAACCAATTCTCAGAACTTGTCTATGTCTCTTCCATGGCACTTGGCAGTGTGTGCATCTAGTTTTGCAGTATTTTTATCTTGCGAGTGGGATCTGCAACAAAATGTTACAGTGCTTTTGCCTGCCAGCCATGCCTCTTTTCAGAGTACTCCATTCTGTTCCCCATCTCCCAGTTTTCTGTCCCATTGCCCCACCTGACAGATACTCGGTGTTCTGTGGCCACCGAGCATGCTCTGTTCTCATTGGGGTTTGTTTGGGTTTGTCTCTCCTTTGCCCTTCAGAAGGGCTGTAGCTCAGTGGTAGAGCATCTGCCTTGTATGCATAGTGTCCCAGGTGCAATCTGGCATCTCCTGGTAAGGCTGAATCTCCTATCTGAAATGGTTTTCTTCTCCTTGGACAAGACTGTAGTTCTGCTGATACATTTCACAGCGTAACTCTGTTGTAGTTGAGAGATAGGGTAAAAAACTAACCTTAAATTAGTTGGGTTTTTTAATGTAGCTACTTGTGCTTTTTTAAATGGAGGAGGAAGTTATAAATGATACTGTCAGCTGTCTCCACACAAAATAGTTAGCTGACTTTCCTCTATCGAAGACATTTAAGGGGACATTTGGTGATTCTTTAGGAAGTCAGGTATCTTGCTGCTCTGAAACATATGGAAAGAGATGCGGAGGCAGCAAATTTCTTAGCTGGAGTCCCCGAAACTTTCTCAGCTTAAGCCTGTGCTCCTAGGAAATACTGTCTTGCTTGTCTCCCAGTTTGCTGTCTGTGGCTCTTAACTAATCTGATGTGTGGTTTTTTGAAGGTCCTGGGCACTCGGGCTCTTCAGAGGCATAGCACAAGGGCACAGCCATGGTCTTGTATCAGGGCCCCCCTAAGACATGGATTCCCCCATGTGGCTGCCTTGAGTTATGTGGCCTTTGGTCTCTGCATGTGTCATTTTTGATGTGGCCTCTTTGGATCCAGGGTGATGAAGCAGTGCAGAAGTACAGCAAGTATGGAGCAAAACGTCTCATTAGAAAGGTTTGAGTTTATGAACACAAACAAAAGAAATAAATTGAAACTCAACAGAGGGAGGAAATAGGAGCCAAGGAGCAACAGCAACCTGCCAACTCTCCGTTTGTTCGGCTAAGAGCAGAAATTCTTTATAACACCTTTACTAGTTTGCCTAATGACAGGTCTAAATCGTTGAAGCCCGTGTTGGTCATAACAAAGGGAACTGCCAGCAAGATGCAGGCAGAGACTCTTTTGTTTTCGCTCTACTTTTTCTGAACTCTTTCTAAATACAAAATGGGAGAAACAGCACCTGTACATCAGAATCTCAATGGCCAACTTGATGTAGCGCAACAAAAACCACAAGAATCGTTGGAAAGAATAAGGTTGATGGATCAAAACTGCAGCTGTTTCATACTTCTATGTCAACTCTTATTTTATTCTGCTTCCTATGAATTTGAAACCGCACTAAGCCTGACATTGGTTTCTCTCTGAGTGCTCAAACAGTGGAAATACGGAAATGGTGAACCTATATTTGTTCAGTATTCTGCATAGTACAGACGTGATGGTTGACTTTTTTTGTTTGGGATTCCCAAGACCCTGCAATTGCTAGAAAAATACTTGGAATGTTCTGCCGTGCCCTAAATGATGGTTGCAACCTTTGAATTGCCTTAGGGGTTTATCTCCCCAAAGTCAGGCTTTTGCCTTTCTGAATGGAGAGATCTCTGGTAATTGCCAACAACACACTTGAGACTGGTATAGCTTTCCCTTCCTCTTGGGTGGTCAGTTTGTGTGGCGTTCCTTCCACTAGGGCCGAGGCTCCTGAGTCTGATTTTAGCCTTGATGCTTCAAGGGAGGAGCACAAGCTAAGTCAGTTCGCTTTGGGCCAGAGGTAAGAGTTTTCAGGTCTGCTCCCTCATACATCACAACCAGAAGGCAGCTTTTCCTGGAAGTGAAACTGCTTGCTTCCCTCACCTAGGCTTAAACATGTCCTCCTCCTGACTATCAATAAGCTTTCAGATGTGTGGAGTGGGGGAAGACAGTTTTCTAAGAATATGTCACCTCTGACCCATGGCTTAAAAATCTGGACCTACACCCACACACACCCATTCTAGATGTGTGTAGTTACAGCTGTTGCCCATGGGGCTGTAAGATCAATAAAATGTGGAGCCACAGCCAATGACAGGCAGAGCCAAGTAATTCCAGTTCCCATCTTTCTCCCTGCTGACTTGGGCAAGGACAACACAGAGACTAAGGATTGCTGATAGACGGTGTAAACCACCACACCCCCCGGAACCTTGGTAAGAAAGAAGGCAGGGAGGACTGGCTGAGGGCAGACTTGAGATGGGTAGGACAGTGCCCTGTTCACCGTAATGGGCCAGCCTCTATTCCCAAGTGTGGAGGTTCTGCCACACAACAAACTGTTAAAGAAAAGAATAATATTGGTTGACTCCAGACTCTTGGGCTGCAATCTGCCATATTCTTACCTTGCAGAAAGTCCCATTGAACACAGAGGAATAGCATTTGATAGGATGGTGCTCTTGGTGATGCTGTAGGCTCATTGAAATCAATAAGACAAGTTGGTCGTGACTGTATTAAGTCCCACCGGTTCCAGCAAAACGAAAAGTGTTAAGTTACTTAAGCTGGATGCAGCCCATTGATTTATTCTGCTAAACCCAACCAGAGAGGTCAACTCTCCACTGCCAATAATACCCCACAAACCTATGGGTATTTGCCCCTATCCTCGTAAACAGCAGGAGTTTGCTTAAGCGATAAAGTCAGCGCACAAACACTAAAGTGAACAAGTCATTTCGTTGCCAATCCATTGTACAAGAGTGTACAGAGGGGAAATAATTGTGGTTCTGTTTGCTATCATAAGTGCAAATGCATGGAAAATTCTGAAGGCAGAATTCAGCCATTATTTGGATTGTGGAAGACCTGTAGGGCATAAAGAGGTCTCTAAAGAAGAGCCATCCGCTCAGGGCCTGATTCTAATCCTGCCATCCATGAGTCAGGTAGTAGGGAACTGGTTTGTGTTTCTTGTTGCAGACCTCAGCTGCCTGACCTTGGAAGGAAGGAATATGCTGATTCTGCTGGGTTTATGCTGGAGAACAAAGTATTTTTGATCTTGCACTTGATTGGTCACTTTCATTAGACATTTTGCATGCATATACCCTATGTCTGCTGTGGACTCATGTACAACTATGACTGGCAGATTCTGGGGGAGCAGGAAAGGGTCTCATTTCCCATGTGAGTGGTGTACTCCAGATAGAAGGATGCCAAAGGCCTATTGATTTCAGTGCGACTTCAGAGCCTGAAGTTCACTGTGCTGCACCCATAATGTTGTTGTGTTATGCCTGGCCTATGACTTTGCTAATGGCAGTTTCTTTTAAAAAAACACCTCCCAACAGCTTGTATATAGATAATTTTTCAAGTTGTGCAGCAGTATTGTAGAACTATCATTGCTGGTGGTACACTTTTAATTTTCCCTCCTGTACAATTGTGGACTTTGGTGAAATCAGTCATTTCTGTAGTAGCAGTACTTGGAGAAAAGCAGAAATTGGCTCGTAGTGACCAGACCAGCTCTGCTGCCATAGATGTGATGTTATGGATTACCATTCTCTCTCCCATCCCCAACCTGGAAAGTGTTTATTCTTTATTTATTTTAATTCTTTTTCTTTTTGGATGTAACATCAAGCAGTTATTATTGCACACCTTCCAGTGCATTTTCCCATCGCTTTCCTTACTGCTAAAAAGTGGCTCTCTTTTTTTAAGTGTCTTGAACAAGAGCGCTAAATCCACTATTAATTGCTCAACCTGAACTTGCTAGCATGTGATTGAATTCCATGTGCAAAATAGCAGTGGTCCAGGAACCTTCTCCTGCCCGCTCCCCAGTCTCATTCTTTGCGTCAGGTTTTTCCAACCAGACGTTTTGAAAATGATCCCGTGGTACATCAAGAACGGTGTCTAGATGCCAGGATCTGGGGCCACCTAAAAGTGTACATTTGAACTCTTGGCTCACAGCCTCTGCCAACCTGGTGTCCTCCAGATGTTTCAAGCTACAGCTCTGCTGGCTGGAGCTGATAGAGCTATATAGTCTAACACATCTAAAAGGCACCAGGTTGTCGAAGGCTGGTTCAGTCGTTGGGCTTGGGTTGGTGTGCGGTCAACCTTTACTTCACATTTGTTAAAACTCTTACCCGCAAGAGAGCAGATGTCCACCCGGTTGTGGACATCTGGTGAAGCTGAATGTTGGAAGATTCGGGACAGATAAAACAAAGTACTTCTCCATGCAGTGCATCGTTAAACTATGGAACTCACCCCCACGAGGCAGTGATGGGCACCAGATTGCTTCAAAAGAGGACTAGACAAATTCATGGAGGAAGGGGCAATCAATGGCTACTAGCCATGATGGCTGTGCTTTGTCTCCACAGTTGGAGGCAGCAATAATTCTGAAAACCAGTTGCCAGAAACCAAAGCCGGGAGAGGGCTCTTGTGCTCGAATCCTGCCTACAGGTTTCCCACAGGCATCTTGTTGGCCACTGTGACAACAATGCAGGACTAGATGGGCCATTGGCCTGATCCAGAAGGCTCTTCTTAGGTTCTTGCGTTCTTAAGGGTGTTCCTGAGAGCAGCTGAGTCTTCTGAACTCGTTTATGAGCATCAGCACCACTTCTGTGGGGTGGCAGAAGGGGCAAAGTGCATTTTGGGTGGTGGGAACATGGTTCCACATGCTAAGATTTGTGAAAGAGAAACAATGGTGTATTTCACTTTCATGCTTCCGTCCTGTTTTTTCCCTGGAGTAAATGTCCCATGCCCCCCTCACGCGATTGCAATCCTATTAGTTTTGATAGAGTTAACTTTCAAGTAAGCATGCATTAGAATTGTGGCCTTCTTTTAATTCCTAGTTTATGATTTAGTTATATTGTTTAGGTGTTGTCTGGCAAAAGTGTATGTGGTGTTTTTTTCCTCCTTACTAGTGAATAACAAAGCCTTTTCCATTTCACAGGAGGCTCCAGCAAAGAGCAAGCTATCAGTTTGCAGGAGGGGGCATAGCTTTCTCCCCATCTTCCCACTCTGGTGCCACCTATGGAGCCAGTTTTGGGGTATTTGTTTTACTCTGGCTCAGTTCAGTGTTTGTGAGCTCTGCGTTTTAGGCTTTTTGAGGACTGGGGGTGGGGGGTTTAAGTTTCCTTTGCTTTAGAATTGTTTGTGGGCAGGGATGTTTTGGATTATTTGGTCTGTACTTTCTATGATTTTTATTACTGCCAATGGGTATGCCTTAACAAAACAATTGTAAATGCCATCGCAGCAGTATCGTAGCCAAACTTAAGCCTGGGTTTCCCACCCCTCTGAAATGCCCACCACCAACTTCCCACTTTCCCTGGTATTGCCCATGGTATCTTAATCTATTTCCCTATCGTACTAACAGTGTCTGTCTCTTCACTGTATGAAATAAACACTTTTCCTGATTCCAAGATGCCTTGTTGACGTCCTGAGTAGCTAGGACACTATTTTCAGGTGTAATAACCTGACACGGCTAGGAGACTTACCTGGACATTTGAGTGGGTGCAAAATGCAGCGAGCTGCCTATTGCTGTGTCAGCGTGCAAAAATACACTCCTATGCTAGAGCAGGGGGTAGGCAGAAGGTAGGTTGGGATGTGCCGGTAGATCTTTGGGTGGTTTGCAGAAGATGAGTCCCGGCTGTTTTGCCTTCAGTGTTCCTAAGTGCTTAGCTTTGGAGCATACAGAACAACTTGTGCTTGGCATTCTTCCCACACAAGAGTCAGGGTTTCATAGTGGCCACAGGTCTGGTCTAGAAACTTGGGAGACCAGAGTTTAATCCCCACTTGGCCATGAAGCTCACTGGGCAACCTTGGGCCTAACCTTAGCCTTACCTACCTCGCAGTGTTGTTGTCAGGATAAAATAGGAAGAGGGAGAATGGTGTACACCGGTTGGAGCTCCTTGGAGGAAGGGTGGACTATAAATGTAATAGTAAAGAGAAATAAAGAAATCCTGTCTGCCTTCTACCATGGAACCCAAGGCTGTGTATATGTGGTTCTCCGGTAGTCTACTCCTCCCAACTGATCAGGCACAGACCTGCTTAGTTTCATCAAGGTGGTGCCTCCCTGTGTCTTCAGACTCTACTCTAGAACCACATTAAACACAGTGTGTCATTTGACCCTCAGGGGTGTCAGGAAAGGGCAACAATTTGTTGTATTTACTTGTGGACTGATTGATTCAACAAATTTTATATATGGCTTGATTGTAACAAAATCTCTAGGCGGCTTACAAGAAATATTAAAATTATCAATAAGAACAGTTTAAAACAAGTGATTAGAAAGCATTAAAACTAGAGGTCAGCAAAAAGAAAGAAAGAAAAACCCATTAAAACACATCAACATCTACATGTCTGGATAGACTTACCTAAAAAAAAATGTTTTAAGCGGATACCAGAAAGAACACAACGTTGGTGTCTGCCTGCTGTCAGTGTAAACTATTTTGCAACCAAAGCTACAGAAATGATGTAGAATGAGACAAAATACAGAATCTAGAAACTAAATGCAATCAAGCCAGGTCTACAAGTGTATAGTTAATTTTATAATTTTAATTGCATAGTTAATTTCACTTAACAAAAAGCTGCCTAAACATCAAGGTACTAGGGTAGTAGACACTTGTCTAATTTCAGCTGGTAACATCCCAAAGGCTGGAGCTGCATCACTGAAAGCCTAGTTTTTTTTTTTTATTATTATTATTATTATTATTATTATTATTATTATTATTATTAAATTTATATACCATCTTTCATTCAGAGGCCACAGGGCAGTTTACAGCATAAAAATACAAAATGAAAACGTATAATGTAACAAAATACATTTATTAGTTGCCATGGCAATTCAAAGCTCAAAATGACTTACAAAAAACCATACATGCATACATTAAAGTGAGGGGGGTATCCATTAAAACATCCCACCTAGTTAAAAGCCAGAGGCCTGGTTAAAAAGGAAGGTTTTGGCCTGGCACGTGAAAATATATAATGATGGCACCAGGCAAAGTTCCTTGGTGAGAGCGTTCTGCAAACACCAAGGGTCCTAAGCCACATTTCTAGGACAAAGCCAACACATTGAAATTAAGTGCTAGACCAGATCTACCCACTGATTTTCTAGATCCATTCCAATCAGAGTTTAGGCCTGATTTGGAACAGAAAGTGCCTTGGTCACCCTGTATTGATGACCTCTGTTGGGAGAGAGACAGGGGAAATGTGTCCCTTTTAATTCTCCTCAACCTCTCATTAGCTTCTGATATCAAGCATCGTATCCTTCTGGAGCAGATGTCCAAGTTGGGGTGGGAGGCACTACTTTCCGGTGGTTCAGGTCCTACTTGGATGATCATTTCCAGATGGTGATGCTTGGCATGTGCTCTTGGGCTCCATGGAGCCTTCAATATGTTCTGCTCCTTTACATCTGCAGGTGTGGCAGTGGATGTCCTGGACCTCAGTGTTAAGATTACTGCAATGCCTTATACACAGGACTGCCTCTGAAGACAGTTCAGAAACTTTAGCCGGTGCAGAATTTAGAGGCCAGGTTGCTCTCTGGGACAAGATGCTTTGAACATATGATGCCAATCCTGGCACAACTGTACTGACTGCCAGTCAATTTCCAGGCAGATTCAAAGTGTTGGTTTTGACCTATAAAGCCTTAAACAGCCCAGGATCGCAATACCCCGAGGACTGCCTCTCTTCGTATGAACCTACCCAGACCCTGAGATCATCCTCTGAGGCCCTTCTTTGTATGCCTCCTCCGTGGAGGGCAGCAACATGAGGCTCGCCTGGTGCCTTCATTACATATCTTTAGGCACTAGGCAAAAACATTCCTCTTTTCACAGGCCTTTGGCTAATTAAAAATACCTTGCCTTTTAAACTAGACAGAGGTTCTGGTTTGTTGCTATGCTATATATTTTGTGTTCTCATTTTTAAAAAAATATGCTGTGAATCACTTTGCGATCTTCGGATAAAGGGTGGTACATAAATTTAATAAATAAAATTTTTAAAAAGCATTAAATGCACCTGCGGGGTGCCTGCCTGGATAGCGCAGCTGCAGGGCAGGGATATACAGTGGTACCTCAAGTTACAGACGCTTCAGGTTACAGACTCCGCTAACCCAGAAATAGTACCTTGGGTTAAGAACTTTACCTCAGGATGAGAACAGAAATTGTGTGGCAGCAGCGTGAGGCCCCATTAGCTAAAGTGGTGCCTCAGGTTAAGAACAGTTTCAGGTTAAGAACGGACCTCCTGAACAAATTAAGTTCTTAACCAGAGGTACCACTGTATAGGCGTGAAGTTAAATATGGAATACCTTATTTTTATTATTATTAGGGGGGGTACTGCCCTGAAGATGCTAGTGGGATTCTCTTCTTCTGATGCCATGCCAGTCTTGGGTGCACAATGCCCCGCTGGCCTAATGATGTTTTGGCCTGGATTATTTATTACTTATTTTATTTATTAAATGTATGCACTGCCAGTTAGACTAGAGGCCCGTCTAACTAGTGCAGCATCCTGCTCCCCAGAGGCACGTGCATCCGGAGGGCCAGGAAGCTCGCTCGTCGTTGTCCAGGCACAGGTATTTTGTACTCAGTGACATGTCCCCTCTGTGAACCTGGAAGGTCCCGCTGGAATCGGCCCTCCCTCCCACTGCATCCCGCTCAGCCCTTGGAAAACCGCCTCGGCTTCGCCCAGCGCCCCCGTCTGCGCTGCGCGTCGGCCGGGCTCCGCTTCGGTCCTAGGCCCCCGCCGCGGCGCTTGGCAAGGGGGGCTCCGCGCCGGCCTCTTGTTTGGGGCGGCTGCTCCGCGTTGCAAAACAGAAGCGATGCCGCTAGAGGGCTCTGGCCATTGTCAAAAAAAGGAGAGGCAGAGAAAGAGGCGACTGTTCTCATTTTCTCTCTCGCTGCTGCTGCTGTTCCCGCTGACGATTTTGGGGGCTGAACTTCCCAGGTCAGCGCCGGAGAGCCTTGTTGTTGCTGCTTCTCCTCCTCCTGCTTGCGTAGCAGCGGCAGCAGCAGCCCCAGACCCGGCGCCACCCCGACGGGGCTGCGGGAGCCTCCAGTTTTAAGAAATCTCCTCGTTCTCCAGCCGCATCCTCAAGGGAGAGAGGGACCTTTATCAGCCTCGGTTGCTTTTCTCTCCCCCGCCCCCACTTCTTTCTTTTCTCTCTCTCCCCCCCCCACCCTTTTTAATAGTATCATTTAAAGGAGAGATCGCGAACTCTGCAGCTTCTCAGGGACCCGATCCTGAAGCCAGAGACTTCCAGGTAACTCCCGCCGACTGGGCTTTGGGCAGCCAGCCAAAAGTCCAGCAACGTAGCCAGGCAACTTCCTCATTAAAAAGGGGGGGGCGGGGAGGGGAGGGGGAGCCTATCACAAACAGCGGGGAGCCAACGCACCGCCGTTCCATCAGCGCCTCTGCTCTCCGTACGAGCCGCCCCCCCCCCGCAAACAAGGTGGGGGGGGCGCACACCCGGATCTTCCCTACGCGTATATAAACAAGAAGAGAGCTTTCAAGACGTGAGAATGACGTAGACCTTGGGCTGGGTTGGTAGAGGAAGTAGGAAAGCTTGCCTCCTCCTCGTCCTCCTCCACCCGCCGCCGTCGCCTTCCTGGCAGGACTCGACTGCCTCTTAAGAACTGTGCACGCCGTGCAGAAATCGGCCCAGGAAAGTCTTCTTCACCTGTTGAATTTCTGCACGTCGCCCAAAGTTGTTAAAAGTGCACCAGCCTTGCCAGGGAGACGGGAGGCGCCGCAGGATTGATATTGCAGGGGAGAGAGAGAGAGAGAGGAGGGCCGCAGGAATCCTGTAGCTTTGAGATCAGGGGGGCAAATGCTGTCCAGCAAAGGCCACGTTACAGGCCCAAAGCCGCAGGGTTGGTGATGGATTCTGAGCAGGGGAAACTTATTTTTTCAGAGGCCACAGCCTTCTGCAGAAGTGACTGATGTATTTTGCTGAGATTCAGTGGGCCCTTCTGGACCCATGCCAGAGACCTGTCTACAGGGACATTGTGCAGGACAATTATGGGACTCTACTCTCACTAGGTAAGGACTTTTCTTTTTATTTATTTCTTTTTTGCTTCTTTTTTATATTAAAAATTAATTCAAATAAAATCAGCTTTAAGTAGTAAAGATGGCTATTGCAAACCTGAGATCCCAGAGGTCCAAAAACGTATGGCGACATTGACATTGACTTCTGCTGGTTTAAGAATATGCAGCCTTTTGAATTACAGGGAACTCTTGATCAGGCCAGGAGAGTTTCTTTGAAATCTAGAAGGCTGCATGTTGCTAAGCCAGCAAAACTCTCTCCGGTGAAAATATGTCAGGACACTTCTTTAGTAAGCTCACAGAAAAGCCTCAGAAGATTAGGATTACTCCATCTTGAGGTAGATGGAGAGAAGACAGAAAGTTATGAGAAAATTTCCTGTCCCTGTATAGTCAGCAGTCCCACATCACAGAAATATTTGGAGCGTTTGATAGTTGTGGAGGCCAAACCCAATAACTCTGGTGGAATTCCCATAGAATTCTGCTGGTTAGCTATGGAATGTCAGGAATTAGAAGCTAATATTAGTGTCAGCCAGCACTACCTCTTGGGTCAGGGTTGGTCTAATTCACCTATTGTATGGAACGATGCTTTTAAGCTGCGGCACCAGCAAATGGGTTTTATCTAGTTATTTTGACTCCTGCCTCCCATCCATCCGTCCAAATATCTCAAGTTGGTAACACCACTTAAAACAGCAAATGATCAAACCAACAAGGTAAGGTAACCATTCAGATATAAAACGTTGAAACAAAGCAAAAAGGGGGTGGAAATATTCCCATGCTTGCTTCACTCTCTTTCCTTTGATAGATGGAGGAACCATGAACCCAAATCCCCAGCCTGGAGGTGCAGAGGCTGCGCCGACACAGAAGCAGGTTCCAGGACGCCCTGAAGGCTCCCTTTACCCAGGCCAGAACCAGGCTGGGCAGCAAAGCGAGGATCCAGGGAAAGGATGGGCCAAGCCGCCTCTTCCTCCTCCATTGCCGAAAGGCAACCCCAGTCTCCCGCCCCGGGTCTATATGGGGCCCGGCCCAAGCCTGTGTGTCCAGTGTGGGGAGAGCCTTGCCCAAACTCGGCACAGTGTCGCCCAGCCCCAGAGAGCCCCCCATCCTGCCGATAAGTTCTACCCGTGCTCCGATTGCGGGAAAAGCTTTGGCGTGAGCTCCCACCTCACCATCCACCGGAGGATCCACACAGGCGAGAAGCCTTACGAGTGCAACGAATGCGGGAAGAGGTTCAGCCAGAGCTCCACCCTTGTTCTCCACCGCCGCATCCACACCGGAGAGAAGCCTTACAAATGCGTGGATTGCGGGAAGTGCTTCTCTGTGAGCTCTCACCTGACCAAGCACCAGAGGGTCCACACGGGGGAGAAGCCGTACGAATGCCAAGCGTGCGGGAAAAGGTTCAGCCAGAGCTCCACCCTCATCCTTCACCAGCGGATCCACACTGGGGAGCGGCCTTACAAATGCGACGAGTGCGGGAAGACCTTCAGCGTCAGCTCCCACCTCACCATCCACCAGAGAATCCACACAGGGGAGAAACCCTATCACTGCACGGAATGTGGGAAGAGTTTCCGGCAAAGGTCCGGCCTCAGCACACACCAGAAAACCCACATGGTCCTTGTGAGACCTTACAAGTGCCCGCCTTGAAGAGGGAACCAAGCTTTGGGTCGCAAACCACCAGCCTTTCTTGCCCGACACTTTGCTCAGTGAAGAGACTGTGGCTGCAGACAGATAGAAGGAGGGGAGAGTTGGCTGGCACCCCGCATTTTATGAGCTTCGTTGGAGACTTGTGGGGGGCTGGGGGGCACTGTTAATGCGAAAGGTACTTCAGGGGTGCCACCCTCCCGCCACAGTCGAGTTAGGGCCATTCATGAGATCCCAACATGTTCCTTCCAAAAAGCACTTCCGCTTTGAGTGATATTTCTTTCAAACCACAACACAGTGTTACGTACGGGGAACGTGGCTTTCTTTCCCAAGCTAGCAGTTTGGAGGGCTGTCTGAAATGCAATTTGTGTCAACTGTCACAGACACTAACCGGATATTTCCCGTGACATCGCCAATGCCAACTTAGATCGGTTTTCTCCCCCGAGCGGTCCTCAAGTGTGAAAATGTTCCAGTAACAATTTAAAAGGAAAGGAGGAGGTTAAGGGAGTTGGGTAGACTTCTCTTCTCCACAGCAACGCTCTGCCATTTTTGTAAACGTTTTCTTTTGCTTAGTTGCTCCTTTCTAGCTTGTTGTTTTCAATGGTTTATATACAGTGATTGGTGGTGGTTTTATATGTTGTACAATTGTGAGCTTTCTTAGGGGGCTTTGGCTGGGGAGCGGCATAGAGCATAATCAGTCACAAATGGGATGTTGATGAAAGGTGTGTCTTCCCTGCGGTCCAGAGCTAGAACCAGAGCACACATTTCCTGTGTGTGTTTGTGTGTTTTAAAAAGACAGTAATGAGAATAAGAACAGAATATCCCAGCACAGCAAGGCTGCCTGGTTGCAACGTAGAGATCCAGGCTGTGTACACATAATATGTTTGAAGCACACGGCTTCCGCCGAAAAATCCTGGAAACTGTACTTTAGCCCTCACAGAACTACAATTTCCAGGACCCTTAAACTACAGTTCCCACGATTTTTGGGGGATAGGTCAGGTGCTTTAAATATACAGTGTGTACAGAGCCCTGCTCTGTCCTTTTAAAAGTCCTAAAGCCAGTGGTGTTAGCGGGGCAGGAGTCCTTAGCTTTACTCAGCAGATAGAGCAGAAGAGCTGGCTTGCTAGAAGAAGTATAGATGGCTGCCCACTTGGTGGTTTAAAAGGGGATTAAACAAATTAATGGAGGAGAGGGCAGACAGTGGTTTCTTGACCATGATGGCTGTGTGCTACCTCCAGGATTGCAGTCTGCCTCTGCATACCAACTTTTGGGAATCTCAAATGAGGAGAGTGCTGCTGTGCTCATTTCTTGCTTATGGGCTTCCTATGTGAAAACACAGTGGGGGATTAAGGCCTTTGGTCTGACCTAGCATGGCACTTCTGATGTTCCTCCCACAGTTTTGAGTCACATGGGACAGCCCATGCGGTGGCCTCCAGATGTTGGACAGCAACTCCCATCATTCCTGGCCATTGACTGTGCTGGCTGAGGCTGATGGGAGTTGGAGTCCAGGAACATCTGAAGAACATTTGGTTACCCTTATAATATCTAAAGAGAGGAGTTCCCAAGAGACCATTAAGCCCAAAGGCTAAAATGACCAGACTGCACCACTGCCAGAACCATCACCTCCCATCCCATCACTCCTTTGGTCCCTTTGCCAGAGTCTCTTTCAACTTCTGCAGCCAATTCAGCAACTGCAATGCTATTTTTACTCCAGCAGAAAGTGGGAGAGAACAGTGGGGTAGACAGAGGGGGTCCTTAGCAGATACACAGAATGGAATCGCACATGTAGCTCTGTCAGGAAAGAAAGATGGCTGGTGAAGGCTGGCTGCAACTGAACCTTGTCTCCACAGAGCCTCACAGCTGTGTGGGATGTGCTGTTCCTCCTTGGCATTCTATATAAAGTAGGTGCAGGGAATGTTCAGCCCTCCATACTACAATTCCCATCATCCCTGGCTATTGGTCATTGTTGCTAGGACTGATGGGAGATGGAGTTCAGCAACATCTAGGGTCAAAGGTTGGGGGAGCAGCCACAGGAGCAGCATCAATTTGGAAGGAACAGAGATAGATAGAAAAGGAAGTACAGTGGTACCTCGGGTTACATACGCTTCAGGTTACATACGCTTCAGGTTACAGACTCCGCTAACCCAGAAATAGTACTTCAGGTTAAGAACTTTGCTTCAGGATGAGAACAGAAATCGTGCAGCGGCGGCGCAGCAGCAGCGGGAGGCCCCATTAGCTAAAGTGGTGCTTCAGGTTAAGAACAGTTTCAAGTTAAGAACGGACCTCCGGAACAAATTAAGTACTTAACCCGAGGTACCACTGTATCACGTCTATGTGGGAGATTCAGCAGGAACAGCGAAGAAACTCTGGATCACAATTTGGTGGTGAGCCAGGAAAGTAGACTATTTACAGGATGAAGTATTGAAGGAGGAGGGAAGAGAGAAGGAAATTTGCCCAGTAACCCCAGGAGATCTTAGTGATTCACCAAGAACGTCCTGAAGGAAATAGGAAGTTTGAGGGCTCTGAGATCATTTGCAAGTTGCTGCTCTCATATGGGGGAGATTTCAGAACAGGAAAGATGCTACAGCAGACTAAGAGAGCGGGCCCGGTAGATATTTACAAGATTATGCATGGTGTAAATAAAGTGGGCAGATAGGTTTTTATTTCTCTTTTGGCAGCATTAGGACCTGAGGTCATCCGGTGAAACTGATTGGTAGAATATGCAAAGCAGAAGAAACACAGGACTTAAATAATAACTTTCACATTTAACATACAGAATTCATTGTTGCATGATGCCAGTTGCCACGGACTCTCAAGGGGGATTGGACAAATACATGGAGGAACAGCCTATCAGTGGATGCCTTGAACATCCATGTTCCAAAGCAGCATGCATGTCTCATGAGTACCAGTCTCTGGGAGATGACAGCGGGGAGATGCTCTTGCCTTTGTGCTTGTGGTCTTTCCTGAGGCATCTGGCCAGCGCTGCTTGAAAGAAGACTCCTGACTAGATCGGTCTTTGGTTTGATCCAACTCTCCTTAGCTTTTAAAGGGACGCTGTTGGAGGTATTAGGCCTCTGAACACCACTTGCAGAAAATCGCAAGGCTGTTGCACTCGGTTTCTCATAGGTATCTGCCTGGGCACTGAGATCAGGATGCTGGACTATGATGGGACTTTGGGTGGATCTAGCAGAGCTCCTCTTCAGTTCATACACAATCTCTGGCCTAGATCTGGAAAGCCCAGATCATCTCCCTTCATTCTGTGGGGGTCAGCATGTTGGTGCCTCTGTCCCTGGATTGGGGCAAGCAGAGCGACAGCACTAAGGAGAACACCCATTTTTGTTTCATTTCTAATTGTCTGGATGTTGTTTGATAGTCAAAACACTTCAATTAACAGGAATTTTAGCCGTTTTAGGTGCTCTTCCTTTCCATCTGTAGCTTCCCCTTATTATCAACAGTCGTTTATATTTCTTCACCCACAAATCTCTCGCTAACATCTCACCCTGTAATCTCCATTGCTTCATTCAAGGCATATTAAAAGTTCGGAGAATTTTGCAGGAGTGTTTTGTGTGGTTATTTTTAACCCATCAGCTGGTGGTCTTGCTTTACTTAACACAGGGTCCAGCCACACTTCCTCCGCCCCCAGGGAAAACCCGCAGTTTAGCTCTGAATCGGAACAAGCAGCAGTTGGGTTTTCTGCATATTGCCATTGGTTCCGATTTAGCGCTAAACCACGGGTTTTCCAGGGGAACGTGGTGGGGCAAGGACAAAAGCACTTGGACTCATTCCTAGAAAGCATGGGGCAAGCAGAAAACCACTCAGGCCCAGGATTTATAGGAAATGTGGACAAGCCCACTGACTGTAATAAACATGTTCAAGATAAACGGAAGGCAAACTTCTTCATGGAGGCTCTCATTTTTTAAAAAAAGAAAAGATAAAAGGAAGGCAAAATTATTTGTGGAGGCTCTCCTTTTTTAAAAAAAGAAAAGGGGCTAGGGCTTTGTACAAGTTATTCTTCATACTCCCATCTTTCCACAGGGAATATCTTGTAATTCACGCCACTCAAAAGATTGGTACTTCTCATTAGCTCCTTTGTTTCAAAAGTTAACAGCCACTTCCTGCTTCTGCTAATGGAGACGGGCAGGTTTATGTGTGACAGTGAGATTTCCTTTCATTGTAATTCCTGGGTGCCAGACAGTAGAATTTAGCAGCATCAAAATACAGGCCAAACCAGTTTTTCAGTGTTCAGGAAATTGAAGGGATGGGCCATTATAAGAGGGCAAAGGGAAGGGTGATGACCATTAAGAAAGCCATCAGCAAAGCTAAGGCTAGGTGCTATCTTGGCTCTAGGTTGTTAGCAGAACGCAATACCAGAGGTGGTTTCAGAACTGCAGTTTGCATGATACAAGTTGCAGGGAAAATAGTTGCAGTTTATAAGCAGCGGCAGGTTGGAGAATAATGTGGGCTGACAATTTGAACCCAGGACTGTGGACGTGGGAGAAGCCAATCTTCCTCACTTACCAGGAAGAAGGCTCCCAGGAGATTAATGGAAAACCTGTGATTTCCTCATAACGACCAGCAATTTCTTTCACTCTATAGCCATATAATAAATGCCTGTGTGTTGTTTAGGGCCTATGACTTGTTAGCATTTAGAAATGCACAAACTGAATAAGAACAGTTATTTTAAGCTCAGATATTTTACCCACTTATAATTAGTAAGTAACTTCCTTAAATAAACTACTTTCCTAAGGCTGCAATTCTATACTCGGCTAAGAAGAAGTCGTATTGAACTTGGGCCTACTGCTCAGTGGGCATATATAGCATTGGACTGCAAGTTAGTTGCCCCTTCTCTCTCCATTAAACACTCCATGTAGGAAGAGCAGCTGGAGGTCCAGGTTTGCTTAAGCAGCAAGGGTAATGTTGATCCTGGAGAAAGCTATCCCCAGGCGGGGAGAGTTTTGGGTGGGTAACCCAGGATGAGTCACACAGGTAGAATCTGAAGCTCCACCACTTGGGGTGGGGAAGAGACTATTTTCAAGGGCCAACAAACATTTTCAGGAGGGGGCCGGTCGGTCCACTGTCCCTCAGACCTTGTGGGGGACCGGACTAGATTTTTTGGGGGGGGGAATAACAAATTCCTATGCCCCACAAATAACTCAGAGATGCATTTTAAATAAAAGGACACATACTACTCATGTAAAAATGCTGATTCACGGGCCAGATTTAGAAGGTGATTGGGGCGGATCTGGCCCCCGGGACTTAATTTGCCTACCCATGAACTAACCAATCTAAATTAGAAGAAAGGAAAGAGATGTTCTTTTTTTAAAAAAGCTTGTCTTTTAAAAATGGAATCCTTGCAAATATATTTGCATTCCTCTGACAGATGAATGGTTTGTGATATACCGTATTTTTCGCACCATTGGACGCACCGGTCCATAGGACGCATCAAGTTTTTTTGGGGGGAAATAATGGAAAAAAAATTATTTCCCCCCCAGGCGCTTGTGGGGCCGGCAGCGGGGAGAAGCGCTGCTCTCCCCGCCGCCCGCCTTGATATCAAGTCCGGGGAGAGCGGGAAGACGCGCTGCGTCTCCCTGCTGTCCCCGGAGCTTGGGGGCAGGCAGCGGGGAGAAGTGCTGCTCTCCCCGCCACCCGCCTTGATATCAAGTCCGGGGACAGCGGGAAGACGCGCTGCGTCTCCCTGCTGTCCCCGGAGCTTGAGGGCAGGCAGCGGGGAGAAGCGCTCTTCTCCCCGCCGCCCGCCTTCACATCAGGTCCGGGGACAGCGGGAAGACGCGCTGCGTCTCCCTGCTGTCCCCGGAGCTGGGGGCAGGCAGTGGGGAGAGCGCTCTTCTCCCCGCCGCCCGCCTTCACATCAGGTCCGGGGACAGCGGGAAGACGCGCTGCGTCTCCCTGCTGTCCCCGGGCTGGGGGCAGGCAGCGGGAGAGCGCTCTTCTCCCCGCCGCCCGCCTTCACATCAGGTCCGGGGACAGCGGGAAGACGCGCTGCGTCTCCTGCTGTCCCCGGAGCTGGGGGCAGGCAGCGGGAGAGCGCTCTTCTCCCCGCCGCCCGCCTTCACATCAGGTCCGGGGACAGCGGGAAGACGCGCTGCGTCTCCCTGCTGTCCCCGGAGCTGGGGCAGGCAGCGGGGAGAGCGCTCTTCTCCCGCCCTCAGCCTCCAAACCACTTCGGGAGACAGCGGGATGGCGGCGTTCCGCCTCCCTCTGTCCCCCGACCTTGTGGGGCTGGCGCTGGGGCTCTCCTGAAGCCTGGAGAGCGAGAGGGGTCGGTGCGCACCGACCCCTCTCACTCACCAGGCGTGAGTGAGCCTGCATTCGCACCATAGGACGCACACACATTTCCCCTTCATTTTTGGAGGGGAAAAAGTGCGTCCTATAGTGCGAAAAATACGGTAATTCTGTTCTCATACCCTCCAACAGAGCTATCTGTTGTGTGTGTGTGGCTGCATACAAGTCATACATTTCAAGCCCATTTAAAACATATCCTGCCCAGAGGAAAAAAGTAATGAAAACCATGGTTTACCCCCTCTACAGAAGCTACAATTCCCATCGCCCTTAAATAATAAAAAAAAACCTGCGGTACAGCTTCCAGGATAGCTCAGTCTGTAGAGCATGAGACTTTATCTCAGGGTTGTGGGTTCGAGTACCATGTTGGGCAAAAAGATTCCTGCATTGCAGGGGGTTGGACTAAAAGACGTTTGCTGTCCCTTCCAACCTTACCATTCTGTGATTCTTTGAGGGTGGTGTGCTTTAAATGTATGGTGCGTACACGGATGCTGTGTTTATTTACTAAATAAATAGTGGCTAAATAAATAGTGGCTATTTATTTACTAAATAAATAGTGCCTTTGTTTTTATGCCCTAGTAGGGTTCCTGCCTGCCTGACATATATTCAACACAGCTCTCATACTTCATTAATATGGGAAACCAATATGCAAACCAAGCCTTATGATGAATGGGTATGTTTAGCCTGGAAAAGAGGAGATAGGACATCCATCTTTAAATATCTCAAGGGCTGTCACATGGAAGAGTGAATAAGCTCATTTTCTCCTCCTCTGAAGGGTAGGACTCGAACCAACGACTTCAAGTTACAAGGAAGGAGATTTTGACTAAACATACGGAAAAACTTTCTGACAGTAAGCTGTTCAACAGCGGAGCAGTCTCCCTCTGGAGGTGGTAGTAGACTTTCCTTCCTTGTAGGCTTTTAAGCAGAGGTTGGATGGCCATCTGTCATGGATGCTTTAGCTGAAATTCCTACATTGCCGGGGGTTGGACTAGATGATCCTTGGGGTTCCTTCCAAGTCTACAATTCTCTGATTGGGGGCAGGAGGGAAAGGGGGGAGTGCAGGAAAGGCACACAACACCTGTTGAATGTCTGGTCGTCGTTGAGCTGCTTAAAGCGCAGCACCTCTTTCAAAATCCTTCGCCCCCCCCAAAAAAAATTCCAATAGCATGCCTAGACTTACTTAGGGAGAAAACCAGGGGTTAAAACCATGGAGCAATGCAGGCGCCATCCCTGCCTGTGACCAGAGCGGCTGCCTCTGTTGAGCCCTGGGCTGCAGATGGTCCAATTCCTTTCTCCGCTTCCCTGGCCGCCGTCATCCCCAATGTCCCCCTTTCCCCCGCCCCCCCCCCAAGCAAGATGCAGGTTGGGCTGCCCCCTGCCTCCCCCTGCTGCTGCAACAAGGAGGCGCCAGCTCAAGCCCAGCTTTGAGCAGCGAGGTCAGAAGGGACTGTGCGAAGCTGGGGGAGAGCGGTGCCCGCTGCGAGCGCCAAGGGAGGGATTGATGGCACACGGGGAAAGGGAAGACGTCCCCTTCTGCAGATGGCTGGGGGCGAGGGGCTGCTTGGGCACTCTCAGGGAGGATGTGGCAGGGGTAGGGGGCATGGGCATAGCCAGGGGGGAGCAGCCCCCCCATCAATTCAATAAATAAAAATACTGAACTAAAAGCAGAAATTGTAGAAAGATTTTGAGATCTTTCTAAGCACTTGGGGTCAAAAGAAAGTGATTTGAAACACCGGTTGTTGAAACATCTCTTTCGGAATCTGCTAGACAGAGCCAGAAGATGATGACCAGTGGCTGTCCTGGCCACCCCCACCCCACAACATAAATCATCACTTGAAGTGTTTTATGCTTGTGCAAAGGAGGGGGCATTTTTTGAAACAGTTCCCTGGTTTTGGAACATCCTAGAGGCTCGACTTGCATATTACAGTCTTTTGGACATCAGGTTAAGACTTCCTTGCTTGCCCTGCCATTTTGAAGGAGCTGTGTTTGGTGTTTAGCAGTTGTCTTTTAGTTTTTATTGAAGGTAGGGGTGTGTGTGCGCGCGCGCTCTTATGGCTTTTATTTTGCTTTTATTAATGCATTAGATTACAGTGGATGCTCAGGTTGCGAATGTGATCCGTGCAGGAAACACGTTCACAACCTGCAGCGCTTGCAACCAGCAGTGGCGCATCTGCACACGTGCAGGTCGCGATTTGGCGCTTCTGCGCATGCGCAAGTGCTGAAACCCAGAAGTAACCCGTTCCGGTACTTCCGGGTTCGGCGTGGTGCACAACCCGAAATCACACAACTCAAAGTGTCTGTAACCCGAGGTATGACTGTATTGCTGTCATTGTGCACCGAGGAGCAATTTCAGGGGAAAAAAGTAAAATAAAATGGGAGATAAGAGGCAGTGTGGCACTGAATTCTACTTGCTGGGCACTGCAAGAGTGGAGAGTGCTGTTGCTCTCATTTCCTGCATGTGGGCTCCCTATACACATCTGGTTGGCCCCTATGAGAACAGGATGGTGGACTAGATGGGCCTTGGGCCTGATCCAGCAGGGCTCTCATGTACTTAAGTGAACCAGTCTTCCCATGTTTCTCTGCATCTAATTTTACGTCTTGTTACTTTTTCTTGAAGTTGAGATCCACTGACGTTGTCCCAGCAGATGCCAAGAGGGGACGTGAGCAGGAAACCTGTGTAGCCAAAAGCACATTGTCGAGAGAAGACATCCCTGGAGGGATGGAGCCCCAGAGGCCTGGCCTGGAACTAAGTCGCGGGAGACTGGCTGTGGGAGACTTTGTCCTAGCACTTCCCACCAAACCTGCCCCCATCTCCTCCAGCGAGGGCCAGAAACCCTACATGTGTACTGAGTGCGGGAAAGGCTTCGGCCAAAGCTCGCACCTTATGCGCCACCTGGGCACGCACTCGGGGGAGAAGCCATACCGGTGCGCGGACTGCCCCAAGGCCTTCACGCAGCTGTCGAACCTGCGGCAGCACCGGCGCATGCACACTGGGGAGCGCCCCTACTCCTGCGACTGCTGCGGGAAGTGCTTCTCCTGGAGCTCCAACCTGGCGCAGCACCGGCGCCTCCACACCGGCCAGAAGCCCTACGCTTGCGCCCAGTGCGGCAAGCGTTTCTGCGAGAGCGCCCGGCTCCTGGAGCACCAGCGCACCCACACAGGCGAGCGCCCCTATGCCTGCTCACAGTGCCACAAACGCTTCAGCCGCAGCTCCCACCTTGCCCGCCACCAGCGTCTCCATGCATCTGTCTCATGCACAGAGGAGGAGCCTTTCCCTTGCAGCCAGGGCGCTGCGCTCCTCCGACGCCACCATCGTGCGCACCACAACTAGAACATATGGTGCTGGAACACTATGGCAGCATTAAAGGATATTCCTCGTTCGCCTTTAGCTCTGGATCCCAGCAGTGGCCTGGAGATGACCTCAAGCACAGCTTCCTGCTTAGCTGCATGGGCTGCAATGGGAGCTCAGATCTTTCTAGGCTTCGGAGAATCTAGAACAGGAATGGGAAACTTGTGGCCTTGCAACGGTTGCTGGACTCCATGGGTATAGCCAGGGTTTATGTTATAGGGGGCGGGGGGCAGGACACCCACCTGTCATTGTCTTCTGTCTTGCTCTGTCTAGCAGATTCGGAATGAAGTGTCTTTAACAGCCATGGTTTTAAATTACTTTCTTTTGACCCCAAGTGCTCAGAAAAATACGTCAGAATCTTTGGTCATTTGAAAAAGACGACGTTAAAGAAAAGAATAACATCAGGGAGTACCTTTCAAGTACCGGTATATTTTGCAAAATTACAAAGAACATGCCTTTTTTCATCTTATTTTTTAAAAAATACAAACTAAAACAAGTTTCCTTGGATTTGCTGAAAGCCATAATAATAATAATAATAATAATAATAATAATAATAATAATATGCTGCGCATCTGACTGGGTTGCCGCATTAAAAGCACTTTTCAGCACTTTTCAAATTTCTCCTTTTTTCCAAATCAGTTTTTCTGTGCACACTCTGTAAGCATAGCCCATTGAGTCGCTCCCCTGTCATTGTTGGCCATTATCTTTACTCTCTGCAAGATACTGAATGACTGCTGTATGGCACAAGTGGTGCATAGCTGAGCAAGGGAGGTGAGCAGAGCCTTTTTTGTGGCAGGGGGAAAGATTTGCACCTCTTTTACTAGGTCTGCTACGTTTAGCTCTTTTAACCTGGAATCTTTTAACTGCTCTTTGCAGAGTTCACAGGAGCCACGCTTATCACTTGGTTGGGTTGCCAGTTGCATTACAGTTGCATTACTAGAATACACCACAACATCATCCAAGTGACCTCAGCGAGCATTTCAACTTCGAATGTTCTGATTGTTTCTACTTTTAGTTAAGCAGCTGCCCCCCTGGCTAAGCCCATGCTGGACTCCCAACTCCTTGGCAACCATCGGCAGTGCCAGATTTACGTATAAGCTAAACAAGCTATAGCCTAGGGCCCCATGCTCTTGGGGGGCCCAAAAAAATATAAAGGGGAAAAAACTGGATGTACATTTCCAAAATATAAGATAAAAAACAAACAAAATAAAATAAAACCTACATACAGCAACAGTGTTTTGTGTTGTGTAGGCTCCCATGATGTAAGTAATGGGCCCCGCCTGCTAGCCCGCTCTCTAAAATATCACTGGTTTGCTCATTTCTATATATAGGGTGCCTACATTCTGCATGCACAAATGGCATTAGATACCTATTAGGTCCATAAATTACCATATAGCATATATTCAACAGAAAAAACAGTGACAATTTGCTGTTGACAAAGGACAGCTGGTCATATAAAGGGCCCCATTACCTTCAGTAGCTTAGGGCCTCATCAAACCTAAATCCGGCCCCTACCATCGGCCATGCAGCAGTGGCTGATGGGAGTTGCAGTCTATGAACATCTGAAGGGCCGCAAGTTCCCCACCTCTGAGCTTCATCAGGAGAGCATCTGGGGTTGTGCAGGACATAACACAACAACCTATAACCAAAAAATAATTCTCGGTGCTGCGACGTTGCACACTGTGACACTATGCTGGGAGGAGGCGCTGCAGGCAGTTGTTGCACTCCAGGAAATCTGCAGCAGAAAAAAAGAAACACAGACCCCTTGTAGCAAATGCTGCAGCAGTTGCTGTGAGCAGGGTTGTTCCACATCTACAGGCAAGCTAGACAACTGAAATATACTCAGAGTCGCAACGTGATTTCATGCTCTTTATTCAGCTCATAGTGGTGAGGAGGAATGAATGTCCCCTCAAAGTATCTGCTTATATACATTATTTACACAATGGGCTGCACGTGATTGGCTAATTTCGGAATTCTCCTGTAGGCCAATCAGGTTGTGGATTGACTTCCATCTGGAGCCATATTGGGTGGCTCCTGCAGATCAATCATACTGCTGCATTGTTCTAGGACCAATCAGACTGCTGCATTCTGAATCCTATTGTTCTAGGACCAATCAGACTGCTGCATTTTGGATCCTATTCACTCAGTACATAACAACAACTGAACATGGTGCTTAGATATCCAAAAATATGGTTAACTGCCTTGGGTGGGTGGGTGGAGCTGCCATCTGTACGTTTGGAGAACGATTAGCAGATCATCACCTGGGTTGATCCTTCTCCTAAGACAGGCATGTCCAAAGTCCGTTTTGGGGGCCTAATCCAGCCTGCCTGTCATGTTTAATTCGGCCCCCGTGACAGTTTATTTCCTCAACAACTTCAACCCTTAAAAAAGTTCAACATCTTCAATCCTAAAAGAAGCTCAATAACTTTGGGGTAAAATCCTGAAAAAAGGTTAACAACTTCAATCCTAAAAAGGTCAATGACTTTGGCCGGCCCTTGGGTTGGCCCTCACAGCCCTTCACTTCATCAAATCTGGCCGTCTTTGAAAAAAATTGGACACCACTGTCCTAAGGGACAAAACTGGGAGCCATCTGAGCTCATCTAACCATCCAGGACACAGCTGTAAAAAGGGGAATGTAAAGAAGTGATGGATATTAAAAATAAGAATAAAAGCATCCCAGTTGACTTTTGATAATTCAGTTGCGCTACAGTCAGCCTGTATTAAGACCTGGGAGGGGAACAAAAACTTTTTTACAATTTTTTCCCCAGGGCAGCAAAAAGGGGGGAGATTGTATCCATGTATAAGACGACCCACAATTTTGAACATAATTTTTTAATAAAAAAACCCCATGTCTTATACATGGAAAAGTACGGTACTTTATGCTGATACATTTGTAGTTAACTTTCAGGAATGGTGAGATAGGAATGTTTTAGAAGGGACACCACAGCAAAGCGGAGAGGTGTGGTGTCACCCTCTGTGATGTCATAGAAGGTGCAAGGGAACACTGCTTGGATTGTGCAAGGCTGCTACTTTGGGATGGAAAATTGTTTTTGACATCCTGATGTAGCCTTATGAGGCCTTGCCCTCGGGTGGGAAAAATATTGCGCCCGGGAAAGGGAGATGGGAGTCAACAGACACTCAAGGAATAGTTTCAGAGAAAAAGCTTTATTTCTACCATCCATGAACTGGTAGAAGGAGCAAGTGTGATAACTCACAAAAAGCATGCACGAGTTCACAGTCATGTGCACAGAGTATATATTCCCCTTCTAGTTCCCTCCCCTTTCTCCTCCCTCAGGAGTCCTGCCTTGAGTTCCCCTGAGCATGAACAGAAAGCTGTCTTGGGACTCTTGGACTCTTGGCACCCTTCCCAGGAAAGGGGAGTGAGAGCCAAGGGGTCGAGGAGCCCTGGTGGTTCAGCATGTCCAAGATGTTGCAACCGAATGAGATAAGATTCAGTTCTCAGGCCTGCTCTGACAGAGTCTATTCATTAGCTTTTTGAAGCCTTCTTGTGCTGATAAAAGTAACGGTTTTTCTTGTGAGAATCCACAGAAAAGCTGTAGCTGTGGATTTTTAGAAAAGGAATTTTGGACAGTTTTGAGGCCTGGTGTGATTATTGAGTGGGGGGGGGTGACTTATAAATCTTATAAATCTCTGAAAGTCACAAAATGTGCACTCTTGATGGATTCTCTTGAAAACAGAATGAAATAAACATAAGTCTTATAAGTCTCTGAAAGTCTTTGTAGACTATGCAAGTCTCTGAAAGAAGCAATGGGTCAGATTCTTATCTGATGAAAACAAGCTGCAAAGCTTTGTTTTATGACATCCAACGCTGCCAAAGTGGTCCACAAACAGACGTAGTGAACAGTGATTCCGCATATACCCACTGTTTCGTAGAATTCTTCTTCAGCACAGCAGAAGGATACAGAAATGCTTCATAAACCCATCTATATGGTGAATGGAATTGTACAACAATATTTATGGAGCAGTGGTCATAACTTTAAGAAGAATTCTATGAAACAGTTTGTGACTTTCAGAGATTTATAAGCACATTTTGAGTACTCACAATGATCAAGAAGATGCCTTTGGGAAGCCCCCAAGGAGGAACATGAAATCAGGCATTCCCAGTCCAATTCAATCTCAGGAGTCCTCATTTCCACCAACCTAAGAAGAGACCTGTTGGATCAGGCCAATGGCCCATCTAGTGCAGCATCCTGCTCTCACATAAGCCAGCTTCCCATTGGTAATTCCCAACATGAATTTTTCTAACCCACTTTGAAAGCCATCCAAGTCTGTGGGCCAGTACTTCATCGTGTGGTAGCCTTGCTCCACACATACACACGCAACTGGGGAGTTCCACTCTGTGATAGAAGAGACACAAGTTACAGCAGGGGTCAACAAACCTGTCCACTGTCCTTCAGACCTTGGGGGGGGGGCAGACTAAATTGGAGGGGGGGTGAATGAATTCCTTTGCCCCACGGATAACCCAGAGATGCATTTTAAATAAAAGCATACATTCTACTCATGTAAAAACACGCTGATTCCCGGACCGTCCACGGGTCCCCCATCATTCAGCCTGAGATCCAGTGCCTAGGGCCTTCTGGCAGTTCCCTCATTGCAAGAAGTGAGGTTACAGGGAACCAGACAGAGGGCCTTCTCAGTAGTGGCGCCCGCCCTGTGGAACGCCCTCCCTTCAGATGTGAAGGAAATAAGCAGCTATCTTATCTTTAAAAGACATCTGAAGGCAGCCCTGTTTAGGGAAGTTTTTAATATTTAATACTGTATTGTTTTTAACACTTGATTGGAAGCCGCCCAGAGTGGCTGGGGAAACTCAGCCAGATGGGCAGGGTATAAAAATATTATTATTATTATTATTATTATTATTATTAATATTGAAGGCGATTGGGCCGGATCTGGCCCCAAGGCCTTGGTTTGCCTACCCATGAGTTACAGGTAATAGGCAAGATGGAAAATAGCTTTTGGAGTCACATCATGAAATCTGGGGTATGCGCTGAAATAATATTTGGGAAGAAAGATAATTGGAAGAGGAGACTTGGCCTGAAATGTAGGCAGAGGGGGGAATTTTCAAAGGTGAGCTTTGAGTGGGGAAGCTAAGGGTTGCCTCACAATCACAGCTCTCCTCCCTCCCTCTCTGTGTCTCAGGCAAAGCCACCACATCACAATAGCCTCATTGCCACACAATGGCAAGTCATTGTGTGATGTCAAAGAGGGTAGTGGTGTCACTTGCAACTCTTGGCTTTAGTGGGAGAGGATTCCGGCCAAAGGCTGAAGGAAGCAGTGGCTCTGCAAAGGCCCTACAGTGGAGATGTGGCTCAGGTAACTCAACGGAGGCCACGGGGCCACTGAACAGGTGAACGGTGTGGCATATAAAGGCCAGCCTTTGAGCTGATGTACATGCCACCTTCATCAAACCACAGCCATTTGGCATGGCCTTTATCTTTCCCTCTTTCCGGCATCCTTCTACATTTTCCATTGCTGCCCATGTGGTCCTGATGTGTTAAGGGGCAACTTTGTATTCTGTCACTGCTAGTCATTGCCCCCCCAAAAGTACCAGAAGTTAGGAGGCGGTTCTACTATGATGTAAGGTAAGTTTTGTGGCACTGTTTAGGACAGGGTTAGGCAAACTTCTGGGAGACACATGTCAGGACCATACAGTGAGCGGGAAAGTATTTGATCTCCTGCTAAATTTGCCCGTTTGCCCTCTGAGAAAGAAATGACCAGTCCATAATTTTAATGGTAGGTTTACTGTAGCTGTGAGAGACAGAATAACAGCAGGAAAACCCCCAGAAACCCAGAAGACAAAAGTCAGAGATTGATGTGCATTATAATGAGTGAAATAAGTATTTGATCCCTTTGCAAAAGATGACTTAGTACTTGGTGGCAAAACCCTTGGTGGCAATTACAGAGGCCAGACATTGCGTGTAGGTGGGTACTGGGTTTGCACATATCTCAGGAGGTATTTTGTCCCAGTAGCCAGTAATTCCTGATACTGGGTCCCAGTAAAGCCAATCCTCACTTGGCAAGGGATAGCCCTATTAACCTATAGCTCGTCCAATGTGTGATGGTGCTCTCCAGTGCTTGTGTTGTATTTCTTTTCCTCTTAAGATTATGGGCTATGCTCAGTTCATTACCAGTTTAAGTACAACCTATTCTTTTAATCTGGATGCAGGTGGTCTGTGGTCTAAACCACAGAGCCTAGGGCTTGCTGATCAGAAGGTTGGCGGTTCAAATCCCCGCAACGGGGTGAGCTCCCGTTGCTCAGTCCCTGCTCCTGCCAACCTAGCTGTTCGAAAGCACATCACAGCGCAAATAGATAAATAGGTACCGCTCCGGCGGGAAGGTAAACAGCATTTCCGTGCACTGCTCTGGTTCGCCAGTAGGGGCTTAGTCATGCTGGCTACATGACCCAGAAGCTGTATGCCGGCTCCCTTGGCCAGTAAAGTGAGATGAGCGCCACAACCCCAGAGTTGTCCACGACTTGACCTAATGGTCAAGGGTCCCTTTACCTTTATTCTCTAATCAGGGGCGGACAGAGGTAATTTAAGGGAAATTCCTGCCTTCAATGTAGGGGTCACCTGTATATGTGCCTGCAGAGGTTTTCCCCAGGGTCCCCTACCCCTGCTGAGATTAGGCTTGGTAGCTGGGTTTGTGTGATGCCCGTAATAGTTTATCTGGTTTGCAAAAGGCGTCACAAGCCTAGAAGGGTTTTGCCAGCTCTGCTCCAGTCTAGAATCACCATCAAGACGGCTTTGTAAAAGTTCCTTTCATCCCCCACCAGGGGGAGCCATAGCTTGTTGGTCACCGTCTCGCCACAGCCCATTCTTCCAGACCTATTGCAACCAGGGCTGAATGAACTTCTTGTCATGGTGGTGACCCCAGGAAATGCAAAGCCACAAAAAAACCCCACATATTTTTGTAGGTGTAGGAGTGTGCTACATTTTAATATTGCACAGCATTCTTCTTCTGGAAGAATGGCAAGTTAGTTAATCCACTCGCTATCCAGAGGTTGCACACTGTTATAGTAAAAAATTGGGGTTGGCTTTTACAGCCCAACTCTCCATCAAGGAATTCAGTGTCCTGTCCCCGTCCCCCCACAAGTGTGCTTTCAGTCAGAGAAAATTGAGTGGAGGCAGGATCTAGTGAAAGCATAAAGGTAAAGGACCCCTGACCATTAGGTTCAGTCATGGCCGACTCTGGGGTTGCGGTGCTCATCTCGCTTTATTGGCCGAGGGAGCTGGCATACAGCTTCTGGGTCATGTGGTCAGCATGACTAAGCCGCTTCTGGCGAACCAGAGCAGTGCACGGAAACGCTGTATACCTTCCCACTGGAGCAGTACCTATTTATCTACTTGCACTTTGACGTGCTTTCGAACTGCTAGGTTGGCAGGAGCAGGGACCGAGCAACGGGAGCTCACCCCATTGCGGGGATTCGAACCGCCCATCTTCTGATCAGCAAGTCCTAGGCTCTGTGGTTTAACACATAGTGCCACCCGCGTCCCTAGTGAAAGCATAGGTGGTCTTTATTTTTCTGTTGCAACAGAGTCCCCCTCTACCCTTGCAAGGAGGTGTGCCAGAGCTTTTAAAGACTTTAGAAATTGCCCCGCCCCTTAGCCAAAGACCACCCCAAAGCATAGTACAAAGAGGCAGTCTACAGCAGAAATTACAACAAACAAGAGTGTCCTGCCTGACAAGACAGCTGATAATGGTCACTGATTGCATTACCTGGTCAGTCTGGGCCAGTCTTTGGAGATGGTAAATTCCTAAGTTCTCAAATCCATGCCACAGGCCTACTCTATTCCTACACAAAACAAGCCTTTAAGGCAGGTTTTGTAGGATTTATGATTGGCGCTGCAGACCCCCTGGGGTCCGTAGACCACCAATTGGGAACAGAGCATCAGTGCCATGATGACAGTTGTGAGCAGGTGTCTCATAGTTTCTGAGTTATGAATTGGGATGTTCCTGGGTCCTCTCAAGCTAGCCACAAATTCACTCAGTGGCTTTATGACAAAGCACTATCTGCCCCACCTCTGATGCTTGGGTAATAAGAAGACTGGCTTATATAAAGCATTTTAAGGATTTCAAGAATGCATGCGAGTGCCTTTCTCACCAGTTCATAGAGCAATATAAAATATGCTATCTATAGTATAAGAAGATCAAATACCAGTGGAAAACTTCCTGGAGCACAAATGGAAGCCTTTTGTTTATCCTCCAATTTGTTGTCCATTCCTTCTTCCACAATACTTTTGCAGATCTCTTTGCTTTTCATAGTGTATCCGTGTCCAGGCATATTCTGTGTCTTGCCCTCAACCATCCCTTGGGGCAGGCTGGATGGCATAATTTCGCTGGCTAACAGACCCCAGAGGCCTTTTCTTCTTTGCTATCTCAGTAATAACCACATCTTTCCAAAGGGGACCAGGCCTGGGGGAGAACTGTAGTTAATGAGCTTTAATTGTAGCAGCTTGCTTAGGGATCGATTAAAGAGGAGTCTCCAACCATTTCTCAGCCTAAGCATGTAAATAAACGCCGAGGGAGAGCTTTCTACATCACCCCCTCCTACCTGGGAGGGCAGCTGGTTAATTAGCCCAAGTTGGGAGCCATTAAAAGTTTGTACTTTTTTGAGAAGTTATACAGGTGCATCCCCAGAGTGTGGAGGCAGCTGGCACATCAAGGCTTTGGGCTCACTGCCAAAATATCTCCTCCGACTTGAGCTCTGTTCTGCTTTCGAATCAAAAGGCATTGTGCATTGTTGAGGACTAAGCAGATGCTGGAGGCCTGGTAGTTTGCTCCCGTGGACACAGGGCTTGTGTAACCGATTTCCTTGATGCAAGAAATGAAGATTGGAAACAGCAAAGCCAGAACAGCAAAGTGGGCAGTCGATGCTCCTGGGACAAAGCAAGCAATTTATGACTGGCTTAATATGTGCAACTTTCTATTTCAGATTTCAAATTACTGGGTGGGTGAACATTAAGACTCCCCAAGACAAAACATGTTGCAACCATTTTTACTGGGTTTAACACATTTTATGTTACAAGGCGCGTTCTAACCAATCATATAAGCATTGGTAGACAAACGTTCTAATGGCAAGTAAGCGCATGCACTTTCAACTGTCAACTGTCAACTGTCAACTGTCAACAGTCAGTTCTTGCTCGGTATATTATTGTATTGTCCAGTCAGTTCGGTTCTTGTTTTCCTATGAGTGAGCTGTTGTCACTGACAAATGTTAAATAAACGTAGTTGAGGAACTTACACTGCCTTGGGCTTCTGACTTCTTCCGAACATTTAACATTGGCAACGAGGATGGGAAACATGAGCTCCTGCCGGCTGCCAGAGGCACAAGACCACACCACAGCACCGCCACCTGCCGCCTCGCAGTAAGCGCAACCTCACCGCCATGCTGGACTTAGCAAATAGTCCCGGAAACGAGACCGCACCTGCCGCATCTTCACAACTACCCACAATCGCACAAGCGACTGCTCCAGGTCTGAGGATGGCCACCAGTCATAGTCGACCACCACCGGACTTCAATATGAGCCATCCTGCAGAATGGCTGCAGTGGTTCTGCCGAATAAGGAACTACGTCCAACTACAAGGCTTCACTAGGGAGGCAGACAAGGTGGATGTGCTACTGTTGTGCAAAATGTTGTCTTATTTTATTGTTGTTAGCCGCCCTGAGCCCGGCTTCGGCTGGGGAGGGCAGGATATAAATAAAAAATTATTATTATTATTATTATTATTATTATTATTATTACTGACGCTGCTGGGAAGTTCTGCCATCACTCTACTGGAAGGTCTGATGGCACCCAGGGACATAGAGGCATGCACTTTCAATGAACTGAGACAGGCTATGACAAGTCACCTCGCACCTCAGCCAACTAAGAACCACCACCGCTACAACTTTGCGCACAGAGAGCAACAAGCGCAAGAGTCAGCGAGTGAATACATCACAGCGCTCTGGGCGATTGTGATGTATTGCCAATTCGCTGACATCGAGGAACGACTTCTCGAAAGGTTCATCAGTGGCATGTGAGACAGCTGTCTCTGCCACAAGCTGCTGGCAAAAGACAACATCACGATGAGGGAAGCAATGAATATGGTCACGGCCTTTGAGAAGGATAATGCCCTCAAGGCGGCCCACAGCCCACATACCGAAAGGAGAACTCACTGCATCCAGTGAGACCGGTTGCCTTCTGTAAATTCCCACAATGAGTATGTCCACCAAGCTTCGGACCGATCTGACTGACACCACTGCTCCTAAGCTACGAGCGCATCATCAAACCAGCGATCATCTGACGCACCTCAAGGGACCTGGGCCAGCTGCGGAGAAAACCATGAGTGTTGGACATGCAGGTTTCAGGACACCACATGTCACCACTGTGGGAAGACTGGGCACATTGGTCGAGTCTGCCGCTCCAAGACCTGTGGAGCACGACCCAAGCAACGTGTCCATGAGGCCTACATAGAGGAGGAGTTACAGTCCATCTCTCCAGCCAGGGTACTTCAACTTCTGTTCCCAGGGCCCAATAAGCTTAGGCAGTGGGTACCTCCTGGGTCACCCACCTGGGCACAGGAACCGCAACTGTCCCAGCAGGAGCGGGAAAGGCCGACACACCTTGATAACTGTTTGTTCCTTTTGTTAGGAAGTTGGGGGGAGGAGTGTTATGTATTGGGTTTAACACATTTTATGTTACAAGGCGCGTTCTAACCAATCATATAAGCGTTGGTAGACGAAAGTTCTAATGGCAAGTAAGCACATGCACTTTCAACTGTCAATGGTCAGTTCTTGCTCAGTATATTATTGTGTTGTCCAGTCAGTTCGGTTCTTGTTTTCCTATGAGTGAGCTGTTGTCACTGAAGTTAAATAAACGTAGTTGAGGAACTTATACTGCCTTGGGCTTCTGACTTCTTCCGGACATTTAACACTGGGCAACCATACACCATACTTACAACAGACAAAGGAAACATGGTGCTGAGATAGGCAGATCTCATTCCCACCAAGGGAGAGATTGCCCATTTTTTGTGCTTTTATAAAGCAGCTATGAATCTAATAATAATAAGAATAATAATAATACCCTGCCCATCTGGCTTATACCAAGAGCATCTACTAAATTTCTATGGACGTTTTCAAGGAACAGGTGCTAGCTCTGTTAGCTTCAGCTGTTGAATAGCCTGATCTTTTAGATACAAGGTGCTGCAATGTATGGCAAGCACTGGTACCATTCATGGTTCTGCCCTGAGCTCAGCTCACTAGGCAATGTTAAGCAAGCCACTATTCTCAGTGGTGGCAGGAAGGAGAAACCCACCTCATACAAACAGACCCATCCTGGTGTCCAAAGGAATAGCAGACAGCAGCTTCCCTCCAGTAGATACCGTATGTCCTCCAGGGAAATAAAAGTAGTATACATTCACTCTGGAACAGCTTTTAGATAACTGGGGTTTAATTTGCATAGGCTAAGCAAATAAGAACTGGAGGACCAGACTAAGGATTGGGCAAGAACTACTCCAACCTTGTAAATAAGCCCACAAAAGTTACCAGTCTGGAAAAGAGAAATAACTACATTGCAGGGAGTTGTCCAGAGGAGTGGCAGAGAGCTCTTCTAGCATCCCACTACATTTCGATGCAGGGCAGGGCGGTGGCAGTCCTTTTTCTGGAATCCTGCTTGATTTCTATACTAAGTGCAGAGGAGGGAGGTCTTCTCTATCTTCCAGCCCACCCACTCGCCTGCAATGCAATCCCTTGTCACCTGTGGCTACCAGGAAAACACTTGAATCCGGAGGTGGGAAACCTGTGGCCTTCCAAATATATTGTATTTCTTGGACTGTATCTCCTATCACCCTTGATCATGGACTACGAAGGCTGCAGTTGATGCAAGCTGAGAGGCCAACGACAACTCTCAGCAACCTGTAACAAACTGCAGTTTCCTGGATTCTTGGAGGGGGGAGCCATGAAGTTATCATAGTGTTTTAAACCTATAGTGTGAATGTGGCCTCAGGAGGATGAAGGCAATAGCCTGTACCGCTAGCTGTACAGTATTTCAGTAAAATTAAAATGAAATCAGCATCCCCATAAAGCTCGTCTGTGGAAGGAAGCATGAAGTGCTCCAAAATCTCCTGGTAGACAGCTACGTTGACCCTGGAATTAATGAAGCACAGTGGACCAACACCAGCTGATGACATGGCTCCCCAAATCTCTTTTCTGATGAGAGCAGCTTTTGCATCTCATTTGGAAACCAAGGACCCAGAGTCTGGAGGAAGAATGGGGAGGCACACAATGCCAGATGCTTGAAGTCCAATGTGAAGTTTCCACAGTCTGTGTTGATTTGGGGAGCCATGTCATCAGCTGGTGTTGGTCCACTGTGCTTCATTAAGTCCAGGGTCAATGCAGCCATCTACCAAGAGATTTTGGAGCACTTCATGCTTCCTTCCACAGACGAGCTTTATGGGGATGCTGATTTCATTTTCCAGCAGGACTTTGGCACCTGCCCACACTGCCCAAAGTACCAAAACCTGGTTCAATGGACATGGGATTACTGTGCTTGATTAGCCAGCAAACCCGCTTGACCTGAACCCCATAGAGAATCTATGGGGCATTGCCAAGAGAAAGATGAGAGACATGAGACCAAGCAATGCAGAAGAGCTGAAGGCTGATATTGAAGCTTCCTGGTCTTCCATAACACCTCAGCAGTGCCACAGGCTGATAGCATCCATGCCACGCCACACTGAGGCAGTAATTGATGCAAAAGGGGCCCAAACCAACTACTGAGTACATGTGCATGCTTCTACTTCTCAGAGGTCCAATATTGCTCTATTTGCAGTCCTCGTTTTGCTGATTTCATTTAATATTCTAATTTTCTGAGATTGTTAATTTGGGGTTTTCATCAGCTGTACGCCATAAACATCACAATTATAACAAATAAAGGCTTGATATATCTCGCTTTGCATGTCATGAGTCTATCTCATATATTAGTTTCACCTTTTAAGTTGAATTACTGAAATAAATGAACTTTTCCACAATATTCTAATTTTTTGAGTTTCACCTGTAAGAAGGCAGGCACATGGGAGTTGGCTGAGGCTGGTGGGGCAGTGCCCTGTTTGCCCCAATGGACCAGCCTCCACTGAGAATGAGGCTGTGATTCTATGGACATAGGAAACTGCCTGATCCCAGCTCAGACTCTTTGTACACCCTGCCCAATGTGGTCTACTCTGGCTATCCAGGGTCTCAGACAGAGATAGGACTTTCCCATCCATCACTTATTATCTGTTTCCCCGCCTCCTGCCTCCACAGAGATGCCAGGGGCTGAACCAGGAATCATCTGCAGCCACTGAGCTAGGCTCCCTCTTCAACCATCTCATCAGACATTCCACCGCCTTGAGAAATAGACACACACACACACACTGCTTTATTTCCTATAAAGGAGAGAAACAGCTTGGATAAGTTGATCCATTACAAATAAAACAGCCCCAGAACCCAACTGCTTTGGAAATGCAATATAGTAACAGTATAAGCTGTAAGCATGGAATAACCAAAAAAACAAAAAAAAATGTGTTTCCCATTTATTGTGGCAGATCTTTTTATAAGAACAGCCAAGTTGGATCAGGCCAGTGATCCATCTAGCATCTACCTTTCTGCTGTCACCAGCCAAATGCCTCTGGGATGCTCACAAGCAAGGCTCCTTTTGCTGGTATTCCCTGGCATCCTGCCTTTGACCACAGGCATTTAGCTATTGGGGCTAAATATGGAGCTGTTAAGCCAGCGAGGTGTAGTGGTTAAGAGCGGTGGACTCGTAATCTGGTGAACCGGGTTCGATTCCCCGCTACTCTACATGCAGCTGTTGGGTGACCTTGGGCTAGTCACAGGATCAGGCCAGTGATCCATCTAGCATCTACCTTTCTGCTGTCACCAGCCAAATGCCTCTGGGATGCTCACAAGCAAGGCTCCTTTTGCTGGTATTCCCTGGCATCCTGCCTTTGACCACAGGCATTTAGCTATTGGGGCTAAATATGGAGCTGTTAAGCCAGCGTGGTATAGTGGTTAAGAGCGGTGGACTCGTAATCTGGTGAACCGGGTTCGATTCCCCGCTACTCCACATGCAGCTGTTGGGTGACCTTGGGCTAGTCACACTTCTCTGAAGTCTCTCAGCCTCACTCACCTCACAGAGTGTTTGTTGTGGGGGAGGAAGGGAAAGGAGAATGTTAGACGCTTTGAGACTCCTTTGGGTAGTGATAAAGCGTGATATCAAATCCAAACTCTTCTTCTTCTTCTTAAGCGGCCTTGTACTAAATCACATCTCCGGCCCAATGAGCCCAGTACAATATACTCCAGGGACAGGGAACCTGTGGCACTCCAAATGTTGTGGGACTCCCAACTTCCACCATCCCTAATTGCAACTAATCTGCCCATAATAGCAAAATCTATTCTCCTACCTCCCATCATCCCTGACCAAAGGACGTCCTGGCTGGGACTGTCAGTTCCAACACCTGGAGGACCACAGGTTTTCCCATCCCTGGTCTACTCACTGGCAAAGCTCTTTCTCAGTTCTGCTCCTTGTGACTGGAATTGCCAGCAATTGGAGCTCTGCCCTTCCTTTCATGCTAAGGGTGGGGTCTGCCACTGAGCTACGGGCCAGGAATGGCATGGACAGCATCAGTGCAAATTCAGCCATGTTCCTGCCACCAGCAACCTTTACAGGCGGTCGACGCTGTGGCTTAATGATGCAACAATGACGCCGAGACTCTCCCCTTGAGAATTCGCAGCCTGGCTCGTGCACATGGCTGCCCCTGTCAGTAGGAGAAAGCTGCACCCTATGTGGGTCAGCCTTTTTAGTTCTCAAGATGCTGGAGCCACAGTCAACGACAACTGCTGGACAAAAGAAAAATTCATAAACGGAGGTTGGGGAGAAAAAGCCTTAGGCTGTGTGAGGCTGCATGGCTGCCTCTGAAGTCGGGTCCCCTTTCCAGGCTGCAGCCGGTCCTTCACCAGCCGCTTCCCCTTTCCAGGCCCCCATACTGCCCTCCCCAGGGACCGGATCCCCCGCTTTCCACACGGCAATGGCCGTCTCAGCAGACGGTTCCCCCGCTTTCCACGCCGCGGCGGTGACGGCAATAGTCCCCTCGGCGGCAGAGGAGGCGGCGGTGGCGATGCTCGGCTTCTCTTTCCAGTCGGCGGCGGCCGCGGCCACCCCAATGACTCCGGGGGCATCGGTCTGCCCGCCCTTCCAGGCAGTGTGGGTGGTCATGTGGCGCTCCAGCAGCGTGCGGTGGGAGAAGTACTTGTTGCAGATGCAGCACTGGAAGCGCTCTGGGCGGTGTGTGCGCATGTGGACGTTGAGCGAGCTCTTCTGGGTGAAGCGCTTGCAGCAGATGGAGCACTGGAAGGCCCGAACCCCCGTGTGCGTCACCATGTGCTTCAGCAGGTAGTCCCGCAGGGAGAAGGAGCGCCAGCAGATGCTGCACTGGTGGGGCTTCTCACCTGTCGCGGGGAGGGAAAAGCACAGCGGGTCAGCCGAGAGGACACCGAACCCCCAACGCTAGAACCCAGAAACTGCCCCGTGGCGCTGGACCGAGGGGGACATCCCTCCTTAGGGGATGATGCCCTAAACGGCTTTGGTCCTGGTATACCTGAAGGAGCGTCTCCACCCCCATCGTTCAGCCAGGACCCTGAGGTCCAGCTTCGAGGGCCTTTGGCAGTTCCCTCATTGCAAGAAGTGAAGTTACAGGGAACCAGGCAGATGGCCTTCTCGGCAGTGGCACCCGCCCTGTGGAATGCCCTCCTGTCAAATGTCAAGGAAATGAACAACTATCTGACTTAGAAGATATCTGAAGGCAGCCCAGTGCCGGATTTACATATAAGCTATAGCTTAGGGCCCCACTCTCAGGGGGCCCCAAAAAATTTAAAGGAAAAAACCCCTGGGTGTACATTTCCAAAATATAAGATAAAAATAATAATAATACCTACATACAGCAACAGTGGCAAATGGCTTTAGATAACTATTAGGTCCATAAATCGCCGTATAGCATATATTCAACACAAAAAACAGTGACAATTTGTTGTTGACAAAGGACAGCTGGACATATAAAGGGCCCCATTACCTTCAGTAGTTTAGGGCCTCATCAAACCTAAATCCGGCCCTGCCTGTATCTGGAAGTTTTTAATATGTGATGTTCTGTTGTGTATCTTACGTATTATGCTGGAATCCTCCCAGAGTGGCTGGGACAATCCAGTCAGATGGGCAGGATACAAAAAATTTATCATCATCATCATCATCTATGAATCAAATGGCCCAAGCATTGTATGCTAGCCTCGATGTGAATTTATATCTGGCATCTAAGTGTAGGTCTGTATTTATCTCTCTTGGGTACATAGTTCCTGTAAGCCAGGACTGCAACAAAATGTTGCAGCATGGGTGGCTGCTGTTCAGGATTCCAGTGACACCCTCCCATTTTCTACTTATCCCAGACTCCCAAAGGTAGCGTTCTGTAGTCACTGAACCTACTCTCCTGAGCTTTTGGGCAGGAAGGGGCTGCCTCCTTCTTTAAGGCTGTTTCCCTGAATATTGTATTTCTGCAACCTCGGGGTTGGCATGTGTCCTTGAACCCTATTGCCTCTGGCTTGCCCTGGGTGGAGGTCCAGGTGTCTGTACAAGCTAGCCTACTGTACAAAGTGCAATTTGCATTCATGGCTCCGCCCACAGTGGCCTCTGGCCCAACCAACCCCTGGAAGGTTTCTCCTGGAAGGGAATACTCCCCTCTAGATGAAAAAGGGTTCCTCACCCCCACCGTACCCCCAGCAACACCCTCCCAGGAAGCTCCGCCTCATGGTGCCCATTACCAGAATGGATGAACATGTGCTTGGTGTAGTTTTTGCGGGAACTGAAGGTTTTCTGGCAGTGGCTACACTGGTAGGAGGGCTCTGAGCAGCGCGAGGGTCCGGGCTGTTGGCTCTGCTGCTCTCCAGCGCCATGCAGGGGGCCTGTGACCATGGCACCAGGGCTGAGCTGCACCATGTTGCTGGCACCGGCGTCTTGCTGCTGCTGCGGCGGCTGCGCCTGGATGCTATAAAAGCCCTGGGCCACCGCAGCCGGCTGGGGCATGTGGAACTGGAAGATGCTGGTGGTGCTGGTGGCCGTGCTGGCGCTGCTGACCTCCGCCTTGAGCTCCCGTTGGATGCCCAGAGAGGAGACAAAAGTCAAGCCCCCACTGCCGCTATTGCTGCGGGGTGGAAAGGCTGCGGCGGCACCCGAGGGCCCGCCCAAGTCCTGTTTGAACTCTCCCGCCAAGCTCCTCAGGTTGGAAGCCTGCAAGCTGCAGTCCGAGTGGAACTTCTCCCTGTCCCGCGCGGCAGAAGCTGCTGCCTCTTCGCCGCTTTCCTCCCCCTGCCAGGATGGGATGAAGGACTCCGAAAAGACATCCTGGTTCCCAAAGAAATCCTGGCCCTCGGCAGTGGCGTAATCCAAGTGGAGGCTCTCCTTCCTGCCAGCCCCGCCAGCACTCCCAGAATCCTTTGCTTCCGCCTCGTCGCTGAAGCCGGCAGGGAAACTTCCGCTCCCGCCACACTCAGGGAAGCAGCTAAGCTTGGCCTCCCCTTCTTCCACCACCACCCCCTCCCGGCCTTCCCCACCAACCCCCTCCTCCTCGTCCTTGATGATGACAGGCATTGTCTCGGACAGCTGAAGCCTCACCGGCTGGCGCTGCTTGCGGCTGTGGCAGCTGGGCGTGGCCTCGGCGGGGTGGAGGTACGGGGCCCCCGCCTCCCCATCGCTTATGCCCCCCTCGCAGGCGGCCGCCCTCGCCTCCCTGTGCTGGGAGGAGGAGAGGAGGTCACGCAGCTTGTAGCGCACCTCCGAAGCGCAGAGCAGTTTGGGGGGCTCCAGGTGGGAAGCGTCGAGGTCCCCGGGCCGCGAGACGCTGCCAAGGGCCTCTTTGGGCGGCTGTTCTTGGGGCTTTGCCGGGAGGACCCTGGGAAGGGAGAGGGGCACCGGAGGCGGGGCAGTGGGAGGCTTGGGGCTGCGGCTTTGAGAGATGATCTGGGTGCATTCGTCAATGACCGTCTTGATCTGCAGGATGGAGGCGGCCGTGAGGATCTGCAGCGCTTCTGACTGGGCCACCACCAAGGAGCCGCTGTACATGAACTCCACCAGCTGGCGGACCACCTGGCTGGGGACCACGGGCGGGACCTCGATCTCCGAGTAGCCCAACAGCAGCTTGTCGTGGAAGAAGGGGCTGCCGGCAGCCAAGACACAGCGGTGAGCACGCAGCGTGGCCTCCTGGATGTGCACTGTCACGTCACAGAAATGCCCTCCCAGGCGCTGCCCATTCAGCGTCTCCAGGAGGGACTTGCTGAAGTTCTGGAGGTGGATGTAATGGACGGCTTCAGCCATGCTGTCCCGCGTCCCTCACCGGGGCAGCCGGAGATCAAGATCCTTCCGAGGAGCAGCGTGCATCCCACGCGGGACAGTCAACCGGCAGGCTCTTCTCGTACAAAGCCTGAAACACAACATTATTATGAATTGTTATTACCTGCCCTCCCCCAGAATTAAAAAAAACAAACCAGTGTACACGCTCGCTGGTATTTAACCCCGAGTAAATTAGCAAAAATGTATAGTTCAAATGTTTGTTGGAAGAGTAAGGAAAAGGAAGGCACCTTTTATCCTATGTGGTGGAACTGCAAAGTGATAAAGGAATTCTGGGAAATGATATACAATGAATTGAAAAAAATATTTAAAATAACCTTTGTTAAAAAACCAGAAGCCTTTCTGTTAGGAACTGTAGGTGCAGAGATACTGAAAAAAACTGAAAAGGCTGTTTATGTACGCTAGGAAGTCATTAGTTTGCACCAGGCGTCCTATTGGGAAGACCCAGTTCTCTGAGTGCATGTTCTGGAAGTTGGGCAATAGGGGCAGTACAGGATTCCTTTTGGTGTACCGACCTCCCCGCTGCACCAAAGATTCCCTGCCCGAGCTGCTTCAGGTCGTGGCGGATGTTCTCCTGGAGACACCTAGTTTGGTTGTCCTAGGGGATTTTAATATCCATGCCGACACGACCTTACAAGGGGCCGCTCGGGACTTCGTGGAAAGCATGGCCTCCATGGGGCTGTCCCTGAATACGTTTGGCCCAACCCATAGCCACGGACATGCCTTGGACCTGGTGTTTACCTCTATGGATGTTGGTGATCTGACACTAAGTAAAAGCAAAACGAAAGAAGTGCCATGGTCAGACCACTTCCTGGTGCAACTTGACTTCTCCGCGACCCTTCCCCTCTGCAGGGAGGTGGGACCGATTCGGATGGTCCGCCCCCGCCACTTAATGGATCCAAATGGTTTCCAGAGAGTGGTAGGGGATGCTTTATCCCATGTTGATGGCCTTTCAGCTGATTCCCTGGTGGCCCGCTGGAATGTGGAGTTAACCAGGGCTATTGACTGTTTGGCTCCGAAGCGCCCTCTCCGATGGCATGGAGCCCGGACAGCCCCATGGTTTTCCACGGATCTGAGGGCAATGAAACAATCGTTGAGACGGCTAGAGCGCCGGTGGTGGATGACCCATTCTGAAGCTGACCGGACACAGGTTAGAGCTCAATGCCGAGCCTACCAAGTGGCAGTAGCGACGGCAAAGAAGACTTTCTTCACCGCCTCTATTGCATCTGCAGAAAACAGCAGCAGGAGACTTTTTCAGGTGGTCCGCAATTTAGTGGAACCACCTGCTACATCGGGGCCCAGTACGGGCCACATGATCTCCTGCAATGATTTTGCAAAGTTTTTTGCAGATAAAGTCGCTCAGATTCGGGAAGAGGTAGACGCCACCATGGGAGCAGGGCCGGGGCGGAAGAGTGCTAGAGTCCTGTCTAGTCAAATTGCGTGGGATCAATTCCAATCTGTTACCTCCAAGGATGTGGACAGGCTGCTTGGATGAGTGAAACCAACCACCTGTCTCCTTGATCCTTGCCCATCCTGGCTTATAAAAGCTAGCCGGGAAGGGCTGGGCGATGGGCTTCGTGGGGTGGTGAATGCTTCCCTCCGTGAGGGAGCCTTCCCAGACCCGCTGAAAGAGGCGGTTATTAAACCGCTTCTTAAAAAACCATCTTTAGATGCAGCCACGATGGCCAACTATCGCCCAGTCTCAAATCTTCCATTCTTGGGCAAGGTGATTGAGCGAGTGGTTGCTGAACAACTCCAGGCACGCCTGGAAGAAGCGGACCATTTGGATCCCTTCCAGTCGGGATTCAGGCCTCATCACGGGACTGAAACTGCCTTGGTCGCACTGATTGATGATCTCCGGCGGGCTAGGGACAAAGGTGAGAGCTGTTTCCTAGTTCTGCTGGATCTCTCAGCAGCGTTTGATACCATCGACCATAACATCCTTCTGGACCGTCTTGAGGGGTTGGGAGCTGGGGGCACAGTGGTTCCGCTCCTTCCTCCTGGGCCGTGTTCAGAAAGTGGTGTGGGGGATGAGTGTTCAGACCCCTGGGCTCTCACTTGTGGGGTGCCTCAGGGTTCTGTCCTCTCCCCCATGCTTTTCAACATCTACATGCAGCCGCTGGGAGAGATCATCAGGGGGTTTGGGCTGGGTGTTCATCAGTATGCGGATGATACCCAGCTCTACCTCTCTTTCAAATCAGAACCAGTGAAGGCAGTGACGGTCCTGTGTGAGTGTCTGGAGGCAGTTGGAGGATGGATGGCGGCTAACAGATTGAGATTGAATCCTGACAAGACAGAAGTATTGTTTCTGGGGGACAGGAGGCGGGCAGGTGTGGAGGATTCCCTGGTCCTGAATGGGGTAACTGTGCCCCTGAAGGACCAGGTGCGCAGCCTGGGAGTCATTTTGGACTCACAGCAGTCCATGGAGGCACAGGTTAAATCTGTGTCCAGGGCAGCTGTGTACCAGCTCCATCTGGTAAGCAGGCTGAGACCCTATCTGCCTGCGGACTGCCTCGCCAGAGTGGTGCATGCTCTGGTTATCTCCCGCTTGGACTACTGCAATGCGCTCTACGTGGGGCTACCTTTGAAGGTGACCCAGAAACTACAACTAATCCAGAACGCAGCAGCCAGACTGGTGACTGGGAGCGGCCGCCGAGACCATATAACACCGGTCTTGAAAGCCTACATTGGCTCCCAGTACGTTTCCGAGCACAATTCAAAGTGTTGGTGCTGACCTTTAAAGCCCTAAATGGCCTCAGTCCAGTATACCTGAAGGAGCGTCTCCACCCCCATCGTTCTACCCGGACACTGTGAGGTCCAGCACCGAGGGCCTTCTGGCGGTTCCCTCACTGCAAGAAGCCAAGTTACAGGGAACCAGGCAGAGGGCCTTCTCGGTAGTGGCGCCCTCCCTGTGGAACGCCCTCCCACCAGATGTCAAAGAGAACAACAACTACCAGACTTTTAGAAGACATCTGAAGGCAGCCCTGTTTAGGGAAGCTTTTAATGTTTGATGTATCACAGTATTTTAATATTCTTTTGGAAGCTGCGCAGAGTGGCTGGGGAAGCCCAGCCAGATGGGCGGGGTATAAATAATCAATTATTATTATTATTATTATTATTATTATTATTATTACTACAACAGCTGCAAGGATGGTGCTTGCCCAGAGCTGGAAAGATGACAAGATACCTACTAGGATGGACTGACAGAGAAATTATTGGATGACGCAGAGATGGCAAGATTAACCGGGGAAATCAGAAAGACCACTGTAAACACTTGAAAACTTTGGCAAGCTTTAAATAACCCCTGTAATGATACAGAGACTTTGGATATAATGGAGGATGGTAAATTAGATGGACTTGTAATATGCAGTTAAAACGTTATTTAAGAACCCACGGAGGGGGGGAGGGAAGTTTTGGGATTCAGAAGAATCTTGTGCAAAATTCTAATATTTGTAATAACATTATTTCTGTGAATGAACTTGTAAAACCAAATTTAAAAATTATTAAAAAACAAACAGTGTAAACGTATTAAATTCAGAAGGGTGGGCCCTGGCGTTGAAGGCCAGAGGTGTGCCTTTGGTATTTGGTGACAGCTGTACATCAAAGAAGCCAGACGCACCTCTGTAGGAAGGGAATCCCACAACTTAAGGGCTGCCACAGAGAATGGGGAAAGCTTGGGACAAAACAGCAACAGCACACGCTTGGACACGGAGTGTGTATAAGCCAGGCTGCCCTCTAAGGAACTCAGGGAAATGCACCTCAATCAGCAACACACCTGGGACTAGTGGAGCAAGCCATCCAAACAAGTGGTGGATTTGATAGTTTGATCAAGTAAGTCAGTGTCAATACACAATGCAGTTTGTTTTGAAATAGCAGGTAGCAAGAATGTTACGGATTCGTGCGCAGAGCTGTTTTGCAAAAGCGAGATGTGCCAGGGTTTTAAAGCAGAGTTTCACCAAAAAGGCAGAGCAGAAATCGTAATAGAAGGTACAGCTGGTTTCAGGCGCTGCAGAGTGGGAGAGTGGCTAACATAACAAGACAGCCAAATTGCCTTCCAAATTTCTCTAATGGAGGAGAATCCATGGGAAAAAATTAAAATTAAAATGACTGCACCTCTACTATTTTTTTTCTATTTTGAGAAACAGGGAGATAAACCACTTGATCCTACACAGAAAGAGAGATACAACTACAGTAGTGTTGTGCATCCGGCCACCAGCAGCTCCCTATGATAGGCAGGGGAATGGATCCAGGGGGTCTGGGACCCAGTTAAAAGGTCCTGATTCGACAGGAAGAAAATGTTATTCTCTGGAAGCTGCAGCTGGGCGCCTCCACCCTTCTTTCACCGGGAATCATTTCCCAGGGCAACAAAACACCTCTGAGCCCAGGAGCTTTGACACCCGGATAGCTCCACCAGCAGCAATGAACTCTCCCCACCCACCCGGGGAAAGAAATCGGGAGCTGCTGGGCTTCAAATCCGGCCAGAACGCAGCACATGCAGAAGTCCCGCCTCTCTCCAGGTGTGCAAAGGTTAATCGGTGGCGAAATGCGCTCTGTCCATGCTCAGAGGCGCCCTCGCCTTCCTCGCGCGCCCTGAGTCCCGCCTCTCCTCCTGCTCCAGAATCCGGGCTCTCCTATTCGGATCAGACCCAGCAGTCCGGGCTCCCGTCCGCTACCTGGGAGCCGAACGATGCACAGGATACTTGGGCGCTGAGGGAGGGAGGGGTGGGGCAAAGGCCGGGTGGGCGTGGCTTGCGCCCGGGTTGGGGGCGGGGCCCCTCTCACCTGCCGCCTCGGTCTCCCCCTAGGACTTGCCGTGCCGCCTCCGCTGCTTCCTGGCTTCCCTCCCCGCGGCCTCCTTCCGCGCACGTCCCTTTCCTCCCACCGCTTCCGCGCCGCCCATAGAGAGAGAAAATCTAGAGGCACATGCGCGCTGTGCCTGCGGGAGGAGGCGGGGAAAAGCACAGCGCTGCTGCAAGAAAGCAGATTGAACTCAGTGGCTGATAACGGCAAGGTTCAATCCACCTGCATATTCTTGCATTGCAGGGAGTTGGCCTAGATGGCCCTCGGGGGTCCCTTCCAACTCTGCAATCCTACGATTTGATTTTAAATATATTTTCATTAAAGATTTCTTGGTTTACAAAAGTGTGTGCAACGTCTCATTTTTCAGGTTGCGTTTTCTACAGATCGAGTTTCATTTGTTGTGAGACATTAGTGTTACGTTCTGCAATCCTACGGTTTGGAGTACCTCGGCTTGGCTGCGCTCATTCGGGGGGATGCGCACGGGGAGCGGCGGTGCTCCGCCTGGCGGGAGCCCAACGTAGACGCAGAAAGGAAGAGAACGGAAAGCGGCGTGGCGATCTCTCTGCCCGTACTTTCCGCACTGCCATGCCCTACCCATTGCCAATCCCCTGAAACTCGGGATAGCGCGCAGTGGGCCTGCGGTCCAGCGAAAGCGGCGCGGGGATCCCTGGCCAGGCTGGAGGGCCGGCAGCTCAGGCCACTGCTGACCATTAAGAACAGAAGGAGAGCCCGGCTGGGTCAGGCCGGCGGCCCCTTCTCACCGCGACCGACCTGGGGGGAACTAGTGAGTAGGATCCGCGGCCAGGAGCACTCTCTCTCCCCTCCCGTGGGTCCCAGCAGCTGGCAACCCCCCGGCCGCCTTACTTGGGGCTGATGGGGCTTAGTCCTGGTGGTGCATCATCTGGCCTGCACCGCCTTACTTTATCCCTAAATAAGGCGGCATTTCCTCTCGGCTGAAGCCCCATCTCCGCTATTAGCGGTGCATTAGTTACAGGGCCGTCGTAAAACGCCCCCCCCCCCCAATTTCCCCCTTCCTCCCTCGCAACCTGCCAAATTCTGCGGTGCAGGGCGATGTTCCTATAGGCGCACATAGCATACACACAATCTCGTGTTAACGAGACTACACTGCAGGGTTGTCGTAAAGTCACTGTCTGCCACATCCACCCCCCCCCCCCGCAGTGAGCTGGAAACAGCTTGAGGTCTCGGATTCTGACTTGTTTTCCTTGCGGGCAGATCGATGCCGTTTCCACCCCGCTAGCAAAGAGTAAAAAGGGAGTCAAAAAGTATTCCGGAAGTCCTGGTGTTAAGCAGGGGAAGTATCACTCTTCTCCTTTTTAAAAGTCTATGTGTTCGCCGGTCAAATCCGTAGCAAATAAGGGGGAGAAATATAGAGGGGCATCATTGTCTTTTAGACGATTTCCGGGTTCTCCTCGAAGACTATGTCTTCCGGAGCAGCGTTAGCGTATCCCTTCCACGCAAGATTTTTACATTCATTAGCTCCGATTGGGCACTAGCAAGGTAGCAGTCAAGAGAAACGCTTGTGCTCTTTTTAACCCTGGATACTTAAATGTGTGGAATGCATGCATTTGGAGGCGTTTTCTAACAATTTTAGAAATTAACCCACCAGATGCAAATTTCAAGCCTCCCCATGTTGGGAAAACTGAAGTTAGGAGAGAGGAGCTCGTGCCTGATGGCAATCTAGCCCAATGTCAGTATTGCAAGTTCTTAGTCGGGTTAAGGCTAAGACACATTTACAACAACCTTGTAATGTAGTCGAGTGGTTTGGATTATTTTCCAGCCAAATATACTACGTACAAAACACTCCCCAGATTGCAGCAAAGCCAGGATACTTAAATGGACGACTTAGACCTCCCAGGCAGCCCCAACCCAGCACTCAATTGCAGGTAGAAGCTTTCAGCTTATTTAACTTGCATGCAATTACGTCTAAAAAACTACCCACCACCTCTTAACAATTTTACACGATGTAAAATTTACATTACAAGGAGCAGGACATCCTGGTTGGTTGGTTGGTTGGTTGGTTTGTAGCTGTGCTGGTCCAATCATTGTTGTCCTAAAATTCGGCTCCTTTTTAAGGGCATTTATAATTATAATGGGAAAGAGGAAGAAAAGAACAGTGGGCTGGCTTCAACTAAGTTCTACTTAGAGTAGGTCCCTTAAAATTGATGGACCTAATTAGTCATCTCCATTAATTTCAATGAGTATAAACTATACGGTATAAACCATACAGTATAAACCATACAGTATAAACCATACAGTATACAGTATAAATCACATATTACAAATAAGATATGGATTAAAGTAAAGGTAAAGGGACCCCTGACCATTAGGTTCAGTCGTGACTGACTCTGGGGTTGCGGCGCTCATCTCACTTTATTGGCCGAGGGAGCCGGCGTACAGCTTCCGGGTCATGTGGCCAGCATGACTAACCCGCTTTTGGCGAACCAGAGCAGCGCACGGAAATGCTGTTTACCCTTCCGCCGGAGCGGTACCTATTTATTTACTTGCACTTTGACGTGCTTTTGAACTGCTAGGTTGGCAGGAGCAGGGACTGAGCAACGGGAGCTCACCCCGTTGCGGGGATTCAAACCGCCGACCTTCTGATCGGCAAGTCCTAGGCTCTGTGGTTTAACCCACAGTGCCACCCATGTCCCTTAAGATATGGATTAGATTAATATTAATGCTACTTGTTTTCATCATTCTGGGGACAGAAGTGAGAGACCTTGCTTGCTTTCTGGAATTTTTAAGTCATCTGGTATGGAGATAGGTGGTTATTGAACTGAATAAGACCTCTTCCTTTTTACAGGAAACAAGAGAAGTGGGTGCAACATGTGACACAATTTTAAGTGGCCCTTTGACTTCGCCTTTGACATCTCCTGGTTGCTTTTTGTCCTATTTTACCCAGTACTAAATCTCTCCACCCTTTGATGTGTGACGTAATAAGGGCAGCCGCAGTGGTGTGATAATTGCAGGCTATGTCCTGCTTTGAACCTATGTTTTTCTGCTATGACCCTTGCCCATTCCTACCCCCGCTGCTCTCCTGCAATAGCTGCTTCCATGCCCTGTTCATTCTCAGGCCTCCAGCAAACAAAACCTGTCTGAGGCACTAATTGGGCATTAGCACTAGTTCCTTTTCTAGCCTACTTCCGCCCTCATTGCTGCCAAACTCATAGAAAGAAGACGCCTGGCTTACACACTCTGCAGATGCTGGTGTGAGAAAGAAGAAAACCCAAACGGTGCTGGCTCCAGCATTTTTGGTGGGGAGTGGGGACTCCGGCACTACACCCTCAGGCGGCCTCCCAATCTGGAAGAGGAAAGAATCCTGTCCTCTGGTACTCTGATGGCACTCTATCAATTATATAACCATCACCTTTCTTGGATTCTTTATATACCGGTAAAATGAGTTGGGGTGGTGGGCCCTCTGCTGGTTGTGGAATCTTGACAAATGCCCAGCCTTGCTATTCTTTGGAACAAGCGCTACAGAAAAAATCCAAGCATGTTTTGGGGTAAGATGGAGGCTCCTATAATAAGGGATGGCTTTGGAAAATGAGTGAGGTCCCAACTAAAGAATGGCAACTTAAACTGATGGAATATGCGCAGCTTGCAGACCTAACATATAGAATAAGAGAACAAGAAGAACATCAAGAAGATTGGAAAATGTTTATTGAATATATTGGGGGGAGGAATTGTGCACACTTGAAAATGTTGGCAGCATTAAGATAAATTCAACAGTGTAAGCAAGTTTTGATGGGTGTATTAATGGAATACTGAATGGTTTAGCTTATGTAAAATATGCAGGGGTTTATGATATGCAAAATGAACCATGGAAAGAGAAGAAGGGAAGTCATTTTAAGGTTGTTTAAATGAATATTCTAAAGTGTAAAACTGTGTTTGTGTTTGTGTGTGTGTGCCGATGTGTGAGTATAATTCTTTCATACTCTCTGCAATGGCAAATAAACCAGCTAGCTTAACCCTTCCTAGAGCCTTCACTTCTGCCACCAAGTGAATGCCTTTATTTTTACTGGCTGCTTCCACTAAAACAATAATTTAATCCTTGTAACTTGTAATCTTGGATTGCCTCTGGCCTCAAAACTGAATCTGAGCACCCTTCCCCTGATATGACTGGGCTCTGTTCCCAAGCTGCCCGGAGCCAGTGCGCAAATCATTCTTGCCTTCCCAAGGTAAATGATAGAACTGCCTTTGTGCCTGGCCCCATCCCATTCAGTATGGACCGCCAGGGGAATCAAACACACAAGAATCTTTGTCTTGTATAGCACGCCTGACCTACATTCCTGAGTGAAGGCTCTTCGTTTCCACAGCTCAACAGGCTAAGAATCCAGAGGCATGAAGAAAACCTCAAGCAAAATCTCAGAGTGAAATGGAACATTAAGATCTTAATGGGGTTGCGTTTGTGGGTGGTAAAGATCAGTGTTGCAGGCTTGGCTAGTTCTCCCAAACATGCTGTATCTTTTCCTTGGGCTTCTGTTATCCTCCTGGCTTTTGGCCAGTGTTTCCCCTGCCTGCCCCAAAACGCTCAAAAGTGGTTAAACCCTAAAGCATGTTCTTTGCTCTATAGCATTAGGATAAACATCCCCATGCAATTAATAAAAATGTACAAGAGAAGACAAGTTTTATATATTTACTGCTGAATCAAGCCAATCAGCCTTGAAGCAAGGTTCCTTCAGTCTCCTGGCTGATCATTCCAATTCTAAGGGTGGTTTGGGGCCACAATAACCGTTTTTGCTTGGGGAAAATCATTCTGACAAGTGTTTTCATTTTGGGGATCCTTGCCAGGTTTGGGTTGTGTACACACTATATAAAGCACACACACCTAAATACAGCTGTTTCCTGCCATTCTCATGGGTAAGTCATGGGGGAATAGAAGTCCGCATGCGTGGAAAAGGTAGGGGAGTAGTGACATTTGTCCAATGATATTCATTGTTGTGTTGTGTGTGAATGAAACTTAGTGCAATATGCTGGCATATCTGTCAGAAAGCCACAGTTCCATAATGCAGCAGGTACTGCAGTGTGAAAGGAATGTTAGAGAACAGGACAGAAGCACTGGCGTTATAATCAAAGAAACTAGTGCAATATTCCCCATGTTTGAATACACCCTTAGTGTTATGTGTGAGCCTCACCCACAGGCCAACAACTAATGTCAATAAACCATGATCTGAAGCCCTAGTTTGTTACTGGATTACAAACTCTGGTTTGTTTTAACTATGGCTTGGTGTTATGTGTGAGCCCAGCAGCACCCATCTTTAATCATGGCTTGTTTGGCCACCCCATCCCAGATTTTCCTACTCATATTGAAATACTGCTCCTCAATGAGGCCAAACTTAGATTCACAAAAATTTTAGGGGTATGCGTCCCCCTGTGTCGCCCCCAGAAAAACCCCCCACTTCATATCAGGACATTCAGGTTGCACAACTGCAGTTCATTGGAAGTGCTTGCTCAACAAACCAAACTTCCCTCAGAGATAGGACTTTTGTGACAAGGAAAGTGGTCAAAGATACACTGGTCAATAAGTGATCACACTTATTTGGAAGCAACTTCAGCTAACCTCCCCACAAACAAATCGGGATGAATGCAGGTAAGCAGTAAGCAGGTCACCTGGAAGCTCCCCTAGCAGCAAGCATCTGTCATGCCTTTCAAACAGGGATGTCTTTCAGATGGAGACCTCTGTAAGGTCACTCACGCAGTTTATGAGAGAGCAGCAAAGATTGGACTGCAGGTCCAGGTGATCAACAGTTTGGTATCAAGGGTGCCATTTTGGTACAGTGGTACCTCGGGTTACAGACGCTTCAGGTTATAGACTCCGCTAATGCAGAAATAGTACCTCGGGTTAAGAACTTTGCTTCAGGATGAACAGAAATTGTGTGCCAGCGGCGTGGTGGCAATGGGAGGCCCCATTAGCAAAAGTGGTACCTCAGGTTAAGAACAGTTTCAGGTTAAGAACAGACCTCCAGAACGAATTAAGATCTTAACCTGAGGTACCACTGTATTCACTTTGTGTGTGTGTGTGTAAATATTTTGAAGAGGGGGACAAGGTTCACACTGAGATTTAGGGGCCCACTTTTGAATATGTTGAAGGTTAAATTGCAAACAAACAAAAAACCCCACCCCTTCCAGAAAACAAGCCTACAGCAAATCTCAATTCTTTTTTGTTGCAGCTCCCTTTATAACAGTAGTCAGAGTGTAGAATCAGTGGACCAGTCAGATACACAGATTTTTATCCTCAGGAGATGCTGTATAAGTGGGACATGCATCAGTGTGTTGTAATGCAGACTGCTGCTTCTCCAGGAAATCGCTCATGTGCTTCCCATTCCTCCCTTCCACCTATTTCTCTCCCCCTACCTCTGATGACCACATTGATTTACTTCGGGGTGAAAGTTCAGCCCCTTTATAGGTTTTTCCCCTCTTAAAAGTTTTGTGGTTGTTTTTTGCCCAAGGCAGTGGTGTAGCGTGGGTTGTTGGCTTCCAGGGCGGGGCAAGTGTTGTTCCCCCTCCCGGAGGACTGGGCAGCTGTGGGGGGCGCACTGAGCCCACACGGAGGGTGGACAGAGCCCAGGAGGCACATGGCTGCTGGCGCTGCCACTGCTGGTGGCGGTAGGAGTGTGCCTTCTTGGTTTGGTGGTTGCACTGCCCCTGGTCTCTCCCTGCCTCAGCCAGGGGTGCCAACTTGAATAAATATTTGGGGGGGGGGAGGCAAACCCCGCCCACATAATCACTCACATGGTGCACACATGGTGTCATGGTGCACACATACCATTTGAATGGCAATGTCCATCAACTTGGGAGGGGCTCAAATATTTTATTGGGGTGGGGGTCCAAAGACCCCTCGGTCCCTAGGAGTTGCCGCTGCAGGGACTGCTTCTGGTGGCAGAGGTTGGAGAGGACTGCAACGATGAATTCTCAAAAACAGGAGCATGTGGAAGGACCCACAGGCTCTGTTTAGCCCTGTGAAGATTTTTGAACATCTCAGCAAAACGGCAGAAATGAGAAGTGCAATGGCTCTGTTGCACCTCGAGTTGTAACATCAGGTTTGTTCATCTGCACAGAAATGCAGAGAGATGGACGCCCAACTTGCTCATGCCCTGGTGGATCTGAACTTCTCTAGGCATGGAGCTGCCAAGCTTCCAAAGAGCTTCCTTCTGTTCCTGTTCCTTTCTCCTCAGCAAGGCTGCTTTTTGGGACAGCGGAAATAATCTATTCTGCAAGGCCTTTTCATTAAAAAAAAAAAAAAGCAAGCAGCTCAGGCAATTGCCAATTTCCTCCAGCGCTTTTGAAATGTGAACTTTGCCTCTCTTAGAGTGGACTGGGGTCAACTCGCGAGGAAGACTCAGAACTGTGCTTGGGACCTGCCTCCAGCTGCAAGCGAATGCCAGTGTTGCAGATAGGGGAGGGAGGCGGCAAAGGGTGGGGGCTCTCAAGAGCTATCTTGTGCAAGTTAAAGTTTTCTGTCTGAGAGCCAAGAGCTTTCTCGAATCAGCCTGCAGGGACAGATGGGAGGGGAGGGTTGGAAACCTCGTCTCATTCACTTGTTGCTCAATACGCTTTTGCCTTCCATTCAGCACGGCTCAGACGGAGGCTGTAGGAGCTAGTGTGTGCCTGCGGCTTGCAGGACCCTGGGTCTTTTGAGGTGAGATCCCAGCCATGCTGGACTTCTACACAATTGCGATAGGGCTCCTGATCCTTCTGCTCCTCCTGGGGAATGTTTTCTTCCCCTACCTTTGGCTGGACTTGGTTTTCTTCTTCACCGTCCTTCGAACAGGATACAAATGCCACAGGTGTCTCAGCCGCAAACCTCCCATCACCTTACTGGACTTCTTCTTGGCCAAAGTCCAGAAGCACCCAGAGAAGCCCCTGGTCCTCTTTGGAGACGAAACGTATTCCTACCGAGATATCGACAGGCGCAGCAGTCAGCTGGCCAGAGTGCTCCGGGACCACGTGGGGCTGGAAGAAGGAGAAACGGTGGCTGTTTTCCTCAAGAACGTCCCTGCCTATCTCTGGGTCTGGATGGGACTGGAGAAGATTGGCAGTGTCATGGCGTGTATCAACTATAACATCCGAGCCAAGTCTCTCTTGCATGCCCTCAGCTCCTGCAAGACCACAGTGCTACTGACAACTCCAGGTGAGTTAAAAAGGTGAGAGAAATCTAGAGAAATCTTAGTCCAAAGAGGAGTTAGACAAGGATGCCTATTAGCCCCATTCCTATTTAATATCTATGTTAACTCCCTGGTTACATGCTGCCGTGAAATTGAAACCCACCCCCCTGTGTTCTCTAATGGCAGAAAAGTACCAATTTTAATGTATGCGGATGACGCTGTTCTTCTCTCTCAAACCAAAGTGGGTCTGAAACGTGCCTTAGGAAAGTTTAGTGACCAATGTAACACTGAACTGTTAACAATTAACTTTGCCAAAACCAAAATTGTACATTTTAACCGCTCCTTTAGGAAGGATAATTGGAGCGTAAAGGGAACGCCATTGAACAGACTAAGACCTTCCAATACTTAGGCATTACTTTCTCTTATAATGCCAAATTCTCAACACACTTGACCACATCAGCTATATCAGCAGAAAGAAGTGCAAATGCTATCCTTAGATTATTCAGAAGGAAAGGAGCTGGCTTCCTCCCGATGGCCCTAACAGTCTTTCAGGCAAAATCTTTAGCCCAACTTCTATATGGCTCTCAAATTAGCCCCTCTGCCAACCTTAAGACCTTTGAAACAGTACAATCTAAATTCTTAAGATCATTATTTGCTACTCCTAAGTGTACACCTAATGCAGTCTTAAGGCAAGAGGCAGGACTGCCCAGAGTGGAATTAAAAGTCTGGGAACAAGCAATATCCCTCTGGCTGAAAATCCATTACAATCCTAAGGGTCTATTACCTTGCTTCCTGGCCGCAGTTCCCTATCCTCCTTGGCTTTTGCAAATAACTAACAAGATCAAACAAATTGGCCTAAACCCTGAAAATATTTTTATTGGAACTCTGAACAAGGCAAAAACTACTATCACTCGGAGACTTTATGATATCGAATTACAACAAGAAGGCGCCCTACTCCCAGAGACGTATAGATGTTTAAAAGCTTGGCCTAATTTTGCAGCTGCCCCTTACTTAACTAACATCACTAACGAAACCTATAGATGGGCTTTCTCTAGAGCCCGCTTTGAGACAATGCCCTCAGCAGTGCTGTACGGCAAATTCACGCGAGTTCCAATGCATGCGCGTCTCTGCCCTTGTATGTCTAATAAGGTAGAATCTGTCACACACATTCTTCTATCTTGCGAATTCTATAGTGAAGAACGAGTTCAACTTATTTTACCACTTCTATCAAAATTTATACCCCTTCAATATTATTTGGAATCCTCCCCTGAAATTCTTCGAAAATACCTCCTGGAAGATTCCTCAAGCTCAGTATCATATGAGGTGGCTAAATTTTGCACTTTAGTAATTAAGAAGCGTAAATCTCTTCTGTTGAATGGCACACTGGGAAGTTCTCTTGTGTAACCTTTTTTCTTTTTTAAAGTTGTTGCTGTTTTCTGGTTGTCTGATCTTATGGTGTTTAGTGTCACTGGCTTCGGCCGCAATAAACTTGAACTTGAGAACTTGAGAAA